TTGTTCAAGGACCTGCGCGCCTTGGGCTTCAAGGACATCGGAACCCTGAAGGATCTAATCAAAACGAAGGCCAAGGGAGAATACATTGATGACAAGACCATGCTCATGGAGCGGATCATTCAGGTGAGTCGTACCGCTTGGGGTCTCTTTCTGACCGGCATGGATGCTAATTGACTCTTTCCGACAGCTTGTCAGCAGTCTCCCAGGAAACTCGAAAACCCGCGCCGACCTCACCAACGCCTTCTTGGATGAACTGTGGGGTTCCTTGCCTCACCCTCCTCTGTCGTAAGTTGAGGCTCGATATCGGTCCCGTGGTTTGCGCTGGCGCTAATACTCTGCAGTTACATGGGAGAGGAATATGCCTACCGGTCAGCAGATGGTTCTAACAACAATCCTACACTTCCCTGGCTAGGCGCTGCGGGGACGCCTTACGCTCGCTCAATCGCTCCTCTGACTATTCAGCCCGGCGGTTTGCCCGATGCCGGTCTTGTCTTTGACTGTCTTTTCGCGCGCGAGAAGTTTACCCCTCACCCTAACAAGGTGTCGAGTCTTTTCTTCGACTGGGCGTCCCTCGTCATTCATGGTTCGCTAAATCTTTCTAAAAACATCACAACAGGACGCTAATTAAGAATCTAGACATTTTCCAGACTGATTACACAAATTCTCACGTCAACAAGACCTCAGCCTATCTCGATCTTTCGATCCTCTACGGCGATGATCAGGAAGACCAGAACTTGGTTCGTACTTTCAAGGATGGCAAACTGAAGCCTGATACCTTTTCGGAACAGCGGCTCCAGGCTTTCCCGCCGGCCTGCTCCGTGTTGATGGTCATGCTAAGCAGGTTGGCAATACGTTTCCCAGTATACTGAGAAAGTTCTAACCGGGTCACCAAACAGATTCCACAACTGGGTCGTGGAGGAGTTGGCAGCGATCAATGAAAACGGTCGCTTCAACAAGCCCGGTCCTGGTCTCGACGAAGAGAAAGCTAAGAAGGCCTGGGAAAAGTATGACAACGATCTTTTCCAGACCGGACGACTGTATGCCATCCTGCAATCTTCATCACTACAAGCATGCAAGTCTGACGCTTCATAGGGTTACATGCGGTCTGTTTATCAACATCACGCTATACGATTATCTGCGCACCATTGTCAACCTGAACCGCAGCAACAGCACATGGTGTCTGGTAAGCAAAGATAAATGGTAAAGCAACGCGTGCCATGCTGACCAGCCACAGGATCCCAGAGTTCAGATGGAGGGCACCAAGAGTACCCCATCGGGTCTCGGTAACCAGTGCTCCGTCGAATTCAACCTCGCGTATCGCTGGCATTCTGCTATTAGTGCCAACGATGAAAAGTGGACTGAAGAGATCTATGAGGAGTTGATGGGCAAGCCTGCCTCGGAGGTCTCCATGCGTGAGCTTCTCGTTGGGCTTGGCAAGTATGAGAGAGAGATCCCGAAGGACCCGTCAAAGCGCACATTTGCCGGTCTGAAGCGACAGGAAGATGGAACATTCAAGGACGAGGATCTCGTTAGAATCTTGGCCAATGCGATTGAGGATGTTGCCAGTGAGTGTAGCTTCTCCAAACAAAAATAGCCAGTTCACTTACCATTGCAGGCTCCTTCGGTGCACGGAATGTGCCCAAGGTCTTGAGATCTGTGGAAATTCTTGGTATTGAGCAGGGTCGCAAGTGGAACGTGGGCTCTTTGAACGAGTTCCGCAAGTTCTTCGATCTCAAGCCATACGAAACATTCGAAGAGATCAACTCTGACCCGGATGTCGCTGACTCCTTGCGTCACCTGTACGAGCACCCAGACTATGTGGAACTCTACCCTGGTATTGTCGCCGAGGAAGCGAAGGAGCCTATGATCCCTGGTGTTGGTATTGCACCTACCTACACCATCTCCCGCGCGGTTCTCTCCGATGCTGTGGCTCTCGTCCGTGGTGACAGATACTATACCGTAAGTCTTGACCCCAGCATGCCTGCAAGAATCGCTATTAACTATATGTCCAGATCGACTACAACCCACGCAACCTTACGAACTGGGGATACAATGAGGTCCGCTACGATCTCAACATCAACCAGGGATGTGTGTTTTACAAGCTCGCCATGCGGGCCTTCCCCAACTACTTCAAGCCTGACTCCATCTACGCACACTACCCAATGACCATCCCCAGCGAGAACAGGAATATCATGAAGAACCTCGGTCGCGAGTCCCACTATTCGTATGACAGACCCCGTTACACGGAGCCTGTTCCGAACCTGTTGTCCTACGCCAACGCCAAATTAGTCTTGAACAACCAGAAAGACTTCACTGTGCCTTGGGGTGGACTCAGCTCGATCCATGCCGGAAAGGGGGGCGCTGACTTCTGGAGCAAGTCATTCGATAATGAGCAGTGGAGAAATAGCGTGAAGGAATTTTACGAGGATGCTACCCTGAAGCTACTCAACGAGAAGTCTTGCAAACTTGCTGGCAACAAGCAGGTTGACATTGCAAGGGAGTAAGTCGTCTGGGCCGAAGTAATGTATTATACCCATGCTAACAAGATTACAGCGTCGGAAACCTCGTGCCTGTGCATTTCGTCTCCAAGGTCTTCTCGCTGCCCCTGAAGACGAAGAGCAATCCCCGCGGGATCTTTACCGAACATGAGATGTTCATGATCATGGCGGTGGTCTTCAATTCCACCTTCTTCGATGTTGACCCTACCAAGTCCTTCCCGCTCCAGCATGCAGCCCGCGCGGTTTCCCAGGAGCTGGGTAAGGTTGTGGAAGCCCATGTCAAGTCCATCAACCACCCTGGCTTCCTTCATGGTATCATCGATAGCTTCCGCGACGACCACAATGCCTTGAAAGACTACGGAGATCAGCTGATCAAGCGCCTTTTGGAAAGTGGTCTGGGAGTCTCCGATGTGACCTGGGGCCAGATCTTGCCGGCAGCTGTCGAGATGGTTCACACTCAGTCGCAAATGGTAGGTTTCCTCATGCTGCATGTCGTTGCATATGATGCTGACATTCCAATAGTTCACCCAGATCATCCACTTCTACCTTACCGAAGGTCAGAAGTATCTCCCGGAAATCAACCGCCTGGCCAACGAGAACACTGCGGAGGCTAATGACAGGCTCACCCGCTTTTGCCTGGAGGCTGTCCGCCTGAATGGCAACCTGGGCATCTACCGCGAGGCCCAGGCCGATATCAACGTGTCTGATGAGACCGGCCAATACAGCGTCAAATCGGGAGAGAAGGTGTTTGTCGGCTCGGTACGTATCACCCAGTTTCAAACCACTGCTATTACTAATACCATATAGTCGAAGGCAAACCGTGACCCTCAGGCCTTCCCATCGCCTGACGAGGTTCGCCTTGACCGCCCTCTCGACTCCTACCTACACTATGGTCTTGGCCCCCAGAGCGGCCTGGGTAAGGATGCCACCCTCGCCGCGGTGACCGCCATGGTGCGGGTTGTCGCCCGCCTGGACACTCTCCGCCCTGCTCCTGGCGCTCAAGGACAGTTGAAGAAGATTCCCCAGGAAGCTGGGTTCTCCGTATACATGCGGGAGGACTACGGCAGCTACTCTCCGTTCCCGACTAGTAAGTATTCCTTTAACTTCTCTGCGTGAAACTTTGCTAACCTGGATTTACTACAGCCTACAAAGTCCACTACAACGGCGATGTGCCGGCGCCTAAGCGACAGGTCACGACTGCTTGAAATGATAGGAGAATTGATAGCTTGTTGGAATAAGTCGGTAAATGTGTTTTCATAGGTCATGTTTGAGATATCCTTTTTGTTTAATCAGAATGCTGTATTTTTTTTTCGCAGTGTATGCTAGTGCTTTGGTGCCAATACGAAGATATATCTGCAAGAGCTTTATTTGTGCATAGCCTAGATAGGCCTCCAGACTGCTGTCATAGAATGCGTAACGCTATCGATTTCAGCGCCAGTGCACAACAGTTCCTACCTGCTTCACCAATGATGATTGACACCTCCCCGTGTAATACAAATCTGTAGACAGAACATACCAAACAACAATAATGTCCAATCGCTTCAAACCCCGTAAGCGCCAGGCTTAAGAATAGCCGAGCATTCCACCCACCGACAAAGAAAAAAATATGGGTATGAGCACACGACCCCGGGGCTCTGAACCCTGCACCCAACTCCCATCACCCACATCACCTGATTGGAGGATTCGGACATAGCGGCTCGTGCCGTCCGGTGAAAGCCAAAAAAAGAATTGTGAGACTGGCGGGGTTGCATGGGCCAGGATTAGGACCAGGACCAAGGACCCTGGGTGGGTGAATGGCGAATGGCGAATGGAAGACAGACACAATCCAAGTGTCCTCTTGTGACTCGCCATTTTGCGCCATTTACTGGGAGGGAGATGGAATCAGCCTTACAAGGTGAGAAATGGTCACTCACCTAATGTATCTACCTAGACTGTCCTCCAAGGAGTCTAGTCTGTTGCCTATTGCAATAAAGTTTCGTATTAAAAATTCTTTTTTTCATCTATTAAGGTTGCCTTTGCTTTTTTTCTATTCTTTTCAAATCGAAGGAATTGTAAGCTTTTTTACGTGATGGTTCATTATAACCCACGGCACATGAACCACCAGTGCTTCCAAATGTTTCACTTGAAGCCTCGAAAATAGCTTAACGTCCAGGGTCTGGTTTGATCCGGTCTCACCCACGGGAAATACACCAATAAACTAACGGGGATTCAGGTTATTGTCCCTAACCGCCCTCAGCTCAGGGGAAACGCCCGGCGCTAGGTAGCCTGGACTACCGGATCTAATCTAGTAACGTCGTAGCGCTAGAACCGGTCGAGTACTAGGCGCTGTTTGATGGGCGGCGATCGCCTGTGATCCTGTCCTACCGGACAGTAGTGGTAGTAGGCTGTGTCGCATCCTAGTCAGTTGTGCCTTTCTGACTGACTGAACCCCGGTCCAGGGAAAAAAGCATTGGCACTTATTTATCGGGGCGGGTGTCTTTCTTGTCTTGTTCTTGTCTGGTCCTTCTTGATGTCAATCACCCATCCACATTCACATCCACACCAGTCTGACTCTGACCAAGACAAGCTTCTCACCTGTTCATCATTTGCTTGGTCTTGCCACATACACACCTCGATTATTACTATTATCGTCACCATTCATTATTATCATCACGATCATAATTATCATAATTTAAATTTTATCATTTATCATTCTAATACAATCCAAACCACACTCCAACAATGGTAGCCATCACCGCCCGCGACCGACCCAAAACCGACTACGAGCGCTGGCTTGAACTCCAAGGTTCCGACGACGCAGCTGGCAGCGATGAAAAGCAATACCATCCTCCAGCACCTCCACCTGTTCCAGAACATGGCCAAGGTGCGCATGCAAAAGCAGACGATGATAAACATAAATACACCCCTCACGGCACATTCATCCATCATGGGTATCATCATGAACGGCCTGGAACGTCAGCCGACAACAACATCATCGCCAACAATCATCCACATGCACTGCTACCGCATCACTTGGATAGTTCGTTTTCTGGAAACTATGGAGGTGTTGCGATGAAGTTGGCTTTACTGGTATTCGTGGTATTGGGGTTACTGCGTGCGGTGCGGTTTGTTCGAGGCAGACGATATCAACCTATTCGGTTGCAGAGTCCGAGCACGGTGCAGGGTGGATTTGGAGGGAGGGAAGACGGGGGGAAGAGGAATTTAGTTTGATTCGAGGGGGACACCTATGTGTTCTGGGGGATGTTATCGACGTTGCTTGATTTCTGCTACTGGTGTCGGAGGAGTTGGTGGAAGTTCTGTATACATCTTTGCTTGTTGTACTACCATGTCTGTATGCTTTGATATCCTATCGTTCATAACTATGTGTGTAAATTTCACATAAATTCTACATGAATAATGAATCACCCTCAAGTCGCATCATTGACTCCATACATCCTAACAACAGTCAACGTACAAGACTTCGACCCAAATCAGGATCCTACTTTGTAAGCCTTAAGCATCAACCAAGCCCACCCCAACCGAGCGACAGCAGCCACTCCGCTCAGCACCGACCCCGATACTCCCTGCTGGTTGGCCCATCTTCATGTTTCCGTTAGGGGCTATCAGCTAGTCTACCTCTCTATCTATTAAGTAGAGTCTGAACTTGGAATGGATCTGCAAGGGCCCACTCAATATCAGAATCACGGTTCGATTGGATGTTCGGGGCGCTTGTGATTCTGTACTAAGCTGTGGTAGTTGAGAAGGGCAATTTCCTGGCTGGAGTGATTAGGGATAGAATAGCACTGTAAGTCACTAAGACTGAAAAAGCAGGAGGACAATCGCTACGTACTAAACTAAAATGAAGAGTGGTTACAGCGGGGCCAGATACTTAGTGCTCAACCGGCTTCATTTAGGGGGATGATGGCATATCCGTTGCTGTTCCTGGTCGGGTGTTGCCGTTTTTATTCGGAGGCTATTTTGTTATCCGACGCTGTATGACACTGTTATTACTAGAAGCACTTGTTATGGCTGTAGCCAAACAGGGATGACTGTAGAAGCTAGATATACTCTGTCATATGTCCACAACAATACGGAGTTGTCGAGGCTGGAATACAAACGTTCGGGTCTCGGCTATACGTCGATCGTAATCTTCCGAGCGTCGCTCTAATCGCCGAGCCATGAAATGAGGCCCTGGCGCAGCAAGGAGTGGAGACTACTAACAGCTGTATGCTAGCAGCCACTAACTGTGTACAGTAGAGTACTGGATATAGCCAGGACACCGTTCACCTGCTATCTTATAGACCCTGTTTATGGTGGAGTTCAGCAATGTTACTACTCGTCTACTCCAGACACACGAACAAGGATCATGAAGCACTCGTCGGTATGGTACCCTAGCAGACTGTCTAACTCTCACTAAACGTAATATCAAGGGAAGAAAGAATGGATATCCTGCTCCAACCACCCCCGCCTTCACTCGCACTGTGTGCAATGTCCCGAATGCAGCCTTACCCAGCTCAGTATTTGCTCTTGTGAGCAAGATCCCTAGCAGATTCTATGGCGAGCCATCTTCTTTTTTTGTCACCCGAAGCCTTAACCGATACTTATTGGCCATTCCAGACGTGGGCGCTTAAGATCTCCAGACGGCGTAGCAGACATGGCCCCCATACCAGACACTCGACACGAAACACCAGAGCTGGCAAGCTGTTAGCCGCCGAGCAACCCAAGAAGAACACTAAACAACCATGCTCTAAAAACAAGCCATCTCCATCTTCTCAACGATCCTTACCCTCCATGAAACTCAAAACAGCATCCCAGTCTGTTTCCCCTCCCCAGACTGCCCCTACATCCCCTGCCCTCTCTCTCTCCCTTCCCTAGCAAACAGCTCCAGCTCCAGCTCCAGCTCCAGCAAAATGTCCAGCGACAGCAACGACCTCGCCCCTCCATTCGGCTACCCCGTCCGCCGCAACGGCACCTGCTACGACACTGAAAATGACTGCGGTTCAACCTGGGGTCCCTACCGCGAATGCTGTCCCCAGGGCGCCACCTGCGCCCCCGGGAACTGCTGCCACTCCGCCGCAGCATGCGGCAACATTCTCAAACTGGATCCGCATTGCGGGAATACCTCGGCCATACTGTATTATGAGAATGATTACTTTTGTTGCTCGAGGGGGACAGATGCGTTTGCGCGCGTGTCGAATGGGTTCGTGGGCTGTACGGATGATGTTTCTACCTTGGGGTCTGAATTTAGTTTATTGTCGCCTGTTTCGACGACGAGTTCGTGTGAGCTGGACTCCTTTAGATTTAACTTGAGGATTGAAACTAACCGGGATTATAGCTTCATCTGCTACTGCGTCTGCTACGGTGACGTCACATGCTGCATCTACATCGACAGCAGATAGTAGCGCATCATCCTCGATAATATCATCAGCAACAGCACAGCCTACAACTGCATCTTCAAATACGGAAAGCAAAACAAATACAGGCGCCATCGCAGGCGGGGTTGTAGGTGGTGTCGCTGGCTTAGCACTCATTGTCTTCTTGATCTGGTTCATGATCTCGAGAAGAATACAGGCCGCACGAAGACAAGCAGATGATGATATGCCTTCTTCGACATACTTTGGCTCTCGAAGCAAGAACCATCACCCAAGAGAGCTGGAAGGGGATGCTGCTGCTCCGCCCGTTGCTGAGTTGGTGTCTGCTCCGCCGGTTTATGAGTTGGGATCACGACCTCCTGTGTATGAGTTGGGGTCGAGGCCGCCTGTTTTCGAGTTAGCGGGCGGTGTGGGTGAAGGGGGGAGGATATGATTATGATAGTATATGTGTGGGTGTTACTTATTGTACATATTGATTGCATGGTATTGATATAACGACTAAGGGAGATGATATTTTCTCCCGATTCTGATTATTGGGAAAGCAGCCTTACAGGCGATGTGACAGTGTCATGCTTCATACACCATGACTTAATAATAGTATACCAAATACTACAATGCATCAAGATTTCTTCATCCCTCCCACTCATACCCCAAACTCTGCCACCCCTAGCATCCATCACAATCATCCCTTCATCCTTCAGTATAACTCCACGCTAACAGCCTCGTCAACCGACCAGCCCCCATCTAATTCCCACACCTATTGACATCACAATTGACGCAGCACCGCTTCGCCTGTCCTTGGAACACTTCCTCCTCTGTCTGGACAGCTTCACGCTTATCGTTCGCTCCGCATCGCGCATAGGGGTTATCGCAGAGGATACAGCAGCGTTTGGCAATGGATGAATCCTATCCATTAACATTGATCAGCATTCTCATGTAACAAGAACAGAGAGACTAGTGGAAAGTGAGAAAGTAGTAGTACCTGATTATCAACCGGACTAGCCAGTGTAGCAGGAAGAACCGCCAACGAGAGGAAGGTGATGATGCTGGAGAGACGCATTTTGCAGGTTCCTTTCTGCCCCCTTAATACTGGTAATCCAGATAGATTGCTTGAAGAGAATATTCTGCTACTGCTATCTACTACGAGGATCGACCCCAATTTATACTTCCCATCCACACACACCTCCCTACTGACTTACTTCATGAAGTCCCTCCCTACACCGTGATCCGATCTCGGTCCCCCTCCGCCCGGCGCACCACTCTTGGCATACTGCCATGTCTCAGAGTAACTGGGGCGTGCAAAACACTGTCCAACTAATAAGCGATCAGCATGCAGATTGCATGTTGATCAGATAAGATAATTTTTAGTGCAGGGTCTCGGAAGCATATCCCCTTTATGGTGATTCTGTGACGTGGGTGCGGGATATGTGGATCCCGCTTTGATTTTCATGGGAGGAGGGTGGGTGTGGATTATTTTTGATGTTATAATATGTTGTCGTATTTGGGCAAATCTTCAAGTTATTGTGTTTGTGATGAGATGTAATAGTCGTTTGTTTCGGGTGGGTTTGGGGCGGAGGGAGAAATGGGATGGATGGGTTTGGTATTGGGGAATAGTTCAGTTATTGTAGTGAGTTTGGTGATTGAATGTAAAGGGAGGGGGGTAACTATCTGCTGTGTACTGAGACTTTTCTGGTTTCTTTGTATGTGGATTAGGGATCATATTTGAATTCGAGTCAGTCTATGTCTTAGTGAGAGGGAGCAGCGTGGTGACGTTGGCGTATAGTGAATTAGTCTTTAACTGATACCTGAAAAACTTCTTCACCATCTTATCTTCCTGTTATCTAGTCATTAGTAGTAGCTATGGATCCCCGATTCCACACTGAGGTTCCACAGTAAACAAGACCCATATCGCCACTCCCTTCCCACGTGAGCTGTAGTAGACTGTGGACTGAGTTTCTGGCATTCAAGTGCATGGTTAGAATGTGATCTAGTATACAGTCCCTAAACTTGCTTCTGTATCTCTCGAGGGGAACTCCTCAAGAATTCTTTGGGGGAGTGAAAGAAATTGTCCATTTCAGCTCTACTCATTGTTTGGTTGAAAGGATCCTGTAATGGGAATTCAGTACTGAGGGTAGAGGAGGGATTGTGGATATGTGTCGGTGCTGTTTTAATTCGTTCATGTGATGTAGGATGGGAGAAGCGGTGGAAATTGGTCCATCATGTCTAGTATGCTTATACATTAGAAACATGATAGTGTATCGTAGATGGTGTTGGAATTGCATTGCGTGTTAGTTTGCATGAACAACTAGCAGTTTGTTGGGCATCTATGCATCATGTCATTGAGTGGTTTAGTATACTCTCCATAGTATTTACCTTGTCGTGGTGGGATCCTCTTAGTATGTGATGTGAGAAGGGCCATGTCTCACTACGTAGTTATATATAGGAGTAAAAACTAATCATTTCTCATCATCTAATAGCAAATCCTCCAAACACCATTGCTGCTGCCGGGACAGACAAGCCCCTGTGGTAAAGATAAAGCAAAAGCAAAGCAATCAAAGCAAAGCAACGAGCAAGCAAAACAAAGTATACGCTCTAATCCGGTCATAGTACATACATTATAACATACAGACATGCATACATACAGACATCGTGGCTAGCTGATGGCTGCTTACGACGTCGCTGCACTCGCCCGCGCCGCATTGCTCAGCTGTCGATGATACGAACCAATGGTTTGGAAGCCCCTGTTATGCCGGATTAGTTAGTACGGTACTGTCTCCTCCGAGAGGGAAAAGGCATGGAAGGCACCCACCTCGCCAGGTCAAATCCACTCCCCTCTTCTTCGTCGTCCTCCTCGTCAGGTCGCTCATTCTTCGTCTCCGGTTCTCGGCGCGGTGGCATGCGGCCAGTGGCCATGCCGTTGGCCGTGCCTGGCTTGCTTGGACTGGCCAGGTTCGGTGGTGGTGGACTGCTGCTAGGGATACTTCCCAGTCCGTCGCCGGGGTCGCCCTTCAGTGGGCTCATGTCTGGCACGGGCCGGGCTGGCGTGCTGCCAATGTCTGCGAACTTCCAGAACTGCGCGGGAGAGCTCATGGGCATAAACTTGGATGGAATTTGTGCGGTGCTAGGCGGAGGCAGTCGTGGCTGCTGGCGCTGCGGTGCCGGCGTAATCATCGATGATGGCCCGTCGTCGTAGTATGATGAAGACAGCACAGGCGGGGATCCGGCAATGTTGTCCGACAACCCATAAGTCCGACTTAGACTAGTGCCATTGCTGGTGTTCTTCGTGGCAGATCGCGTGGGTAACGGGGATGGTTCCTCATAGTCGCGGGTGTTGGAAGGCCGCAGAGGGGCTCCTGTACCATTACGGGCGGCACGGGAGCCCCTTTCAGGAGTATACGCCTCAATTGGTGCGACAGGGAAGGAACTGAATCCAGGAGACGACACTGGCGGGGACTTCTTCGTGGCCGAAAACACCGCCTCCATGCCGTTGGCGCCCCGAGCGGCCGGATCCCTCGTGGCAGGTGACGATGGAGCTGATGATTGCGTTCCCTTTCGCAGCTGTTTCTTCCAGTACTCCTCGCGATATTCCGGCGCAATCTGCCATTTCATGCCTTTGCCGGGCTCGTCAGTCCGCCGGGGGACCTTCTGGAAGGCTTTGTTCAAGGACAAATTATGACGGATGGAATTCTGCTGGGTGTCAAATGGTCTGCGATTTCTCAGGATAAAAGGATAAAGAGGTGTTATCTTACCTGCCAACCGCTCTGGGAGTGGCGGTAAAATGCGTACTTGTCCATGATCCAGTTGTAGATACTGTTCAGCGTGAGTTTCTCCTCCTCGCTTGAGAAGATTGCCTGCGCAATCAACGTCGCGTAGCTGTAGGGTGGCTTCAGGTCCTTGGCTGCGTCTTTGCTGTAATCAATATCCTCCGTACTCTCCATCATCATACCGCGGTTATACAGCGGCGACTGCTTGGCTGTGCGGGCTCCCACCGTATCGGGCGACCGCGGGGGCGGCGTCACCTGACGCTTGAGGAACTGCGGTGCAGGAGCCAGCGAAGGGGCGCCAGTTGTGGCTGGGGCCGCATCCGCAGTAGCGGTCGTCGAGGGAGGCTGGGGATGAGCATGCTGGGAGGCATCCCAGGTAGCCACATCCTCCTCTCCGTTGGCGAGACGCTGAGCGCGTTCCACGAAGCTCGGATGGATATTGGCCTTATCGCCGGGCGTGACGAACATCATCTGGGTGTTGGCGATCTCAATGATATCACCACAAGAAAGGATCGCATCGGTGCCGCGCTTGAGGATCGCACTGTTCAAGCGTACGCCGTTCCGACCGTTAACGCGGATGTGCCAGGATGCCGTCTCCTCTCCATCGTAAAAGATCTCCGCGTGCAGGCGCGACACAAATTTGCTTGGTCCCAAATCCACATTAACTTCAGGCAGCGCGCGGGCGGCGATTGTAACCGGGCTTGACTGTTCATCCAACTTCTGTTCGCGGTCGGGCTCGCGTCCGATATTAACGTGGAGAGTTTTGACGTAATAGGTCCAGTTGCGGCCGGCAATTTTGGCGTAGGCGCGGATGCTCTGCTTATTTTCGGTTTTCGCGTTGGAGTGGTCCCGGAGCACGCGTACCTCTTCTCGAGCGGCGTCCAGGTACGAGATCACCATATCCACCAAATCCTGATTTTCCGACAGTTCCTGATCAGGAGACGAGTCGTCGGCTTCGTCGGCAGATTCCTGCTTCACGGGTCGAGGCTGGGGAGAGGCACGGTGATCAATCTATTTTGAAGTCAACAGCTGAACCTCTGAATACACCGCCGGGCTCCCATCTACTACCCACCTTGCGCTTCTTGTTGGACGGCCGCGTCGGGGATGAATCCGGAGCCTCCGCGTCCGACGTTTCCTGCAGCTGGATTTCCTTGCGCCGCGCGCGACGACGGTTGGAGAGTGGCATGGTGGTGGTTAAGATGGGGCGATCGCAAGACCGGGGTCAGCGTCGAAAACTTCTGTCCTGTATCGTCCGGAGTCTGGTCGCCAGCGTGGATGTCTAACAGGTCTAATCTAGGAGCGTGGTGTGGGTGGTGATGTTGAGGGTAGAGGTGTAAGCTAGTGGTCGTGTGTGTTGACGTCGAGTCGCAGGAATTCCGCGGCGAAAGCAGACCAACCGTGATGAGCTCAGCCGGGAGAGAAATTCACAGACAAATGATCGGCGAGAAAATGAATGACGACCGAACGAAAGGCAGGCGAAAATCAAAACCCAAACCGGGATGGCAGGTCCAGGCAGCGAGAACCAAGGGAACGTTTGCCACCGCGCAAGACGGACGCGAACTGGAGGAAGTGGCTGACTGATGCAGACGAGAAAAGGGCCAGCCACCGCGGGGAGAGGCCCGGTCGCGAGAGTTTGGTTCGGGTGATGTCGATCGGGATTGTTGAGTATGTACTAGTAGTAAGTAGGACAAAGGGTTTGTGTGAAACAAGGGAGGAGGAGGAGAGTAAATTGTGGGAGAGTTGATGATAAAGAGAAAAGAGGAGTCTAGCAGGAAATGCAAGAGAAGCAGAGAGAAAGAGAAGAAGAAGAAGAAGAAGAAGATTGATGGACCAGCAAGTGCAACGCAAAAGCAACGGCCGTGAATGAATTGCACGCAAACGCGCCGCGGGTTCAGGTTTGGACCAAACAAGATCAAGCGTGACCGCTTCCGTGTGGGGAACGCCGAAGAATGAATTCAATCACCGCCAAACTTCTTTTCTTTTGTCCTTTTCGTTCAGCTGTCGTCTTCCAGACATTCATGCCAGTGTAGTTCTGTCTCGCTCATATATCGCCAATTAAGGTTGATCGCCCTTGTCCGATCTGGATCTGAATCAGTACCATTCCATTCTAACTATTTCCCCATTCTCCTTTCTCTCTCTCTAACTAACCTCCCCTTTCCCATTGTCGAACCTGCCCGACCGCAGTAGATCCCCGGTTTAATATGTATGCCCACCAGTGGAGGCTGCCGCAACCGCCGTAAACAGGCAGTGGAGCCCACCAGCTGCATCCCTCCCAACGCAAGGATGAAGGATGGAAGGATGGCCACGGCCTAGCCGGGTGCAGTTGCTCGTGCTGCTTGTTCTCCTTCTTCCTCTCCTTCTTTCCACCGCCTTCATTCTCTCCCCTCAAGAGATAGGTATCTAGCACTGTCTAGTAATGCTGTTATGATCCGCCATCCGTAAGCCACAAAAACTCCAGTCGATGAATGACATATCCACAATGTCCATGTTACCAGCCATCCAGCTCACGGAGGCTTCGGAACGCCCTTGTTTGGGACAAACCATAATGAGAGAGAAAGCATTCACTGGAAAACAGAGCAAATGACTGGCCGACCAGCATTCTGACAGGGTTCCATTTCCATTCTTCCCCATTGGGGATAAAGCATCCTCCCCTCCCTCCCTCTCCACCGGATCAGGCAAGGTGAAAGCATCGAGGGCACGTTCGAACCCTGCTGATCCATGTCTGCGAGGGTCGGATCAACGTATCGCCTCCTCGTCCATCGCTGCCCCTGCGCTTGATCCATCCATTTCTCAAAACTCTCCGCTGCGCTGGTTGCGTCATGCCTCTCCGCGTGCGGTTTAGTGGCCCGCCATCGGAATGTCTGCCAATCTGGCCCTCCATGGCAGCCTGCCAGACCCAGCGAAAACAGCCTGCACTTCTACGCACTTGGAACTATTTGTTTGTCTACAGTTTACGGCATTGAGCTCAACAGAAACAGACCTAGGTTATCGTTGAATAAGAATATAAACGAGCCAGATGGGACGCCATTTGGATTCGGCGCCGTGTCCCATGCATTCCGCGGCGCCATCCATATACACACCTCAAACAGAACTCCGTGTAAAAGAAATAGCAAGGAATGAGAGAGGAGACGTAAATGAAAGAAAGTAAATCCCAGGGCCGGGCCCACATATACACGGCCCATGGCTCATGGGCGTAATCACACTGCGTTACCACGTGCACGTGGACAGGGAATCAAACTAGCACCCAGACAGTTCGTAGCAAGCCGGAAGAACTCGCTCCGGAAGAATCGAATATAAGCCCAGAGAAAGAGAAAAGAAAAAAAGAGATAGTGACCAGCAAACAACCTAAGGCATTTTTGAATCACCATCTTCATCCACCGCGCGTAGCGTCGGGTACATCACCACATCACCTGCCTCCGGCTTCACAGCCGGTTCCTCGGCCTTACTTGGAACCTCGCTTTCCACTCCTTCCATATGAGTGTCCGGGCTGGCCTCAGGTGTCTGCTCATGACTGCTGCCGTGGCTACTGCTGTTGCCGCCGCCAGACTCATTATTCTCGAACTCGCCCCGTTCCAGCCGGGATGCAATGTAGTTGCGCAGATACTCAATCAGCCGCACCTTCTCCACCCACTGTACATCTGCCCGTTCGGCCACCTCCGTCGCCGCCTGGGCGGTCCGCAGAGTTGCTTCAGCTTCCGCGGCAGTGCCCGAAAGAGCCGGGTCGATCAAGCTAGCAGAGATGCGCTCAGGTGAGGATGGCGAAGAGTGCTCCTTGGCCTTAGGAGTACGCTCACCCTCATCCTTGCTGTCCTGGGTAAGATCCATTTCCTCGCTCAACTGGCGAGTCTCTGGACGGGCGCGCTGCAGCGTGCCACCCGTGTACCGGCGGCGGTCATCGTGGTCGAAGATGCCACCGAGGGTAGACGGCGGTGCGGTACTCGACGCGGTCGGGTACCCGGCCGCCATGCTGTCAGCCATGGTAGCTGACGGCAGACGAGGGTACATGCTGCCTCCTTCATGGTGAGGCGGCGAGACCCTTGTCGCCGACGGCAAGGAAACGGGCGAGCGACCGGAGGTGTATGACTGAGCGCTAGACGGCGGCGTAAGGGCGGGAGTGCCTGTGGAAGGCGAGTGGGTGGCGGGGTTTGGCATCATTGAGGCAGAGCTGGTCGCTGTCGCATGGCTGGGGGGCAACTGGGTGGGAGGCGAGTGGGTGGTGCGGTAGCTCATGCCACCATGAACGTAATGAGCGCCCGGCTGGGCAACACCAGCAGCAGCCACATTGTCATCGTTCTCATATATAGTATCCTGCATCTGCTGCAGGAACTGATCAATGTTGATCAAGTCGTTCTTGGTCCGCACGTTACTCATAGGCGGCAGGTGGTAGGCCGGTGCGGAGGGAGCACCCCCGGGGCTGTATCCGCCACCACCAACGGCCACCGGTGCAGGCATCGGCTGGTACTCAGGCAAGGGCCCGCTGCTCAACACAGGGAGCGACAGGCTCTGCAAGCCCAGCAGGCGCTGGCCAACGGCAGCATAGGAGTTCGGGTCGAACTGACGCCGTTTCAGGTCGCCAAAGAACTCATTCAGGGCATCGTAACCGCGCTTCTTGGATTCATAGGAAGCGTGACCAGCCTCTGGGCCATGGTTCAGGGCGTAGTAGACATTTCCGTAGGACGGGTTGGCCGGCTGAGGGGGAGGGTGCGACTGGTAATACTGGGGAGCGCCATGCGCATAGCCCTGGCTCGGGACCGCGTTCAACGCGGGCTCAAAATAGTGCGCAGCGGTCGCATAGCCTACATCTCATGTCAGCCGGCAGTGCAAGACAGTCAGCCTGGGAAACACTTACCCTTGGCACCTCCACCGAACATCATGTCCGGATTCCGGGCTCCGGGCTCCGGCGACCGGACCAGGACTGAATCGTCGGCATGGGTCTTGACGTGCTTCTTCAAGTCCTGGGGACGCTTGAAGGCTTTGCCGCAGAAATCACACTTGTGTGGTTTCAGCGGTACATGCACGCGAATATGAGAAGTGATGTGGTCGCGCTTGACAGTAGTAGTGCGGCAGCTGCCCCATTGGCAGGTCAGGTTGAGGTTATTTGTGCTCTTGCGGCCGACGTGACGCTCGCACACATGTTCCTAAGCCGAGGCGGTCAGCTACCCCATCCAAACGAGGATGTGATGAGTCAAGCCAACACGTAGCCCATTGCCGGTGGACTGTCTCATCACAGTATAGAATATAGAATGATTTTTATTTAAGAAAAGAAGGACAACTCACATAAAGAGCTTCAGGGGAAGGGCACTTTTCCGAGCAGCCCTGCCAAAGGCAGGACAACTCCTCAGATGGACGAGTGGTGGTACCGTTCATGGGGGGATTTGCCACGGCAGCCGAGGCAGCCGCAGCCGTCGCGGCCGCAGAAGCAGCGGTCGCTGAGGATACCTGGGCAGGTTGCTGAGCTGAAGGAGAATCCTGGGAAGTTGAGGTAGGCATGGGAGCGGCCGTCGTCGAAGGGGCCGTCGTGGTGTCTTGGGGTTCCGACATTGCCAAGAAAAATCTTTCTTGTCCCTTTCTTGGGAGCAGCGGAAGTAGAAAGCGACTCAACACAAGTCCGCCTCAAGCGTGCAAGGGGAGGAAAAGATGGGGAGACCCAAGACTCTTGGTGCTAATGAAGGGAAAACAAGAGGATCGACTACGACAGATGGCGCGGTGAGGGAGTGGCGGACAAGAAAATCGACGATACGCACACCGACACCGGATATCTGAAAAAAAGGGAGAGAATTGGCCAAAGAGGGGGGGAAAGAAAAGGGAAAGGAAAGGACAGCAGGAGTGTCAAGATCACAAACACAAATGGCAGATATGAGCAAAGAGAAATATGGGGGGGGGATGTGAAAGTAATAAGGGAAACTAACAGATTGCCGGACCAGAGGAAGAGGAACAGCAGAGAATCAGGGGGGAGAAGGGGAAGGGAGGAAGTCTTGGGCCGAGAGGGGGAGGCTTGGGTTCAGAGCCGAGCCTTGCCTAGAAAAGGCCGCTTGCACAGCCGGGCGGAAGACGGGGACAAGACTGGCCAGGATGACAAGACACGACAAGCCTGGAGGCCTGGGCACCGACCGGGCCAAGAGGCCGTGCGGGGCTGGTGGCGTGTGTGTAAATGTCTGCCTGCCCTCTTTTTGGCCCTTCACTCGGCTGCTAACCATCACTGCGGTTACTACAATGGCTGTTATTTGCTACATCTCAGTCCACTCAGTATCTACAAGTACAAGTCAAACCGTTGCAAGAGAAGTCCCTGCACACACGGTGCATGGTTCCCCTCACTCAACCCCAGTCAGTAACCTACTAGTCTCACTAGTAGTGCAAGAACAGGCCGTCAAATAACGCAGTGGGCTACTAGTAAGTTAGCGACCGTCTCAATACGGTAACCATACACCACAGTTCCCCTGTCACCCACTCAAAACCCCGCGCCGACCGATGCATTTTTGGTGAATCCTTTGTTAGTCATCCCCCATCATGGCATTTCAAATGTCTCACTCTCCTGCCCGTCTGTCCTCAATTTTCAGGCACATAGATCGGTAAGAAGCCATATGGTAGACTCTTTCTTTGCTCGGGGGAACTGCCACATTGGCTTCTTGAAGTGCCAATAAATCTCCTCCACCCGCTTCTTCACGTTCTTCTCTTCTTTCACCCTCCTCCCCCTCTTGGCACCTTTCCCGCTCCGTGGATGAAGTCTTGGAAGGTCACAACTGACCGTGGTACGATGCCTGAGTTGGTCAGGTTTCCTCTTAGTCAGAATGGCCCCTCCCTTGGCATGTAAGACGGAATCCCTCGGGTCTTTCTGGCGCGGAGCACGAATGGGAAAGGTTGGCGAGGGGAAAAGATATGTCATCCCTGTCAGACAGAGTTTCCCCGTGGTTCTTTGTGTGTCTGGTTATTCGAAATGACACACCACTAGACTAGATATTAGTAGCACAGCCTAAGTGATGTCCGCATGTAAGCGCCAAGACCCACAGAAAAGCCCACGCGACGGGCTGTGGTGCTTACAGTCACCTTGCTCCTTTCTGGAATATGCATCGACGCTGCAGACTGGAAGGATATGTTTCTTTCTCCAGATTTCCTCCGGGCGTGATGATGCAAGTTAATCATACAAACCCTGCATGTGTGCTCCATATTTCAGAGTTCGGGTTCAGCTGGGTTGCACAGGTCGTACAGGTTGCACAAAGATGCAGCGAGTGACGTGCTGGGTAAACGGTGGTGGTGACCGAAACCGCCACCAGATACTATTCAAGAACTGACCGGAATGGTGGTGTTCCGGGCCTCCGTCTCCTCCTTGAAATGGAAATCGAACGAGGCTGCCAATTCTCTCTAAATAAAGTACCTACTAGTGACTCGACCTGTGTCGGGGACGGCAAGATCGGCGAGAAACTAGGCATCGATGTTACGCTGAAACTAAGTCACATGCACGGAAAGAGGAACGAATTCGGTAGTTCTGCCAGCAGGTCAAAGCCTGATCGATGTATGTATATCAATTCCCGAAATCTATTTACAAAGTCTATGTCCGTATAAAACCATGAAATAAGCCAAATTATTAAGCGCTCTCGACATGCTCCTGAGGGTCGTTCTTCTCGAACGCCCCATCCTTCATTTCGTGACGGAAACGTTCCTCTTCTTCTCTCAGCTGCTCCTTGAGTTTCTCGTTCGCCCTCCAGATCGGCTTGATTCTGAAGAGCTGGTCGACCGCCTCTAATGGGATACCACTGGTCTCGGGGATGAGGAAGAAGGCGAAGAACCAGGCGAAGAAGGACAACGACGCGAAGAAGAAGTACACGCCGTAGCTCATCGCGGCGAACATCTGCTCGGTGAAACGAGAGACAAGGAAGTTGAAGAGCCAGTTGCTGGCCGTGGTGCAGGCCTGGGACAGCGGACGGATGTTGGGATCGAAGAACTCCTATTCATAAACAGTTAGCAAGGTTTCCATAGGAGGCCCGCTTCGTTGGAGCAAAAGGGAACTTACCGAGTTAATGACCCACGGGGTACCGTTCCAAGTGGGGGTATAGACAGCAGTCCACAGGTAGAAGAAGAAGATGGCAGCAATACCTCCACCATTCAAGTGGTCCTGGGGGTGTTCTGTCGGGCGGACAATGTAGATGTAGGCACCAATAGCATACATGCAGGCGGATCCGCAGACGGCACCACAGAGGAGGAGCTTACGACGTCCGAATTGATCAACCAGGAAGAGCAGCCAGATAACGGTGAAGACAGCCTTGACGACACCAAAGATACCATTGAGAATACCCTTAGTGTTGCCAGTAACACCAAGACTGGCGAAGATAGTCGGGCTGTAGTAGTTGATGGCGTTGATACCGGACGCGTTCTGCCAGAAGAACAGCATGCAACCCAGGAAGAGGCGGTACTGCAAGCTAGGCGCCTGGAAGACAGCCTTGAAGGGCTTCCAGAAGCCCAGACCAACAGTAGCAACCTGCTCCTCGATGGCTTGGTCAACAGTAGCCACCTCCTCGGTGATGTAAATATCAGTTTCATCGAGTTGACGAATCCAGCAGAGGTTCTTCATGGCTTGCTCGCGACGACCCTTGAGGAATAGCCAACGAGGGGATTCTCTCATCCACAGGGAGCCGAGGAAGAGCATGCCCGATGGGATCAATTGAACAGCAAAGGGGATAACCCATTGCTGGTGGTCCGATGGCATAGTTTGTTCGACACCATACTATAGAGAAGGTTATCAGCAATGCACGTGACGAAAAATGGCAACATTGGGATGAAATGAAGGGATTTGAGAAATTTAGCAAGAAATAAAAGGAAAGCCACTTACGTTAATCCAAAAACCAACCATACCACCAACCTGCCAGCCAAGTTCATAGAAACCGACCAGTCGGCCTCTGATGGCCGGAGGAGCCAGTTCGGACAGGTAAATCGGGACGACGTTGGAAGCCACACCCGTGCCGAGACCGGAAAGGACACGGCCAGCGTACAAGATGCCGAGCCCACGAGAGCCGTTGGCTCCCATCTGCAACCCGGCACCGAGAATGAAGACAGCCGAGGAGATAGTCAAACTCCATTTACGTCCAAAAACGTGAGAAATTCCATAAGTGAGCAGAGCTCCAAAGAAGGCACCAGCAATGAACAAAGAGACGATATTTTCACTAATCAGATCCACGTGAGAACTGGTCATCTTATCCAACCCAAACTCGCGTTCGAAGGAAGGCAGAGTGATTGTCGTCCCGATGAACCCACTGGTATACCCAATCATGTTGGAACCACATGAGGCAATGAGGGCGAGCACATAGACTCGCCAATTGTAGACATTTTTGGGAGTCGGACGATCCTCAACGAGGTGAAGAATTCCACCCATTGTATGGGAGAAGAGGGGAGGGAGGACGAGAGGGAGGAGAAAACTCTGATGACCGTGAAAAATCCTGTCAACAGGAGGATGAACAAGGACAAGGACGAAGGAAGAATATAAGGGGGTGTCCTGTCAACAGGAAAGACGGATGGGAGAAAAGAAGAAAGAGAGAACAGACAGAGACGGGCCGGGCCATAAGTAATATCTCGGTTTCCTACGAGTTCTACGGAGCAGCCAGAATGTGGATACGGATTTCTCCCCTGCCTCGAACGCTCTCCACAATCTACGTCGTGGCCAAACCCCATCCGGGGAGGACCATTCTGGAGATTGAATAGCGAGGCCGTGATACGCCGAAAACGCAGCTAGAGGTGCTTAATCTTCGGACTATGCAGGAAGATTCCCACAATTTTTGCCCCCGTGATGTGGGAGGATGGGTCGGGGGAGTGTTTTCCCCAGACGTTGAGTCTCGCTTAGCCGGCGCGGAGAAGGTCTCGCCAGGAAACATTCAGCCGCAGATCAGGGGCCAAAACGCAGGAAGTATATAAGGGCCATATCCCCCCAGCTAGCTAAGGCGTTTATCCGAGTCAGTGTGTATATAACAAAATGTATACCCCAGTGGGTGGGGGAGAAGGACAGTTCCACGACTTGATGCCCCGTTGCGCCTGTGGTTTAGTTTACCCATGTTGAAAGTAGGTTGTGAAGAATTTGCCGGTGGGCCACCTGAAGAGTCCAACCAGATGCTGACCGGTCTGGAGGGGCAGAGCTTAGAGCTGAGGTGTGAAGGGGGTATTGGCGACCCGACAGATCGCCCTGGACAGCACATTCTTTCTCCCGGTTCAGGTCGGCACCCGAACGAACCAGATGGAAGATGATTCTGTTGAGAACCAAGGAATTCGGTTTCCAGGTTCCACAAGCTTAAGCGAGAGGCCGGAGGCTTCTGGGATACCCGAAAAGCTTTAGCCGGCATTTGTCCAACATGTTAGTCAAAATTGTCATGGATAATGGGACTCATGGCTCTCATGGAGTCAGGTAAGACCAGTCAGAGAGGCTGGGAGAGGCCTTAACCCAATCCTGGTGGAGATTAGGGCCGGAGGATAGCCGAGACGTGTAAAGATTGGTGCCGATCTAAACTAAGTAGGCCGTGGATCGGAGTCAGATGAACGGGTAGAGGAAGTCTAGGGCCAGCAGGAAAGTTTTACCCCGGCTCACCGGGGATGGGGATGGGGAAGGCCTGCATATCAAGCGCTATCGTAAGCATTTGGAGGAGACGAAGAGGCGACGGCGAGGCGACCACCCAAGATAGCGAAGTAAAGTAGGCGAGTCTAAACCCAGGCGGGAAATCCACACGATGTCTGCTCGCAGGTGGCACGCTAGGCTGCCTGTAGGCTAGTGGAAGCGCTAGCCCGAAGAGGTATGGCTTGTCAGCTGACCGGGTGTCCCTTTACACGGCGGGGATTCGCTTTCGACCCAAGGACCCCTACAGCTCGGCTCAAGAACGATACTCCGCGTCTTCTGGAAGCGCAAATGCGGAGTCTCCGCATCTGGCTCATTTATTATCGCAAGCCTCGCCGCATTATGATGCTAAAGGGATGATCCTTGAACTCTTTCTGCGACTGCGTGTGCCATGACGCAATTGCTGGCGAACTAGCTTGACATCTAACGTCGTGGGCAATGCGCATCCGGATCGTCCTCAATAGTCCGCCGGGTAAAAGAGCCACAGACCACGATGGCTGCCTAGCTAACGGCCATGACCAGCTCGCTAGTTGCTAACCTGGGTGACAATTGATAACAGTCAGACCGCTGACAAACGCTCCTCCGACCAGGGGCCAACGATTCCCCGCATCCCGAACATGCCGGAGAATGAGATATCCAACACAACAGCGGCAGTCACCTGTCACATGCACACTAACATGATAATGCCGCCTTGCATATGCATAGCTGACTAACCGGCATCAAGCTCCCGGCACATCCGTTCACCAGCGAAACACAATCATATCAATCAATCTGCGATCAGACCATCCATTCAGACCATCCCTATCCTTATCCCCTGCCTGTTACGATCCCAGGGTCACACAAACCATCATCACATCAATGCCTCGGGACAATTGATCAAAATGCCCAAACTCTCCCTCTCCACCCTCCTCACCTCCCTCTTCTACCTCCTTCCACTCTACCTCTTCGTCGTCGCCCCCCTCCTCCGCCAACTCTTCCCAGTAACACAGGACATCTTCGACCCAGACACGGACGCAACAACAGAAAGCGACATTTCACTGGACCCGGAGATCCTCAGCCTCCCGGACGGAATCATCCCAACATGTCCCGAAGACACCTACCGAGTCCACCTCCTCTCCAAGGACCCGCTAATCATCTACATTGAAGATTTCCTCTCCACTGCAGAAGCCGATCACCTAGTAAAGATAAGGTCCGTCTGAAACCTCTCCATCGTCGTTCCCCACAGCCCCAATCCCCATCTTAACCCAACCTAATCCCAACAAGTGAACCAAACTACTCCCCCTCAATAATCTACAACGGCCAAACCACCAAAGTCGACCCCTCGACCCGACTCTCCGACCGCGCCCTCCTCCCCCGCGACAACACCGTCCGCTGCCTCGAATCCCGCGCCGCCGCCTTCCAAGGCTGGAAACCACACCTCTACATCGAGCGCATGTGGGCCCAACGCTACAACGTCTCCGGCCACTACAAACACCACTTCGACTGGGCGGGTTCCGTCGCCCGCGGCGGTGACAGACTCAGCACATTCATGGTATACCTAGGAGATGAGTGCGAAGGCGGGGGCACGAATTTCCCACGTCTGAAGATGCCGCGCGGAGACCAATGGTGTCGGTTCCTGGACTGCGAGATGGCTCAGAATGAGAATGTGTCTGGGATCACCTTCAAGCCTATCAAGGGGAATGCCATCTTTTGGGAGAACTTGAGGTCTGATGGAACGGGTTATCCGGAGACATGGCATGCTGCATTCCCGGTCACTCAGGGGATGAAGGTTGGGTTGAATATTTGGAGTTGGTATCAGCCGCCGTCTAGGGGGAGGAGGTAAGTTTGGTGATCGTATCTATTCCTGTGTGTATTGGATGGAACGCCTGGGTTTGTATATTGTGTACATCTGGGTCATGTATTCTTTTTGTACCATGGAACGATATATAGCTCGTAGGTATATAGACAGCTACTAGCAGTAGAAAATAGACAAGACACAAGGAGAAAAGAAATACTTCATTAAATAGCATCATGTAACATATGCCTTTCCAACGCCAGCCATACGCCATCCCTCATCACATGAGCCTCATAGCCAAAACCAAACGCATACACATGGGTATATAACAGTTTTCATCGTTTAGCCTCCGACATTCCTCCATTGAGTCCAATCATCGCCCAACCCGCCCGGGCGGCACGCATCTCCGTTTCCGAAAATATCGTCCAGCGGGAGTCCCAGGTCCAGCCCCATGCCCAATCCCGGGGTATTGTTGTCATCCACACCTAAGCCGAATTGTCCGAGGTTTGCGGCCGTCGTAGGCACAGTCGTTTCCGCAGTGAAGTTCTGCGGCTGGAAGTTATACCCCTGCCATAAGAAGTTTTGGTTGGGCAAAGAGACTAGATCGGGGCTGTTGACAGCCTCGCCGCTGTTGATGGGCGTCGATGCGTGGGAGGCGGGTGACTGTAACTGGGAGGCATTCATTTGCTGATGGTTTGCTAGGCGGCTAGAGATGCTGTTGTTGAGGCCGCCAGGTGCACCGGAAAAGAGTGAGAAATTTCCGAAACCATCTACAGCAGGTGTGGTGGCCGCGAGTGTGCTGACACCATTGGGATCGGCTGTGGACGCCATTCCCGATGCAAACTGAGTAGTGACGGGCGCACCGGTCACATCTTGGAAATGGTCGTTTTCCAGAGTCGACATCGGTTGCGTCGGATAGGCAAACGGATCATCCGAGGGGAACATGATAGGCATGAGGTCAGGGAAGTTGCCGGGATTTCCAAATGCCTGTGCGTTGAATGCACTTGCGCTCGAGTCTCCGGATGGTAATGATGTCGAAACAGGTGACGCTCGGGTTGAAACACTATTGGTCGCAGTCTCCGAAGGCGTTGACACCGCTTCGGCCGGAGGCTCCGGGGTGGACGGAAACCACGTCGGAGGCTGACTATGACGGGGGTTGGTTGCAACATTGCGTGTCGCAGCGCTGTCATCTAGGCTCTTGGGCGTATTACTGGCCTCCGACTTGGTCGACCGATGTAGCAGCTGGTTAGGGAAGGTGCTGGCCCGCTGCGGCGGCGGCATCCCCGAGGGCATGGTTGAGCTTTTATGGGCCGATGCTCGACTGCTGCTGGAAGGCGCCGGACGCTTAAGGTTCGCACGGGCGGTCGCACTTTGCCGGTTCTTGAGCAGTTCAGGTAGGTTTTTAAACAAGCAGACCAGACTCTGGGAGCAGCGATCCGCTGCCATACTCTTCTTTGCCAGGCCGGCAAGGGTGGTCTTACCCTCCATGGCGTCCTTGAGAACACCGTCTTTCGCCGTGGGAGAGTCGGGATTCTCAAGAACGAAGAACAGGAGGGACAAAATAGCGAAATAGGTGGTGTACATGGTAAACCAGAAGGAGCCATTTAGAAGTCCTCTCTTGTGCATGCCAGTAGTGATGTGGACGATGTTCCGGGAAACACTGACACACGCCGCTGCACAGGCGTAAGAACGACGGTCCACCCCACGAGCCTGTGAGCCGCTGGAGACGTAGTGAAGGAAGGGTCGATATAGCATCACCTGAACGTGGGCGTAGCTGATACGCAGCAACTGCCGGATCCTGCAGCACAGTTAGAAAAGATCGGTACCAAACTTAACCGGAGGAGACATACCGCTCAACTTGTGGAGAGACCTCCGTTCCCGGACGCAGTGCTGCTGGCAACTCCTCCATCCAAGCCTGAAGATCTCTTTCAATCTCCCGAATCTTGGAGTGGCTCACCACATAGCGTTGATCCGATCCAGCCCGATGCTGAGCGTTTTTCACCGGGTAGATATACTTCACCACTTTGAGGATAATACTGGACAAGCGTGTATGCGCATTAGCCCCGGCCATAAGAGGTATGTGATCAGAGGGCATAGGCAGAATGCCGTCCTTAGTAAGAAACTCGGAGTCAACCGATGCTGGGAATTCCTGATCGATGTCGTCGTCACTCAACATTAAAGGAAGGCCCAGCATCGTGCTCACGTAGACGTCCATCTTTCTTACAACCCAGAAGACACGTTTCCGCAGTTCCTGCTCAAGCGGACTGAAATGCGCCGTCACTTTGCGATGCAAGCCGAGTCGCAAGGCCGACCGGAGAGCAATGCCCACGTAGGAGTAGCAAGTACTCAGTTTTGCAGAGGCCTGTAGGAATAGTACCATGAAGCAAATCGCTTGCAGGGAGGTTAAGTCACGGCAATCAGTGATTTCCAACAGCTGTTGACCTGCTTTGAAATATTGGAAGCTAGGAGGAATTAGCTTATTGCAGCCCAAAAAGCCCCCAACAAGGGCCGCGAGAAAGATACGAGCGACTTACCCTTGACCAATGGCACCCTCATATCCAGCAACATCAAGAGCATTTGCCCCGCCATCTGAGAATAGACAACCGACCGCAATGACAATGTAGAGGAGCGGCAGAAACGAGTTTTCTTCGTTGGTGAACTGATCAGGCGAAGTATCATACACTCGATCAAACATGGCGAAGAATGAGGGTTCGTGCGCGAAGCGCATCAGTGCGCAGCCGTCATCGAATGCATTGTGACACAGGCGTCGTGCAACTTCCCGCGGGGGCAGGTCGTGAGTGGGGGGCAATGACGCATCCTGCGGCGATTCCGATACCGATTTGGGACTGTCAAACTTGGATTGGGTGACCGGTCGCGACCGGATCGTCGGCGGCTGTATGTCGGAAGCACCAAGCTGCTTGCGCAGTCGGCGGATGAAGCTCATACCCGAGCTGTGACCGTGGTAGTCCCAGTGACCCTGGTCGTCCAGATCTAAATAGCCAGAATTGTCGACCATCGACTCGAGGAGCGACTCGTCCCCTCCATTCGCATCCGCTGTCGAGTCAGAGGTGCCCGTCATGACAACTGAACTTCGGCGCCGTTCGCTGGGGGTCGCGAGCGATGCCGCTGGTGGTGGTTGCTGGGATTGTTGTTTTTCTCGCTTGATGGCTGCCAGCATCTGCTCTGTGGCATGCACGTCGAATTGGGGATCGTCCAAGTTCAGATCGGGGAGCACAACGCGGAGCAAGGCCTCCGCCTTGTGTAAGCGATTTTCCAGGGCTTCGACATATTGAGGGGCGGGGTTGCGACGACGGTTAGACGGTTGATCATAGGTGCATTCTGTGGAGCGGCTTCCGTGAGCATGGATGGAAGGGAACAAGCAGACAATCGGGGAAACAACTTACCATAACTGTAGACGGTGCAATGAGTGCACGGCTGCTTCCCATCGCACTTGATCTTCTTGCGACGACATTCATCGCAAGCGCGCGTCACACGACGCCTCTTCTGCATAGGGAGAGGGTCCTTCACAGGCTTGCCATCGCCCAGCGCATCATCCTTCATCATCAAATCATGGCCGGGGGAGGCATCGTGATCTTCGTGGGCATAGAAGAAAGAGTCGGAAGCGGCCGAGGGATCATCCTCGTTCGCGTTGTCGGCATGCGCCGGACTGGGAGCGGAGGCCATGAGGGGAGCGGAGAGCAGCAGGGAGATCTCAAGGCGGTCGGCGCAAAGGCATGCAAGGGGGTATGAGGAGGATGTGGAACTGATTGATGGGGTGATGCACGATAGTCGACAGGAGACTAATCCGATCAGCAAGGAGAAATAGCCCGCGTGGCGATCCGACCGTTATCGCAATCTCCACGAGGGTAGAAATGACGCTTCTCACAGGTTCATGGAAGGCACGGCGAGGAGTGTAGTTAGCTGGAAGGATTGATCGGGTGTACCAATCTTAAATCCAGGAAGAGTTGATTGAAGAGGGTGCGTTCGACTGAGGTCGCACTGGTCGGTCGTGGCTTTTCTTCGCTAGGTTTGAGTTGTTAATTGTTTTTGCCTCTTGTTATGCTTTTGGTGGCTTTCGAACGGGAGTTCCTTGGGATGACGAAGGAAATGTTCTGGAGACTGGAGTAAGCCCCGAATTAGTCAGAATTGCGTTGCAGGAACTTTCGTGAGTCAAGACGGTGATCCACAATCAGTCGCACGGAAATAGTAACCAGGACGGGCAAGAATAAAGAGGTCTATTGCGCAACACCAGGCCCGAACACAATCGCGAGGACCGGGGATGGCTGTTAAGGCTTTTCTCGTCCGCGTGTACAAAGTACGAGGGGAAGAGGGGAAGAAGGCGGAATGGGGGGGTCGATTAGTTTGGGGAGGGAAGCAGTTCAAAGGAGGAATTTGGCGTGACTAAGGGAAGGGGGGAATTTACAGAAAGGTTTCTCCAAATTGGAGAGAAGAAAAAAAATAGAAGATCAAAGTAAAGTTAAACAAGCTTAAGCCAACAAGCCAGCAAGTGGAAAGGCGAGGAAAGGGCTCGAGTAAGTCGCAGTGATGAGCGAAGAAGAGCGATGATGGAAAAGGAATGAATGGATGGGGACGAAGACGGACAAGACGGGCAGATCCACCGATGCGAAGTGATGGTGTGGCCCAGACCCTGTCTCCGATTGGGGGGATTTCAACGGCACCAGGGCAAAGGAAAATAGATCCAAGTGCAAAAAAAAATATACACAAGGGGATCAGCACAAGAGAGGGATTGCGTGCGAGAAGAAGCACGGAAAGGGTCCAACAGTTTTCGGTTTAGAATAAGTCTGAGGATGAATCATCTGAGAGAGAAGAAAAAAGTGTAAATGCAGAATTAACAAAAAATCGCTCACAATAGGGCTGATCTGGATCCAACCGGCCGTGACAAGCGGCTGGAAGCGCAACTTGAGCCTTCTCCTTTGCCCGTGACGATGCCGATGTGTCGGACGTCCGATACAAAATTTTCTTTTCCTACAAACTCCATTGGACTAGCTGGGGAAACGGCTTAGCAGTAGCAGCAGCAGTAGCTCGGCGTATTGGCCAAACCGGCCGATGACTGCCTCGGTTGCAGAAACAAGCATCAAACCCACGGTGATTTCGCTGATTCGATCATTCCCGATGGATACCCTGATCCATGGAACCTGCAGCAACATCGATGAGCAACAATAAGTTAAAAATTATCCCCGGTGGGGATCGCATCTTCGGTGATGGATTGGATGAACCCGAAGACCCTAACTGGCCTTAGTCCTTCCTTTGGCTTTTGAGTAGACCAATGCTGCGGTCCAGTCCTCCATCAAAGCTGACGGAATCCTGTTTTCCTGTGTGCGTTCCCCTGTATCCACTCGTGTCTACTCCCTAGCTGTACCGGCATTGTCATTGTGGCCTTGGTCTTCTGCTCGCTTTCCTATTCCTTTTGATCTCCTTGCGCACATGTGTTCCGTTGGAGCATTGTCGTACAACATCGGCTCTGCATTGTTCCCAACTTGGTTGCAGCTCCAGATAGTCATACTAGCATACTGCCATGCCTATAGCACGCAACGGTATCGCGCTGCGCCACTAAATCTCCGCCAAGATTAGATAGACACTTTAAAAATATCTTCATGGCTAACTAGCGATTCGGGAGAGATAAAGGAGCCGTCGCATCCTCCCCCACACATATTCTCAAGCACTAGGAGCGGAGTTGAACAATGCCCTATCTTCTCGTTACGCTCTGTTGTTTGTTCGCCTGTCTAGGATCTTTCTTGTTTGGCTATGACTCCGGGGTAATATCCTCTGTTATCGACCAGGATTCCTTCAGATATCGCTTCCACAATCCTTCTGCTGCAGCGACAGGGGGTATTGTTGCGTCCTATAATGGTTCGGACACCCGCGCCGATCACAACTTCTTCGCATTTCATCTCCGGCTGACATTCTGCAGGCGGTGCTATTCTAGGCTCGGTTTTTGTCTCCTACCTCTCTGACCCTTGGGGGCGAAGGCCTGTTCTCTTCACCGGCGGCCTCCTCGCTAGCCTAGGGGCCGCGTTGCAGGCTGGCGCTGTCAACGTGGCCATGCTCATTGCCGGCCGTTTGATCGCTGGTCTTGCTATTGGGTTGATGTCCGCCATCATTCCAGTCTATTGTGTATGTATCGCTATAACGCATCTCTATGTAATCGCTAGATTGCCGCGGGCTCTGACTGCTCTCCCAGAGTGAGCTATCTCCTCCCCGTATTCGTGGCTTCTTAGGTTCACTGCAGCAATGGATGATTGGACTCGGAGTTGTTGTAGCTGTGAGTGATTTATCTATCTACTATACCCCTGTCCAGCTAGTCCGCTAGTCAACTACTAGCTCGCCCTCTATCCCTGACTAATCGCCTCCAGCAATGGGTGGGATACGGCTGTTCGCTTCGTACAGGAGATTTCAGCTGGAGTTTCCCCTTGGCATTTCAAGCAGTCCCCGCCGTGATTCTTAGCTGTGGCGTCTGGTTTCTCCCTGAGTCCCCTCGTTGGCTCATAGAGAAGGGCAATCCAGATGCTGGTTGGGCGGTCTTGAACCGCCTCCATCTACCTCGGGGACAGCTGAATGCTCTACCAGTCGAATCGGAATTCGAGCGAATCTCCGCGGGTATTGCGGAGGCCCGGCATTCAGCCAACCACTCCTGGCGACAGCTTTTGTTCGCACAGCCTAATTGGCGTAAGCGTGTGCTGCTTGCCTGTGGCATGCAGGCTTTCACACAATGCTCGGGCACGAATGTGCTCCAGAATTATAACCCAGGATTATACCGATCCTTGGGCTTGTCGCAGTCCACATCGCTCATCCTGCAGGGCATCTGGGGTGCATTGGCTCAGTTTTGGAACACCGTATTCATACTCTTCATCGACCGGATCGACCGTCGCAAGCTTCTCATTCCGTCGTTGCTGGGCATGGGCGCCACCATGTGCGTGGAGGCCATCTTGGGGCAGGTGTACAATAACTTTGAAAGCGTGGCGTCACCGAATCACAGTGCCGTTCGTGCTGCAATCGCTGTATTCTTTGTCTTTTCTTTCTTCTATACTAGTCTCGGGCTCATCTCTTGGATCTACCAATCCGAGATTTTCCCCACTGCTATTCGCGCCCGGGGCTCTTCTGTAGCCACCGCCACCAATTGGAGTCTTAATCTGGTTTTCGCTCAGTGTTCGCCAATCGCCCAGTCACAAATTCAGTTCAAATATTTCTACTGTTTTGCGGCCTTCAACTGGGTTGCGGCGGGTCTCGTCTGGACTTTCTATCCAGAGACCGCCGGCAAGTCGCTCGAGGAAATTGACCGTCTCTTCACTCCAGAAACTTCGATGCCCGCTTATGATGCAGACAAGCCTCACCTTTCACTGCCAATTTCAAAAGATAAGGATTCTCTGGTGGTGTTTAGCACACAGGATACTACATAGTAGTAGCAGTCATACTTCCAGACATTGAGCAGAACACAATGTTGCTGCCACGTCCAAGGAACCACATTATATAGTATATAGATGAGCTCATGACTTAATGTTACCAGAAATAACACAGTATTATCAATTCCGGGCGGCCACTGGGCCAGAAACAGAACCCAGCAGACGCTAAATAAGACGATCGAAATTGAAACGCAAGGTACCTTGTATGCTGTCATGTCTCATTGTGGGTATATAGAAAACAGAAAGATGACCATAAGACATGAAATGTAACGTTACAATCGAAATAAATCGCGGTGTACACAAAGAAGAGAAAATGAAAGAGGTGGGGGAAATGGAGACATTAAGACAGGTCAGAAAGCTGCAGCATAGTGTAAGGTTTCATACTCTCGAGCGAAAGAACAAAGTGCCGATACCCGTATCACGGAACTTACAGGCCTTGGAGGGCCGGCATAACGTAACTAGTGAGAGGCGCACTAAGGATTTCTTTCCGTAAGCTATCCTCCCAAATTGATACCGAAGGTATCCCCGTATGCAACGTTAAGCAGGAGAAAAGGAAGTAGTTCACATTCATCCAGCTATCAAAGCTGAGCCGTTTGACCACTTTGAGCATCCGACCTGCAAACCATGGCCGATCGTAAGGCGTCTGAGCAGTAGGGGAGTATTGTGTGAATTCGGGTGAATTCCCAGGATGGCGCGTCGACTCAGGAAATTCGATCGAACCGTCCTCACATGCGAGCATTATTTGCAGTAATGCTTCTACTGAGCCGCTCATGTTCACTTCGCACTTCAAGACAGTCTGCTCCAAGTTTCTGAGAAAGGCCTCGCTATACAAAACAGAGTTCCGGTAATCCCACAAGCCAGCATTGAGCATAATTAACGCAACTAGTCGTGCAACAAACTGTTTGCGGTTACCCGATGCTGTAAAGCGCAGCCCGGGAGGTGCTGCGAGTATCTGATACAACAATGAATTTGATTGGAATGCCGTGTGACGCATCGGTGCGATGGTTGAGTTAGTGGCTGTTCGCTGGTGTATAGCGAGCTGCTCGCAGCGTTTGAGGAAGCTGATGAACTCGCTGCACTGATGTTCAATCTCAGCCACTGGGGAGATTATGGGGTATCGGGCAATATTATGCTCAGTGAACGACATAGTACACGCCACGTTTTTTGGAAGCGGCCGCTGACGCGATACTAGTGCTCCAGTTTGAAAGGCTGGCCTCTGTAGTATGGCTGGAGGATTGTATTCGAAAAAGAAGCTAGGTCCCTCAGTCTCATAGCCTGAAAGAATATAATCTTGCCAATTTATTAGCATTCCGAGTCTTGTTCTGTGAAAGGCAGATGGCCCGCCACGGAGACGAATCATCTCTCTTGCTGCTCGCATATGAAGCCAGCTAGTCTGCTTATGACCAGGCCTAGGATCAAAGTCTTCAAGACCTGCAGCGCTTATACAACCTATAATCGCTTCATCAGAAATATCATTCGGGTTCCTGTCCCTGAGCTCTCGAAGCATGGTAATCGCACGGTCACGGTGATACAGAGCTGTCGCGTCCGGCTCCTCATTTCGAACCCAGACCCATGTATTAGCCGCATGAACAAGTATCGTGTTCTGAAAAGCCACAGGTCCTTTCATTCCTTCAGGGACAAATACTGCTGTGTACCAATTATGCGCCTTGGCTGACCGGAAGTGGTTTCCATATGAGCAAGCAGGCATTTCATTGACATAGAAGTCAAAGAGTCTTTGACCTTCAAGGTCCAGCTCAAGGGGCAGGGTGTTGAACGGATCTGTTCGTGCAGCACTCAGCATTGTCTTTGGCGACAACGCTACATCTCCTGGTGTCGTTGGCGCTGACGATGATGGCGTTGGAGTACTGGTGTCCGAGGTACTGCTTTGAGACAGGCAGTAGGCCTTGGGAGAATTCGATGAGGGATCCACAGTCTTGCTTCGGAAAGGCATGCCTGCATAGTATGGCCGAATGGTAGGCTTGGAAGTCGAGAAGACCCTGTGTTGTCTGGCATGGTCTGTCACCGTTTCACTCGAGTCTTGTTGCGCTGAAGAATTACTGGATATTGGTTCAAGACTATTTCTCCGCGCAAGGATACCGGATTCATACAAGGCTTCACTATCTTGTGTGCGACCCGTTTGGTTATCGGTTGTATTCATGACCTGATTAATAGCCCTTTGTTGCTGTTCTGTCTTCTCTCCGTGCGGCGGACTGTCTCCGATTTCAGCAGCAGACTGTCCGGTTGCATGCCGTTTTTGACGCATATATTCCTGCATAACATGGCGCTTTACTTTAGTCAGAGTACTCCTGCTGTTGTCAGATGCGTCAATAAACTGCCACTGTATTGGTGGTGGCTCTTCTGTGGACTTCTTCCCACTAGCACTGCTCGGCGCATCTGGCATATTGAAGGTTGGGTGCAGGGTGTTCTCGTGCGGCGCAAGCGCCTTAGTCTTGGTATTCAACCTTCAATAAGTGATTTGATAGCCGGTGCCTCACTCAGCCGGCAGGAGCAATGTTGGCTTCTTGCTGTGTAGGCGCAATGGCGGGGTAGTCTGAATATCTGTTGGAGACTATCCAAACACCAGCAGTCTTTACTGTTCTTTGCCGAATATTCGAATCACTATGCTTTCGACCCTGGAACGCCACCCCTGTATAAAGTGCGATGTCGAAGCGCATCCACGAAGAGACACCGACTGAAGTTATTGCCGGCTGCCTTGGCAATGGTGCGATAAAGGAATCTAGCTGTATCCGGCAGTGTGTCTTCGGTTACATCAAAACAGCGGCCAACTTCAAACATGCAAGTCGAAGTTGAGACAAAACTGCAGACTGATAATATCAAAGCGCCTCCAAAATTAAAGTGGAACTAAAAATGAATGTCAGTGCTTGACAAACGACGCTTATGGCATCAATCTTATAGGGACAAAGGAGGGAGTAAATGGAGGCATACGCACATGCAGATCTAGTAGCGGCGATAGGTGTAGAGCATAAAAGGTTAATTGTTATTAAGGCCATAAAGTTAATGAGGAACGTGAAGTCCTGGGAGCAGAGTGCTGTCAGGATCCCGGGATTGAAGTAGGCCTGCGCTGCTCCACGGTTTTGAATCACCTAACCATAAGCATCTTCGAGGCTGAAACCTTGAATCATGGATTCAAGTTCTCAAAGTAGCATGAAGGCCTGATCAGCACCAGATCGCTTGTTTCAGTGTCAACTAAGAGGCGCCAGTGCAGGGGGGGAAATGGGGGCCGCGTTGCAGGAAATCGGTAATCTTGAAGCCAGAGATAACAATAGCGTGGCTTTGGAACACAAACCCTTGTTCTAGAGAGGGGGGACTGTAGCATTGATGACGGCAGGCAGATATGTTCGCGAACCACGAATCGTAGAAGCTAGCGTGTCTAGTTTATCATTGAGTTGGAAGTTGGAAGTCCATTCCACGCTCCTAAGCATTCAACCGGGCTTGCGGGTGGGCGGCTGCTAGCGCCGCTTATCCCGGTGATTTCCACGATATTCGGGAGTTCACAATAGACTGCTTGTCTGACGACGTCATTGCTCGATATCAATAACCTTTGCAACTGAACCACTTCAAAGTTGATTGCGCGGCAAATTACACTGACTGCGTGTTCAACACAGAGTCACACTCTGAAGGTGATTGATGAGATTGTAGGGGACGTGATAATGCTTATAGAAAGCGTGGTCGAAAGGTTACTAAGTCTCATCCTGACTGCCGCAAAGCCTGGAACGGCTGAATGCTGTGACACCTTGGTGTACTTAGGTTGACAAGTATACCAGAGAGGCTTAAAATTCCCAATCTATGGTTGTATATCAAGTTATAAGTATCTTATATCATCATATCACTATATATTCTTTATATACAGCACTATATGGTAATAACGATCAGTCAAAGATTGCATTTTTGTCTACAACTAATTACTACTATACTGCAACTGTACCACAACAGGTGTAACTGACACCCTAGGCCCTTTAGTATTAGATGAAGTATGTGAAAGACCAATTTGAGCCTCTACGTAAGTATCAGTTGGTACTACTACCACGAGGTGGATTTTGTATGAAATAGCAGTACTGGTCTAGAGGGGAAATAGTACTGCACTAGTAACACCACAACATGACATGAAGCCATGATATATATAACCGATAACTATCCGTTTGCCAATTACCACTATGGTTTAGAGCAAAACAAAATATGTGCACTAGCCTTGCAGCTTTCCACCATGCTGTACAGAAGACAGAACTAGAGTCCTCCAGTAACATGCTTCCAAAGAGATCTTGATGTCCTGGCGACTGGACGGACAAAGGATACACCTGTTTGAGACTTGACGGAGTTAAGGCTCACCGCCTTGGCCGTAAATCCGACGCAGAAGCTGCCAAATCCTCTCCGAAATCCATCTCCGCGTCGCCGAGCGCGCTTCCCCCAGCTTGAAGTTACGGAAAGCTTTTGATCTATTGCGCTACTAAACTACTGAGAAAGAGACTCATCAAGCACGAGACTTATTTGTCAACACTGATTCTTGCACTGTGACGCGACGCCGCTGCTTACAGAAACACAGTTGGTATTGCATCGCACTCCGTTTCGCATCTTTCTCCGACCTCCGCCGCAATTGCGACTTTTACGACCGAACGATAGTCAACAAAGAAGACTTCGCCGTCGGTCACCTTAGCACTCCAGGCTCGTGAATGCTACCGTCTCAAAAAGATCATTAATATGAAATTGTATGCGATCGGAACAAATCTCATTATCTAAGTTGCCAGTCTGCAGAGCCGCCTGTTTTCGGGATCTTGAAGGCCAGCATACCCCTAGGATTCCGTCCTCGAGCACGCGCACGCCGGCTATCCACAAAAGGGGTGCGCTGGGACCTTAGAGGTCGCTGGAAGTGTTGGAGTGATGGCTGGGACTACGCAGGCGCCTGGCGATCAAAATCAGGTGGATGGTCGCGTTGCCAATCAAGGGTCGACAAACCCATACGAAACAAATCCCGATCTCCTCCCAAACGATGACCTATTCCTCGCCCGGAGTATACACTATGGCCGCTACGCGCCTCGCGACACTGACTTCAAGCCTCGATATAACCACTGGTGGGAACCGGATCCAGAGGTCACCTCATATTGGGAAGGCGTTGTCAAAGAACTCTGTACAGCAGAAAATTCTCTGAATGTCTCGGGGAACCGGGAGGTCTTCGCTGCTGGCAGCGTTGTCATTCGCGTTGATCGTGAACCTTCAGTTGGCGCCGCTGCTGAGAAATACTCGTGTGCCAACGCCAATGAATTGAGTGCCGCAAGGAAGGCTGAGGATACGCTCAAGGAGATGTCTATCGCCGTGCCGGTCATTTACTTTTGCGGGACAATTGATGGGAAGAATGTCACTGTGGAATCTAGAATCCCTGGCGTTACTCTCGAGGTAGCCTGGCGATACCTCACAGCTGAGCAGATCGACATGTTCAAACAGCAGTGCCGTCGTGTATCGCAACATTTGGGCGGAATAGACGCATCCCCCGATCGCCCTTCCTACGTTTGCAGTGGACTCAACTCACAAGCGTCACCTGATGCCCTGGAACCAGAGAAGAATATACTGTTTCGTGAAAGGAAGGAGGACGAACATGTCTGTCTGGTACACAACAACCTGGTACCGTCGAACATTGTTATCGGCGATGATAAGGTGATCGGGATAACTGGTTGGCGACAGAGCGGGTACTTCGGCTTTGAAAGGGCAGATGAGATACATCGACGCTTTAGGATACTGGTGGCATCTGCCATACATGGAGACAAATCTACTGACCTGCGAGCGTGGTCTGACTTATATGAAGGACTTGATGCCGCAGGAGTGGTTAGACCCACAAGCAAGCAAGATACGCCAATTCCTCTAGTCAAGACTGAGCCTCTCAACACGAATCTGGATAAAGTCCCTCTCAATGAAGAGTCGGAATCCAAGCCACCGGTTTCTTCACTTGACGGCCCGGCTGCGGACCATCTCACTCCAAAGAACATTGCGAGTCTCAAGAATAGGGGGTCTTCTAGGGCGTCGTCTTCTGACCGCTCCTCGCCAGCTACGTCCACGAAACCTGGCCCGACCCGGAAATCTGCTACTGCTGCAACCAAGAAAGGGACTGGGCGAAAATCGACAACCAAAAAGAGGAAAGCAAACGAATTGGAAAGCGATAATGTTGATGGCGGTCGTTCCAACACTCCGTCTTCGACTCGTGCTGGCAAGCCCGCGAACAAAAAGCGGAATTCTACCTCGCACACCAACTCACCGGCCCCGGATAGCAAAAGGAAAGGGAGCAAGAACGTTGAACAGGATGAGATAGAAGAAGAGGAAGAAGATGACTCTGATGATAACGATGAAATATTCTGCATCTGCCGCAAACCGGATAATCATACATGGATGATCGGGTGTGATGGTGGATGTGAGGATTGGTTTCACGGGAAGTGCGTCAACATCGACCCGAGAGACGCAGACCTCATTGACAAGTACATCTGTATGACATCCTTTTGATATACCACGCATAATCTATACCCGTGCACTAACACTACGCAGGTCCGAATTGCAAAGAGCAAGGCAAAGGATGGACCACATGGAAACCTATGTGCCGGCTAAAGGAATGCCGCAAGCCCGCCCGAGTCAACCAGAAAATCCCTAGCAAATACTGCTCAGACGAACATGGCCGGGAGTTCATGCTTCAGCGAACTAAGCTTCTCCTGGGTACGGGAACGAGAGCAAAGACGACCGCAGCAGGCCGAGCAACCACCAATGGCATCAATTCGAGCGAAAGCAATAGTCGTGATGGGACGGCTACACCAGACAGACGAGATCCGGATGATTTAGGAAGTCGAGGTGGAGTCCTTACAACAGGCGATCTCAAAGCCGTCGTAATGGGCGTCAGCTCAGCTAAAGAATTCCGCAAACTAGGCGAAAGCATCATATCGATCCCAGCCAAAGACGAAAGCACCACCATTACCACCACCGATCCCGAAACAGAGACCAAGAATGAAAAGAAGATTGGTTTGGATTTTGACGTGGACTGGCTCACATACTCACCCGACGAAGCATTCAAACTACAGAAGCTCCGTAAGCAACGGGACGACCTACTCCATCGCAAAGACATGCTCCGCGCCCGAAACACATTCATGACACTGGTGCGCCAGCGATCCAAGAGCATCCTGGAGCACCTAAAACAAACCGACCCGAAAGGCGGATGGAAAGATATCTGCGGTTTCGACAGCAGACTTGCATGGTCGGACGAAGAATTTGATGAATGGCGGCTATCCGAAATTGGCGCGAAAGCACTCGAGGATGGCTCGCCCGAAGCCCTGGCATCAAGCTATCCCGACGCTTCCACGGACGCCGATGGCGACACCGCCATGGATGACAACAACGAAGATGACTTCGAGAAACTCTCACGTGGTGTCTGTACTAAGAAGCGTTGCGAGAGACATAAACAATGGCTCAAGGTCCAACAGCAAGATGCTGTATTCGAGGAAAACACCCTCGCTCTGGATCTAAGCAAATGCGAGAAGGAAGCGAAGAATGTCGTGGAGAGGGCCGTTCTTAGGATGTGGGCCGAATCAGACAATGCGCAAATTGGTGGCCAGTAATACATACTGCAGAAGCTAACCAAGCGCAAAATGTCCTTCCCCACATCATTCCGTCTCTCATACCTCCTATACGCTTTCTATTTCCCTCATTCTTTGTCGCGTTTGACAATTGACTTGATTCGGTTGATACCCCCATTCATCATCATTTATTTATCCGGAATAAAAGCAGGATTAGCAACTGGAGTTAGTCAGCGCGGAAAGGCGGTTTTGGTCTGAAAAGGGGGAAAAGTTGGAACTGGTGCATAGTACTTGCATGATAGACGGGGTCAAGGATTTTTGTTTTTTGATATTTCCAGTGGAAGGAGATATTCAAGTGGAGTAAGCGGGGAATACTATTTACATAGGTCGCAATATCATACATCAGGGTATGCACACCCTTGCAGCGCATAGCAACTACCAAATCTCATATAATGAGTTATGACCTCCCTCAGCCAACCACACAAAGCTCACCCTCCAGAACACACCACCTCCCAACATTCCCACCCACTCTATCCTTAATAACCTCCACAACCGGAACCCTTCCAATACTCGACACCAACAGATGCGTATCGATCCCCTGATCCAGCGTCTTCATCAAAAGACTCGGAAACATCTCACTACTATGCGCACGAAACACAGACTGAATCCCCTCGCCATCCACCTCATACATTCCCCCAATAGCGTTAGCATCAATCTCCGTCGCCCCACTCTGAGACGACGCCACCTTCCCCAATCCGCTAGTATTCACCAGCATCACAGAGAGAATTGATGCGTGCGTTCGAGTCAACTGCGTTAGTGTACGTAATATAGACATGAGCATTGCAGATCCCCGAAGGGGGTTCGAAGCACGTATTACGCCCTCGGTTAGGGTGTCCAGGCCTGTGATTATGATGAGGCGCTGATCTGGTGTTTCTGTCAACGGTGTGGTTGATATGGTAGTTGCGATCTCGTGTATGGCTTGTGCGGCTGCGTTGAAGTCGTAGACGGGGAATAGCTGGACGGAGTCAAGGAGGGCGATTGCCTGATTTCGGGATAGAGAGGGTTGTTTGTTGAGGAGGGAGGCGAGGAGGCGTTGAGGAGTGAAGGCGCTGAAGTTGACGGGGTGGATTATGTAGACTTTTGTTTGGTTGGGATGGTGTTGATGTAGATAGGTTGTGAGGAGGTGGCGGGGGAGCTTGATGTTGTTAGTTATCTTCTGTTGCTGGTTGGAGGTGTTGTTATATAGAAAATTGATGATTGTCGTAAGGAGTATAGCGGGGGCGTGGATGTGGGAGCAAGAGGTTTGGATGTATGACTTGACAGACTGAGGGCAAGGCAGGGACACCTGTCTATGGAGAAAGCAGACATACTGTTCCGATGTACTCGTCCTCATCACTGGTTTCATTGTGTGCGTCTCTAAGCCTGGAGAAGCCAATGACTATGCCACTTCTAAAAACGCTGCCTGGACCATTGTGAAGTCCCTTTTGCACGTCATCTGAAAGATTCCAGCTGTGTTCCACAGGGTGTTGTTGACCTTGTTCGTGTTTGATCCCTGCTGATGAGCCAGACGGCAACATAGTATGAGCCAAAACAGGCGATGCTGGCTCAGCATCCCCAATATAAGCGTTATTGGACATAATACTCTTCAGTGGATCGGACTGGACGGTGGAGAAAACGCGTAGCTCTGCAACGCGTCTATTGAGTAGGATTCTGAAATTGTGCTGAGGATATCTAAAATCCCAGTAAACTTGCGTCTTAGGCTTGACTCGGTTAAGTATGACAGTATGAAACAGGGTCAAGCATGTTATTCCTCATAAACGCAGCCTTATGGTGCAATGTATACAAGGTGTGGAGTAAAGCTGGGTTTCACGAACGAATTGTTGTGCGCGGTTATTAGAGCCCAGCTCGCCGCTCTTAGCCAGGATCCACCCAGTAGAACTACTTGAATCGTCCCATATCTGGTTGGGACTTGAACTAGAGAACGCTATTATGGTTACTTAAGCCTTGAGGTATTGTATATAGTGATACAACACTTGGGCATCATCAAGCACCACTTTACATACAAATGTTAGTTAAGGAACCGACACGTGACAATGATGTCATAAGCCGGTCTCTGACATACACGGCATGCTAATATGCAAGCTCAGACAAATGGCAGTCTTGAATATAAGTATAGATTGGAATTTATGTACAGGCGCATTACGAAATACTTACAATTTCTTCAAAGTGCGATTAATCCACAATATTTCCAAGCGTGCGCTCATCACTGTAGAATATCAGATAGCGTTACCTATCGGCGTCGTAGGAGAACCCAGCCGACCATTATCGCCATTCGATGATACTTTTGTCCAAGTCCCTCTCTCATCATGTACCCATCCGCTGCTGTCCAACACATCCCCTAGGATAGTGGATAGTTCTGAACGCAGAGCATCAAACTCGTAATCCGGGGTATGGAAGTTCACGAGACAAGCTAAAGCTCCCATCTTCCTGACAGTGTGGGCAATAAGTGAATACCCGGTAGCAATCTCCATCCATGGGTCACTGGGATCCATGGAACCTCTCTGTTCCATCTCCGTAATCTTATCATTTGGAGAAGGGGCAAGTTGGATGCTCAATGACCGCAGGTTTGTCATCAATTCAACGGCATCCAAGACTAATTTGACATGGTTATAGAACGGGAACACTGCCGTATATTTGAACGACGTAAATGATTTCAATGAGCGGGAAAGATCCAGTCTCTCCGAGAACAGCTGTGTGGATGCCACAGTTCCCCACTTATTGAACAGGGAAGGAACCTGGAACATGAAATACTCGTAGTGATTGTACGCCCTGAGCGACGAAGACTCGTTGAAGGCAAAGGAAGACCATACCCGAGTCTCAAGCAGACTGGCTGGATGCTTTGTCTCTGATAGTAGAGAAGGCTCGCAGACCCGCGAATTCTGTTCCAACTGTAGAACCTGGAAAGGAACCTCGAATGCCCAGCTGTGTCCGTCCATGATCCGTGTGTCAAGCATGGCGGCTAGAAATTGGGGAGGTGCAATCACGATGATCCGTAGCGGATCGAGACTATCGAGCACTGGGCGCCACCAATAGGGATCCTCTCGATGATCGGGAGAGTCCATGCCCTTGGCCACAATCGATATTACATATCGACCAAGTTCTAAACTCGTTATGAAGGAAACAAAGTCCGCTACATCTTTGATATCGAAGCATGCGTGAGCGAAGAGGTGGGGTCGCACCAGCTCCAGGACTCGGGAGGAGGTACGTGCAAGATTCTTCAAATCCCTAGTTCTAGATGTAGTAATACGCATACAAGGAGGCTTGTGCACCCTGGCCAGAGAAGGAGGGGAAGCCGAGAGTTCTGTGATGATCTGATCCAGAAGCTCATTCGGAAGGCTTTCCAAGGGCGATTGTTGCAAAGACATTGTTTCACTTATCTGATATAGAGTGTCTGTCCGAATGCCTCACATTTCGGAGACTATGAGCTTCAAAACAAGTATGAAAAGCCAATGAATTGGACATTAATGCCAGCCCACAGCGACGTACTTCCCAGAAAGGAGTCATGGTGTGGTGAGCTTCGGGAAGAATTATGGCTGTCAATTGCCGGGGGTCCCCACATAAGTTCACGTGATAGTGAACATGGCGAAGATGGCTCCATAAGCAGGAAAACCGTGACAGAATGCTTTGACAGACCAAATTGTTTTTTTTGCAAAGTAGCAAGATTACTCTGATCTGTGGTCGCACTTTACACGCGCCACATTTGATGTCTCTCACTGAATTCAGGTCAGACTCAAGACGACATACTCCGTGTAGCCTTGGAAATCATGCCAACTTTATAGGAACGCCTTCGCTGTATGAATGTGGAGCTGCATTAGTCTCTCCCCGCAACTCCTGCACTGGCTTGTTCTGACACTCGACAACATAGCAGCCACCTGGCAACAATGTGCTATTCACGACACGATAGTATAATTTTAGTGGGGAGATAGGGAATCGTTTCAGTCAATACTAGAATTATTATTCTTGCTTCATGCATCTGCAGCCAGCCCAGAACAGAAAGAACCCCAGATAAAATTGATTGCTGAGTCAGTACTTATACATTGGCCCCACCGGAGGCTTCCTTGCCGATCTTCTTTCCGCCTTCCTGGATTTAGTTATGGCTCATCCTTCATCGAAAGCTGTCCCAGATGGCAGAAGTCATTGAAGTCATTGTAATTTCTCGGTGTATTTTTGTCTTTGAGTGGAGGTAGCATTAGAAAGTAGTACTCAAGAGGTGCGCAAAATCGCAAGAGTTTGCTTGATGATTTATCTTTCTGTCTGTTGTCTGGGCCTGCGAAATCGGTCCCAGAATTTGGGGTCACTGTCCAGAGCGGTGGGGCAAGGACAGACCGGAGAAGAACATGGGCAAGACTCGGAGAACTCGCTTGCTGAGAAATGAGGGGGTCTCTTGCCCCCCATTTCTTTCTTTTTCTTGACTCGAGTCGGCTGTTGTCTTCTTCTCTCTATTCTGCCTCCAGACCAGGTATGTTTCTTTCCGTGAATCCATGAAAAGTTGGTTGCCACTTGATTCTCTAACTGTTTTCTGGACAGAACACTCCCGCATATCTAGTCATCATGGCCCCTCAACTGCACCGTAACCCTCCTTTCCGTGCTGAGCACCTCGGCTCTCTCCTCCGGACGGAGGAGCTCCTCAAGACCAAGACTGCCTTCGAGAAGGGCGAGGTCTCTGAGGCTCAGCTCGACGCTATCGAGAACAAGGATGTGAAGGAGGTCGCTGAAACCCAGAAGAAGTTGGGCTATGCCGCCATCTCCGACGGAGAGTACCGCCGTCACAGTAAGCTAGGCCCTCATCCGTCGCGCATAACCATAGGAACTCAATGCTGATAATGTTGACCGCGACAGTGTTCTGGGGTTCTTTCTTCCCTGGACTTGAGGGATTTGAGGAGGTCCGTGATGTCGATGCCGATGTCTTCCGCCCCTACGCCCCCGATGTTGCGGCTTTTCTTGAGGCTGGTCACAAGCCTGGTGAGACCGTCATCTGCACCGGCAAGATCAAGCACGTCGGCAGCACTTACACCAAGGAGTTCAAGTATCTGGCTAGCGTTGTCCCTCCTGAGGAGGTCAAGAACCTCAAGATCACCCTCGCTGCTCCTAACTGGTACCATTTGCGGTACAAGGAGGGCAAGGCTTACCCCAAGGATGTGTACAGCTCCGACGAGGAGTACTTCGGTGATATCGCCAAGGCAGTTCAGGCTGAGCTGCAGGAGCTGTATGATGTTGGCTGCAGAAACGTCCAGTTCGACGACCCCAACCTTGCTTGTGAGTTTATCCTGCTTGTATATCTGTCCATGAGGATAACATGTTCTAATTGTATCTGCAGACTTCTGCTCTGAGAAGATGCTTGCTGGCTGGAAGGAGGACTCTCTGAACGTTCGCTCCGCCGATGAGACCTTCGAGCAGTACATCAAGCTGTACAACGACAGCATTTCCAAGCGCCCTGCCGATATGCACATCGGTGTGCACCTTTGCCGTGGTAACTTTGTTGGCAGCCGTCACTTCTCCGAGGGTGGCTATGACCGCATTGCCACCAAGCTCTTCAAGGAACTTAAAGTCGACACCTACTACCTCGAGTATGACACCCCTCGTGCTGGTGGCTTCGAGCCCCTGAAGGAGCTTCCCACCCACAAGAACGTCATCCTGGGTGTTGTGACCAGCAAGTTCGCTGCCCTCGAGGATAAGGAGGAGATGAAGAAGCGTGTCTATGACGCTGCCAAGTTCATCGCTGAGGGCAACAACATCTCTCTCGAGCAAGCCCTCAACCAGGTCGGTGTCAGCCCCCAGTGTGGCTTTGCCAGTCACCGTGAGGGTAACGCCATTGACCGCGATGGCATGATCGCCAAGCTGAAGCTTGTGCGTGAGATTGCCAACGATATCTGGCCCGGCCAGCTGTAAATATACCCGTCGTGAATGGCCGCGACATTAAACTCCTGTCGATTCAACAACGAAAGGGAGTATGAATGAATGTGACGACTTTAGCGTTTAGGATACCAGTTATTTAACATATGGATCAGATGTATAGTTTTAGAAAAATTCACGATTTTTTTCACCCTTTCTCAAATCCCATAAACCTAGACACATGTGTCATTATGTAGTTCGACGAAATGAGTACCTTGGAGTCACTGCAAGCCCATCGTCCCACCCGGGAAGTTAATGAAGGCAGATCACTTTGTCAACCATTGAGTCTCATCTTGCTGTTTTCCCTTATGCATGATTAAAGAAGCCCACAAATAATCGAAAACTACCAAAACTGATCAACAGGCCTCTTCATGACCCCATTTACTCCGCCGGACCAAGAATACTACTCTCCTTGATCGCCGCTCGCTTATGCGTATGAGCATTCTCGATCTACCACCCCAGACCAATGATCAGCTTTACTGTTTATTTTACCACACTTATCGTATCGAGAGTATGTACGCACCTCATACCGCGGCATCTCATCCGACGCTTCGATCTTCCGTCCGGTCATAGTACCAGAGTGCGTGCGGACGTCCCGGATGATGCCGATTGCTTCGGCGGTCTTGGAATCAGGTCCTGTGCATTAGATACGCCCTCGTTAGTTCTCTCTTATTCCTCTCTCTAAACTTATTTTATGCGACCATGAGCAGTGGAGAGTATATATGCGGTAGAAATGGAACCGGGACCGGGACCAACTCACCACCAATAGGCTTATAGCGAACCGTATCACCTGTTGCGTAGTCGGGCATTCTTAAGGATTCTTAATAGCTTTGTAGTCTTGTTGTGTGTGTGTATGGTGCGAATAACCTGCAAGTATGCATCTATCCAGAAGACTACTACATGGTGCCGTGCACTTTTAGTACACCCATCAAGTTAACTTTCTCCCAGTGCCACTGGTGTCAGATTGATGCTATCTGACGAAGAAAGTCGCATTACCATGGATGGGCGGGTGCTCGGAGCTTATTGATTAATTAGTCCGTGTATTTCTAACTATCCTTTCATTTATGCAAGATTGGGTTGCTTATATATCCGATGGCCGGGAGGAGGTGACTGGTGGGACGAGCATTCCGTTCCATGTGTCTGTCGTAGGATTTTCCGAGGCTTAGGACTGTGATTACGAGGTGGGTTTAAACGAGTCAATGACGTGGTGGAATATATGAGTTTTCTTGTGGCTTCTTTGTTTGTTTGTTTTGGTTGGGTTGGGTTCCTTTTTTTTATCGTTTATTCATAAGTGTGATTTTTTGGGTTTGGTAGTATCTAAAGTGATTATCAACAACCGAGCCGGCAAAAATAACTGGGATATAAATAAATGCGAGGAAAAGGAAACATTAAAGGAAGTATATGTATGCAGGTATGTGCTGGTCCAAGTTCCTTCTATTTTGAATGTTTCTACACACGAGAAGGGGGGCGAAGAAAAGCAGACAACAGAGAAAGGAAAATAGGAAAATAGTATTAAGAGACGGTATTCGAAATGACCCGCATCGAAACAGTGGGGATATCATGAAATAAAGAAGAAAGGAAAAGCGGAACGGCGTGCGCGTGAAAGGAATATTGCAAACACAGGATCCAAATGCTGCGTCTTCTGTCATCAAATCGAACGTGAAACGAGAGGTGTTCTGATGGTTCAGTTGGTACAAAGGAAACTGTTGTACACGAGAGGCCGTGCCCAAGGCCTCCAACTTTTGCGGCTCAGGTATCGGCCGGCGGCTGTTTTATTTCTGGGGTTGCGTCTTCACGTTGTTGGAGAGCCATGCCTGCGACAATCGATCGTTAGATGGCAAAGCAATAATGAGGGGGCGTGTAACTTACCAGGCCCTCGAAGATACCAGTTCCCTCCGTTGCGACACTTGGAGCAACGTACCACAGCTTATCCTTCAACTTGGTGAGCTGTAGCGCTTGAGTAACTTCCTCGGGACTCATGTCTGCAAGAAAAATCCTGGTCAGTCGCGACGTCGATTTCCATACTTTAAACGTGAAAACTTACGGCCTTGAACATCCTGCTTGTTGGCAAAGACCAGCAAGAGAGCATCCTTCATTTCGCGATCGTTGATAATCTTGTGAAGCTCGGAGCGAGCCTCCTCCAAACGAGCAGTGTCGCTGGAGTCCACAACGAAAATCAATCCTTGTGTACCTGAAGATTTCACCCAATGTCAGCCACTTGCCCCACGATTCGTTGAGAATACGCGAGAAGGGGAAAAGTACCAGAATAGTAGTGTCTCCAGAGGGGTCTGATCTTGTCCTGTCCACCAACATCCCAGACATTGAACTTCACATTCTTATAGGTGACGCTTTCAACGTTGAAACCGACGGTAGGGATAGTGGTGACGTCCTGATTGGTGAGCTTCAATTTGTAGAGGATTGCTAACGCAACATGTTAGTTTTGACATTGCCATAGTCGATGGGTGGACGCAGATCGAGGATCAAACTTACTGGTCTTTCCAGCAGCATCTAAACCCAGCATCAAAATCCGCATCTCCTTCGTACCGAAAATCTTCCCCATAATCTTGGAAACCTGACCACCCATTGTGACTAGCGGAGGCGTCTCCTGAAGACCGCCGACTGTTGATAGGATTAATGAGCGACTGAGCCTGCGGTGATTCAACGAGCGCTAGAGAGCGTCTCCGATGCAATGCAATTGCAGTAGGAATTCGGAATTCTAGATGGTGGACCGATCGGTCGAGTAGGGGGGGCCGTGGGAGGAAGAGGACAGCGAAAACTAAACGTAAGGTCAATTACCCCGTGCTAGCGGTCCGCGTCAACAGGGCGACGTCTCCATAATGGACCATGCGTTCGCAGACGCAAGGTAAACAAGACATATGGAACTCACCTTATGTAAAGAAGGGGCGATAGCGACGCACGTTGAAGCAGAGAACGGAGAGTGACGGTCCAACAGGGTCGAAAGTCAAATTGGACAACGATTGATTGAGCAGCAGCAATAAGAATTTCAGGGTTCACGATCCACACGAGGAGCGCCTCTCTCTCTCGCTCTCTCGCTCGTCTGCTCGAGCGCTCCGTAAAAGGGGCTGCCCATGACTAAGCGCCCCGCGCCAAGGATTCGGTGGTTTCAGCATTTGCAGCGTATCCTCAGGCACACACAACCACCTGCCTGTAGCAGACTAGAAGACTAGCAGTCCAGATGGTACTCCACTCGGACCCAGTCATTCCCGATCAAGAGGGTCGGAAATACTGGCACTGTAGTTCTAGATGGCCTAACAATCGAATTATCATTGTCAGTAGAAGCAAGTAGCCCTCCTTGGCGACGGACTTTCTTTATCATTAGCGTGGCCTGTGCCATGAATCTAGCCTTGATCTTACAACCAAGCATGAGTACGTTCTGCAGACTTAGCGCGCTGGCTATCCTGTGTAGTACCTATCGGAAGTCCCCGCTCCCGACGATCAACACCAGGCATATCAAGTGGTGATGGTTATGCCTCGTGGTACCTTGATTTGACTTGAGAGTAGGGAACCTACAAGCCACCAAGCATCTCCCGATCCACCTACAGTCCTTCATGGCCAATTACTCTTCATCGATACTGGTCAGAAAGGCGGATTCTCACTGCCGCCGGAGTAAATCGTATGCTGTTTGCAATACGTCATGGCAGGGTGGTAGCACACTCCATGGACTGGTGAAGTCATCCCACCACCACCCATGGTCTTACAAACCCCGGACCAGCGACCGAACCTGACGTCCCTTCATCGAGATTTATAGAAACAACCGTTCCTTTTCAAATTCCGAGCAGCAGTCTGATCAGCATTATCGAATCTCCTGGACATTGTACTCTATCCATAGTTCTCGAATAACCCTGCCAACATGACCACTGACGGTATACAACCGTTTCAGCGCCGCTCTTCCTTCCATCAACTGCAGCTCTCGCACCAATTCGACAAGAACTCCTGGGAGGCACCTCCATCGAAGGTAAACTTCTCTTCCTCCTGAATATCGCATGTCATCTCTAACCGATGCCGTTCCATTAGACTATCTATGCTGGTCTCTCAGTGCTGTTCGATGACGATGGAGTCACTGTAGCCCTCGCAATTCGCGATACTACCTATCTTCTCGACTTCCACCAGAAGGACATTGTTCCACAAGGTGGCCGGACCGTCTGTGCTGAAATCACCGACTATGTGTTGAACCAGTTGCGGGAGTATAGTGATGAACGCCTGGAGAAGTTCATCGGGCTGGCAATGCCAACTTCAGTGGCTCGGAGATGCTCCACGCTATGCTCACGTCTTTGGTCGGAGCTGGATGTGATCCCTTTGGTCCTTCCCGAGGAGAGTAATATTGGGGTTGATCACTACGTTGATCACCCCGTCCGGAAGTCCACTGGCTGGGAGCTCAAAAGCATCGATGAACAGGCAGAGTCCATGGGACGCAAGTGTGTCAGGTATGTCTTGTACGATTTCAAGCGGTCTGCATGCGCTTACAGCACTTAAGGTTGTTTGGCCCTGAAAATATTCCTTTGTTGCAAGTCGGTTTTTTGGGATTAGTTGAAGTTGACACTGCCTTCCATGTGCGCCTTACAAACCTGGAGGACTTCCAGAAGACTGTCACACAGAGGACGTGGGATGCAGTCAATTACTATGCCGACGACCTCAAGAACAGAGGCACAAAGATTGCTTTCTTCAGTGCCACTCCTCAGGGCGGAGGAGTAGCCCTCATGAGACACGCCCTTGCAAGATTTTCCTACTCGTTGGGAACTGACATCAAGTGGTAAGTCTTCCATCCACATAGCATCTGGTATTGAGTATCTGACTGATCTTTCAAACTAGGTATGTTCCCAAGCCGCGGCCTGGAGTTTTTCGCATAACCAAAAACAACCATAATATTTTGCAAGGAGTTGCCGCCCCAGATGAGCGCTTGAGCAATGAGGACTGGGATAAGGTGATTGATTGGATCAATGAGAATGCGAAGCGATACTGGCTCTCCCCTGGCGGTCCCCTGCGGCCTCCTGAGGAGGGAGGCGCCGACGTTATTATCATTGACGATCCGCAAATGCCCGCATTGATCCCCATTGCAAAAAAGCTAGCACCTAACCGACCGGTCATTTTCCGAAGCCATATTCAAATCCGCAGTGATCTGATAGATCAACCTGGCTCCCCTCAGGCAGACACCTGGTCGTGGATCTGGAAACAGGTGCAGCAGGCAGATTTGTTTATCAGTCACCCAGTGAGCATATTTGTGCCGAAAGATGTTCCAAACGAGATGGTGGGCTATATGCCTGCTTCAACTGATTGGTCAGTCTCAAAAGATACGTGCATGATAAAACTAGCTGACATTCCGAATTAGGTTGGATGGTCTGAATAAGAACATGCGTGAAGAAGATGTCGCCTATTACGGCCGTGTCTTCAACTCTGTTTGCAGAAACTCAGGGATGATGACTATAAACTACCCACATGGTAAGGACAACTCTAAAGTCATACATGCCGACTTGCGCTATTACAAGGATGCTAACCAATTGACAGACGAGTACATTGTGCAGATTGCCCGATTTGACCCTTCCAAGGGTATCTTTGACGTTGTAGATTCGTATGAGAAGTTCTATAGACGGTTCACCTCGTCCCTACCCGACAGATCACCGCCCAAACTGCTTATTTGTGGACACGGCTCCGTTGATGATCCAGACGGCACCGTGATCTACGATTCCGTGCTAGCTCACATCGAGAAGGACCTCCCAGATCTATCCGACAAGATTTGCGTTGTCCGACTAGGGCCCTCAGATCAGGTGCTTAATGCACTCATGTCAAAGGCCAAGGTCGCTCTGCAGCTGTCCACGCGCGAAGGGTTCGAAGTCAAGGTATCCGAGGCAATCCACAAGGGTACCCCGGTGATTGCAACCAAGGCTGGCGGAATCCCACTACAAGTAGCAGATAAGAAGAATGGTTTCCTCGTGGAAGTGGGCGACACAGATGCGGTTGCACAACACCTGTTCGATCTGTGCACTGACGACGATCTTTATGAGCGGACTAAGAAGTTTGCACTTGAGCATGTCTGCGACGAGGTCAGCACAGTTGGAAACGCCCTGAACTGGCTGTACCTGTCATCCAAGCTCTCCAAGAAGGAAGAAGTCAAGCCGCACAAGCAGTGGATCAACGACATGGCGCGCAGCGAAGCTGGCCTAGAATACACCACCGAAGAGAGCCGGCTTAGACGGATCTCACTGTAAACCTGGCCAACCACCAATGAGCCACGGAGTAAGATCGTCATGCTTCACCATGACCTATGTATCTAGAATGTTTTCGATATATGTTGCGCACACAGAATACATAAATGAAAGAAATAAACTAGACCAGGGGGTATAGTACTAAACAGCCACACACATGTAAACAGAACAATCATAACCATCATCAACATTTATCCAAAATCCAGCAATCACCTCCCAACCAACCTATACCTCTCCCTCGCCAACCCCCCCTCCGCCCCCTCAACCCCATACCCCTCCCCAACCTCACCCACAATCCTTGCCGGCGCGCCTCCAACCACACACCAACTCGGCACCACCATCCCCCCCGGCACCACCGCCCCATCCAACACATACACGAAATCCTTCAAGATCGCCATACTCCCCACCACCGCATCCTTCCCAATATGCACATGATTCCCCACCGTCGCCGCCTCCACTACCGCCCGCTCGCCCACAAACACATGATCCCCGATCTTGAGCGGATAGAACGAGTACACACCGCGGTGTAGTCGCGACGGTGGGCGTAGGATCGCTTGTCGCGAGATGTAGCTGTATCGTCCTACTGTGATGGCCACGGAGGGACTGTTTGGTGCGCCGCCGGCGGCGGCTTGTTGCGGGTCGGAGGCGGAGGACGATGAGGATGAGGAGCGGTAGAGGTCGCCTCGGATGACGGCGTCAGCTTGGATTACAGTCTTGCCGCCGAGGATGATGTGTTGGGTTCCGTGAATTAGGGATCTGCGGGAGATTTTGTTGCCTGTGTCCTGGGATTGGGTTAGTATGGGGGGTTTGTTTGTTGTTATTTGGGGGGGAGGGGATGGGATGTGATGGGGCGTACTGTTTCGATGTATTCGCCCTTGGGCGCTTTGGGGGGCATTTTTGTGTGCTAGGTTGATTTTAGGAACTCGTAAATTGAGAGGAATTGAGTTGATGTTGAGAAGAGATGATGCGATTATCGCATTGCTTGGAGATGGTCTGGGATGCGGTGAGTGGAAATCGTCGGCAGTTGGTGGTGGGCGGTGACTTTGATCTTGACCCACTGTACTTTTTTTCTATGTAGGTCAATGATATTTTTGTAGAAGTGCTATGCCAAAATTACATGGGGTATTGGGATGCATAATCTTGAATTTGTTGATCTTAATCTTATTATGTCACATAAAATGAAACACTTTTGATATGAAGTAATTTGTTTATTTAGATCATGGTCCACAGTGTTCCTGATATGGAAATTCATTAAACCCACGACATGGCCGCCCATAATTACTGGGTTGCGACAAAATGTAAGAAGATCATAAAAATGGATATATCGTGGCGTGCTAGCTGCTTATGGTAAATCCTCTGATATGGAGACTCAAGCGAATGGTCAGAGAGGGTTAATATTACGAGGCGCATTGTTGCATCTCAAGTGGGGAAGCGATGGTACTGGGTTCATTAAAATCTAATGTGCGAACAGTATATCGAAAATTATCAATCCCACTGGGACTCAGATCGAGATCATACAACATCCAGTCACAGCATAGTGACTCCATATAGCATATTTATACAATAACCCGTCTCATTTACTCCAACCATATCCCAAGCCCATATACCCCCGACACACTATTATCCCCACCAGAAACATACATACCACCTTCCACACAAACCCATCACAATTCTCAGTCCCTTACCCCCTCAAACCTCCGGCCAAAACATCCCCTCCAACCAAACAACCTGCCTCCACCACCGCTCACACCTCCCCAGCAATTCCTCCCTCTCACTATCCGCAACACCCAAAGAAACCTCATCCACCAACTCCGCAATCTCATCCACAAAGCGTCCAAACTCCTCACTCGTCCAGTTAGGAATAAACTGCACTCTCAGCGCACCACCATCCGCATCATCTCTTCCTTCCGCGCCCTTACTATTATTCTCCATAACCTCCCTGGCATACCCCCAAGCCTTATAATAACACACCTCCGTAGCCCACAACACCACCAACCCCTCCAACAACGTCACGCCGCTCGAGCCCGAGGAAAGGAACAAATCTGTGTATGCGTGCGTCGCTTCGCTAGGACCGAAGGTTGTCGCGCCCGGTGGGGGCACCTGCAGATCGAGGTTGTATTCAGCGGCGACGGTCTCGAAGAAGGTGAGTTCGCGCTGGATGTTGAGGAGGGCGGAGGTGAGGAGGGAGAGGATGCGGGATTCGAGGGGGGCAGGGCTGCTGGAGGTGGTGGTATAAGGAAGACGGATTTTTGAGAGGAGGAGGCCGATGAAGCGGACGTAGGACTGCGCGTAGAGACGGTCTTGCGAGAGCCAGGCTGAGAGGGTGGCTTTGGGGAGGGTGGAGGTGCCGGCGGAGTGGAGGAAGGGGTGGGTGGTTGAGGTGTGGAGGGCGGAGGGGTTGAGGTTAAGGAGGTGGGTTGTTAGAGAGGTCATTTTAGTTGCGATTGTGAGGCGGTGGGTGGTGGAAGTGAAAGTTGTAGGAGAATTGTTGTTTGTTTTATGGAGGGGGTTGACGAAAGATGATGGTGATGTTGATGTGGGTGGGGTAAGTATGGGGCTTGTGGAGGGGGTGGATCGGCGATAGGGATTAGATTAGGCCTAGGGTTGGTTCTGCAGGAAGTGTCAGGAACAGCATGTGACATTTGGCACAGGAGCTTGTCTTACATCTCGTTCTGCGGGAATTCCAAGTATGTTTGCTATGTCCATACGATTTCTGAAAGCGCTATACTGTCCCTGATGATCTCTAGGGATTGCTAAGGATGGTTAGAAAGTACGAGCTACTATCATTCACCATATCATGTTCGGCATCTCCGATGAACTCACTGAAACTAGGAGACACAAATTTGCATTATCTTAGATGCTTTAGTTTACAATATTCGTAGCTAGACGTTCGCCGAATTCTCCTCATAACCCCATTGAACGGCAGCGAGAGCATACGGATGTATCGTGAAGGTTGATATCCGGTAAAATTCAAATTAAAAAGGAACTTTTGAAGAGGATGATAGGCTAACAATGCATGTATGAGCCCTACGCTGAGTCTTCCTCACTCGCTCCCATAAAGCTGGCGACGAGAACCTCCATAGTGTACCGCGCATCATTCCCGGCATTGTGCAAGTACCAGCCCTTTAGGTCCAGTTTCGCCAGCACGCCTCCCAGCGACCGTACCGACTCTTCCTTCCGCAGCTTGCGAAACATCTGGGCTGTGTCGATCTGGTCACGAAACCCTCCCACATCCACCCCAACTTGCTTGAGATACTTGACATCTGCTGAAAGATTGTGGCCGACCAATACGAGGCGACGGTCCAGTGCATCGCCCAAGCGCAGGCTTGATCGCACTACGTCCACCATGTCTCGTTGCAGCACCCATTCGCTCTCTCCGAACTGAAACATGCCAGGACAGCCCGACACGAACTCATGGTTCACGATATGGCCGTATTCTCTCACTCGTAGATGCCGGGACTGGATACGGCTCCGCCACTGATCGCCGTTCACGCCCGGCGGAACCCCCACCAGACTCCGCATGTCCAACACTGACACTCCGACCTCAGTCACCTGGCTATGGCAGCGCTCATTCGACTCTACGTCGATACTGATAAACACGGGCTCTCTCCAGAAAGGATACGGTACTGCCTTGGTGGCATCTAGCGGCTGCACTGTGGGCACTGTACCCGGGGTATCCCAGTCACCCATGTCTGCTGTCCCTTCAATGTCATCCATCGAACGCAAACCAAAGTAGCACTGCATCCGTCGAACCATCTGCTGCATATCAAGCTCTTTCATCGCACGCATCAACAGTTTCTGCTTGGAAGATTTCTTTTTGTTCCTGGTGGCCTCGATAGCGGCTTCCACCATGGTCTCGAAAGCAGCGTATTCCTCGTCCATGTCTCCAGAAGAACTGTTGTGCTCCGATGATGGTGAAGGAATTTGCAACTCGAGCTGGTCCTTGGTCTCACGTGTGGTACTGCGGCCGAGGTAGACAGGCTGAGGATACCCATCTTTGAAAGACAAGACAAGCCCGGCGGACATATCTGCTGGCAACGACAATTCACACTTCAGAGCACGATTTATCTCTTCCAAGAAGGAGTTGACTCCATCGGTGGGAGTAAGGAGTACAGGCTTAGATCCGAGAGAAGCTGGTGCGTGGACAAAATAACTGGCACTTATCAGATCTACTTGTGCAAAGCTGTGAATAGAGCAACTTACACATCCCACGAGCGGTTCCAGAATTTACCTGCGTCGAAGAAGCGGCTGGAAACCTCTTGGCTCAAGGATCCTTTTATATGTCTGTAGGGATATTTGGCAATAGCCAAAAGGGGGCTGAACTGGCCGTTGAGAGGAAATACGTGTTCATATTGAGAGTCACCTGCCGGGACTGGAGCAGGGAGCTTGGGTGGAGAAGGGAGTTCAGGAGACGCAATCTGAGTGGGTTGAGTTGTGTCCTGGGTAGTTGTAGCTGAAGGCTTGTTTCCCAGGTTCTCGGTATGCTCTGTCTGAGGGCCACCAGTGTCATCAACGGGCCGAGATTCGGTTGCCTGACGGCGGCCAGTGTCCATCTTCAAGAGGTCTTCATCCCGCGCAAAAAGCAGCCTAAGGCGTTCTTCGGGACCCATTAAGGTTAATGTGAGATACTATAATCGAGTATTACTTTGGATTGTTAGTAGGTTGTTGGTGAGGGAAGTGAGTAGCAAGCGAGGAAGAAAGAGGGAAGAGGTATTTGAGAACGGTGTGTTGGCAAACGCGTGCAAACGGTAGTCTCCGCCATGAAGCATGCAGCCCAAATTGGCAAGCATGAAGAATTCATCTTCGATTCCGCTTCACCACATCATTAATATAATTGAATTGGCAATTTCCGTGAATGAACCTCTCCAGTGTCCTATATAGAGCATTCATTCTACATAGTAGTTGGCGTCTAATACGACACTAAATGAGGGTCGTTTACCGAGATCAGCTTCCTGGCCGTTTAAGCGTTCGGAAAAGGAAAAGTCAATGAGGCCATCCCAATGGTGTTTGTAGTATCGAAATCGTCTAGTGAATGACAAATATTTTAGATTGGCACAGTATTGTTTCGGAGCGTTAGCCTCATTGCTTTGTTCGGATCCAATTGCAGGCCCACGCGCCCTTCACTCAGAAGTTATACAACCTGGTTATCAAGGCCTATTAATGAGCCACTCATAGCTGTGATAATTACTTCTTTATTGTTGTTGATAAAGCCACTCTTGACTGATTCGCTGCTCTACTTCTTAGTCTATTGAACCAGAGCGGCTAAATTCGAAGCTTGTTAGTGTCATGGCTACCAACCAGCGGCCGATGATAGCAGTACATGACGTTGTTGTCTGAGAACACATACAATTTTCGCGCCCATAGTCGAGTAGGATAGAATTGATTATAATGATTAGTTAAGTTATCATATAAATAATAGATTAATCAAGGGAGAGTCTAGAGTGTCGAGTACTGTTCGGGTGACTTGGAAGCTCCTGGAACACGAAAGACCGCTGAGCGACTTGATTCTTCCGGGCAAACACCGACTTGAGACCATGTTCAAAGTTCAGTATGCAATATACCGTGCATACAATGATAAGGCAGGAAAGGACAAATGCTACACTGGCAAATAGCAGCATCATATCCCTCCCTGGTGTGTTGCCACGCGGAGTATTTCCACATAGAACGATGATCCGACTCAGTAAATAGGCCGCAATGCCTAGACGGCAGACCTGCTCGAGTTAACTATCTGGACATTGTAATTTTGAGGTTCCATGACTAACTGCAATAATGACGGTGGGGATTCTGTGTTCACGTCGGACAAAATATGTGCCCACAGTCATCACCAGCAATGCGGCTGGAATGAGTGCTAATGTCAAGGAATACTCGGGCTCCTCAAAGTGGACATCAACGAGGTCATATAAAATGATGAAACCCACCAGGAAGAAGAAGTCGAATTTAATTAGAACAAGATATGCCTGCCGGAGTTAATCACAAGTTCCCAATGACCCAAGTTCTGGAGGACTTCAAGTACCTCATATCCTCGATATTGTTTTCGACTCTTAGGGCTCCCCTGAACATACTGGTATATAGCCCAAGAAAATTCTCTATGGACCCAATACGCGATCGGCCACATAAAGAGCGTCGCAATACTGACGGTGATGGGAACCAGAAGCTCAGCAGGCTGGATTTCTTTCCACAGGTCTCTTGATAAGTCCACCAATGGTCGGCCGAGATAGTCGCGGTTCTCTCCAATAGTCAAGGTGGTATGATGAATAGACATGTACTGCATCACAGAATAGGCGAGGACACAGCCATTGCTAATGCAAAGGGCTAGAAGCAATATAATATTCTTATGATGTACCATGTCAAGGCCAAGAAATATCTCATAAACGACAGCAAACATGATGAGTGCAATGTTGATGGGGACCTGGTATGATATGGCGACCTGAGTGGCATTGGGATTCGTCCATGATTGCCACTGAACGAGGTTATATCTGGGATGTGGTAAGTAGCTGCGGATGATGTGGTGATAGCATTGTTTGAACTCACATGTTCAACACGAGAACAAGCAGTCCTTGCACGAACAGTGTTCCGCAGAACCATTTTTCGTTTTGCGAATTTGGCCAGTACATGGCACCACCCTGGGATCATTCGCAGCACTCCTGTGCCGGCTTAGGTATGTACCCCTATATACTCTAAATAATGCAGTGTTGCAAGGTTGATGTCGACAGTTCACAGCTTCTTAAGAAGATGCGGCGATCGAACAATTAGCAACCAGGGCTGTTGCGCTAGGGTGGCTTCAATCCACAAACTATTGTCAAAATTTGCAATAGATAGTCAATCCGTTCACCTACAATTGGTGGACCCTTGTTCCATCTCCCGAGGTTCAGGTAGCCATTCCAGGTGTCTCACTTCTTGCCCAATCAAGATTCTAGAGGTACCCACAAAGTAGAGCAGTCTGTTAAGGCTGGATACACATAAATCGGTACATGGGGCCGACTAGTAGCCGAAGAAACGGCGACCGTAAACTTTCTCCCCATCGAGTTCCACGCTTGACGCCCCGTTACTTGGGTTTGCATATTAAGCCTGCATGTCCACGCTCGCGCCCATATGATTCCGAAATCCTTCGTGTAGATAGGTCTATATGTTATGTTGGAACGTAATCTCAATCGATTACTAGTAGTCGAGGTCACATGACCGAAAACTCCGTAACCTCAACCGCTCCTTTCGAGCGCGCCTAGATAGCAAGAATCAAGCGTTTTCAACGACTTCAATATTGACCTAAAACGTCGTTTCAACAGGTTATGAGCCCGGCTCTTCGCTCGTGAGGCTAACCAGCAAAGATCTGAGCCAAATTACACACGAAGCAAGCCGCAATTGCAACGGGGACACGCACCGCGATACCCCTATTCCAAAACACCAAAACACTACGAATATCAAAATATTCAATCGCCGGAAGCAGACTCCAGAATGTCGCAACCAGGCAAATACCAGTCTCTACTACATGTCTCGAATACACAACCAAAGACACAAGCAGATAGGCTTCCAGAAAAGCTACCGGACGGAATTCAACCCGTACCTGAAAGGTTAAAGGGTCGAGAAGATTACTTAACATGGCGCTTTGAAATACATCAAATCCTGAAGAATATCGGTTTACAAGACATGATCGACAAGGATCTATCCCATCCTAATGCAGATCACACGAATTACTGGCTATGGCACCATCTATCAATTAATATCCAGTTCTGGCTAGCTAGCCAGCTGTCTGACTCTCTAAAGAAAGCACTGATAATGTCCCCTGACGCGCACGATTACGCGGATGAAGCCTATGAGATTATCAAATCGCTCGTTCTGGGCCACGGTCATATGCTTTATCAAATAACGTACTTCGACCTCATCTACCAACGCCGATCCGACTACTCCACCGTTGAACAATACGTGGAGGCTTTTAAACACGCATACACTTTCGCTAAAGAGTTCAAAGTCGGGATATCACCATACTGTGGGTTGCTACACCTGCTCAAAGAGTTGGAATCAGACCTCCCGACCTGGGTATCCACAGTGGAGTGCAATTTGCCTGATAACGCTGCGGACACCCTCCAGGAGAAGGAGTTCCTAGTTTACTGCAGGACAGCAATCGAACAAGGCAATAAACAAATGTAGAAATATTCTTTCGCTGCGCCAGCGAAGAACACTGGAGGCACCACCAAGTCCGGAAGCACTACAACGACTTCAATATTCACCTAAAACATCGTTTCAGCATGTTACAATGTTTTCGGCCTTTCTGACCCTGAAAACTAGTATTATAAGCTGCGCTATGAAGCATAGATATTCGGTACCGAGTTGAGGATCTAGGGTCTTTTTGACTTTGGTATGTGGGGCCTTGTGTTGCCTAGGCTGAGACCGCCCATCCAATTGGCGAGGCGGATTGAAGCCAATCACGAATCCACCGTTAAGTGTGCTTTATTTCGCCGCGGGTCCAACCGCCCGGCATCACCACTGGCAAGGATGGCTGCGCATATTAGATGTGGCCGAAGCTTGACTTTCGAATTGAAGACCTCTAGCAAGAAAACCCCATGCCAGCAAAATAGAATGTGCGCACACGGTATATTGGTGACACCACGTCTGTCCAGCCATCTCAACAAATATCCGCTGCACTTTTGTTAGTTGACATGACACAGAAGCTGTATACCGAACCCCCTCCCTCGGTCGACCCACCAGCTTGAGAGAAACTCCAGTGAAGTTGAAGCATTTCTCATATCTGATATACTCGTATCCAATGAAATAGGTGAACCAGAAGGTCGCTTAGACTTTTGAATTTATATTTTGAATTCGAAGACTGTAATGCACACTGTAATGCACATATTACTATGTGAATGTATACCTCGGGTGATATATAACTCGCGCTTTTAGCGACTAACGTTATATTACTCTCCTGAAACTGTAACTCAATTTAGCTTGCTCGAAGCCTTCATATTCGTAGGAACAAGTAGGATTAAGCGTCATGACTATCTATAGTGTCCTAGATTCATTGCATCTCTGTGCATGCTACCCATATGCGACATAAGATTGGCAGTAAATCTTGTCAACAACTGAGTATGCTCTGCTGGTACTATATAAGTGAAGAATATGCACTGCTAAGTACCTTGTGGATATTGCTGACTGAATTAAGCTAGGTCGGAAATGAATTCTTGATACATTGATTAATAGTAAATGGTGCAGACATGGAACCAAGTCTTAAACTGCGCAGCAAGGAGGAGAGCATAGTGCGCTGTCATAGTTTGTGGTTCATAGCAGACATAACGATTTATTATCATTCCACTAGTGTAAACATTTGTTGAACGTTGCCGGGCAATGTCATCAGTGTACTCCTTATATCGTACTGGAGAAATTGTGGTTTTTCCGGGCATGAGACGGCAATATAACCTTGCTTGTGCCTGTGCCTGACCTGTCAACCTCGGATCAATTATGTTCCGGAGCGCGACCCGCGGTGGTTCCAGCCGGAGGGAAACGAAGGCCCGGAACTGGCCAACATCTTCCAAGTGATCTCAGTTGCTCCTCCACTTCAGTCCCCGTCATTGGCATACTTCGATTGCTTCTCATTCTCCCTTACCTCCGTCACTTTGTCCTCTCATTGAACTTTTCCTCCGCTTTTCTCTTTTGTCTCTAACTTATTGTTCACCTTAGCTTGCAGGCTCTGGTCTGTCAAGCTCCCCCCATGTAAAAGTGCGGACCAGTCCCTCTTCCTGGCCGCACCCACCCCCATGGTGCCCGCCCATCTCTGACCATTTGTCCGCCTATTCCTTCAACGCGCCCTCTGTCGCTCCCTCAATCGCTCCATCTATTGCCCCTTCGCAATCGTATACCCTTTCTGTCTACCTGTTGGATGGCATGGCGGACTACCACGATGCCGGTGGGCTAATTCTCGACGGCCCCTTTGATCCCGACGCCCAGGCCACCGTCACGGACTATATTGACTACACGGAATACCTCCCCGCTGACCTCATTCGCTCCCTAACTCTCATCCGCGGCCTTGATGAACGCTACTTGGAAGCTACACAAGGCGTTCATGATCTCACCAAGGCCTATGGTCAACTGCCCACCCTCCCCTCGGACGTGCGTCCCGACGCGCGTGCTCTGCGCAAAGATATCTCTGAACAACTTGATCGCGCCATCAACGCCCGTGAATCGGCCTATGCGGAAGCTTGCCGTCTCTACGATGTCATCGATCGCCACTTCAACCGGCTAGACAGCATTAAGCAAAAGCTCGAAGCTCTCCCCAAGCCCGCGTCGCGCGAACCCACTCCTCCTCCCGCGCCGCCCGTCACAACAACCAAAAGGAGCCGCTCGACCAAGAAAACCGAGGAAGCTTCTGGCCCGCCCACCACGACGCGCATCACTTTGCGCTTGGATGGCCACGATACTGCTCGCGCGACAACTGTGCAGAAGTCGCGCACACGCCGATCCCTCATCTCCGCCGAGCATCTGGCCGATTTGCACCCCGACTCGCCTATTGCCAGCACAGAGCATTCAGATGTGGAGCCGGACAGCAAAATAACGCCCTCAGAGTCACCCCCGGAGCCGGCAGCAGCGCCCGCCAAGAAGGAGAAGGGCCGTCGGCGATCGCGGACTTCTGGCTTGGTTTCGACCGGTGCTCAAGGCCCTTCTGCTCCGGCCATATCGACCAGCAATGCGTTAGCGATGCTCAAGCCACCTCCTGACGATGCCAAACCTGGAAGCGAGGATATGCCATGGTTGCGTCTGACTGAGTGGGAAATGACGAAACTGCGGAAGAAGATGAAGAAGAATGCCGTTTGGCAACCCAGCGAGGTCATGATTCATCGCGAGCTGGCCTTGCGCGGCCGCGGCTGGGAGGCTTACCGAGCGGCGAAAGCTCAGGCTGAGGCCACTGGTGCTGAATTCTTGGACTGTGACGACATCATGAACACGTACGTTCCGGGCAAGCTGACCAAACGCAGCGAAGCCACCGGCGACACTGAGGGCACATTCGAGACTAAGCTTAGCAACCGTGGCATGAAGCTGAATGAGGCCAAGAAGCTTAAACGGGAGAACCAGGCCCGAGAGCAGGCGGCAGCTGCAGCCGCCGCCGCCGCCGCCGCAGCAGCCCAAGAACAAACAGCCAAAGATGGAGTCCAGCCAGGAGTGGCTCCCACTGATGTACCCACAGCTAGTGTTCCAGAAGTTTCAGCTGTGAGCAAGCCCACTCGTGCAGGGAAAAAGAGGAAACTCGAAGAGGTGACACCCCCAGAGGTTCCCCCCATTCCTTCAGCTCCCGTCCCCTCCACATCTTCTGCCCCCTCTGCTTCCGCTGCCCCCTCTACGTCTGATGGTCCCCCCACTGTTGAGCCCTCTGCACCCGACGGTCCCTCTCCTTCTGCACCCTCTGTTCCTACTACTGCCACCTCCGCTGCTTCCCCTGTTCCTACTGCCCCCGCTGTCTCCGCTGCTCCTACCGCGCCTGTGGAAATTGAAACCCGTCCTTCGCTGCGAAGCGCGACTAAACGCCGCCGAACTAGCAAAGGATCCCCCACACCCGTTGATCCAAACATCGCCAATCCTGAATTATCTACAAATGCAGCACCAGCTCCTACAGCTGTAGAAACCTCCGATTCGCAGAAGCCTTCCTTACCGTCGTCTCCAACTGGATCCAAGCGCGCTATCGCACAACCTACGATCTCAGCCGCAAAAGCGGCGACGCCAAACCCCCCGGTTACCCGCCCCCCCTCTCGCCGCTCGGCTGCTCTATCATTAGAGCCAACCACCAATGCCAGCGTCGTTGCACCTTCTACTAAACGCGAGCTCCGCCAGAAAAGCGCCACACCTGCTCGGAAGACTCCTGTGCCAGAAACCGCTCGAGCTGCCAGTGTGAGTGCTCCCAACCGCAGGCGTAAACGCCCCGCTCCAGGTCCTGTATCTTCAGGCCAAGACGGTGGTGCAGCGGTAAGCTACGGTCGCCGCAAAGCGAAGCCCGGGAAGAAGCGGATCGGGACGCGTGAGGTTGGCCTGAAAGATGGAACCCTGGCACGTGAGGACATTCGAATCGACGAGGATGGAGTACTGGAAGAGATCGACCCGAACGAACCACGGTATTGTCTATGCGGAGACGTGAGTTTCGGGACGATGATCTGCTGTGAAAATCAAGAGGTATGTGTTCTATATTTTTGCTTTGTATGGCGCCTCTAACATGAGTAGTGCGACCGAGAATGGTTTCACCTTGACTGTGTCGGGCTGTCTGAGGTACCAAGTCGCACGGCGAAATGGTACTGTCCGGATTGTCGGGTTAAGTTCAACAAGGGTGCAGACGGAATCGTCAAAAACAATCCGCGGAGATAAAGCTATACCATACTGACTGGACAAATTCTCTGATTTTGAGTGGGTGGTGAATATTCATGAGACCACGATTAGGCGCTTGGGCAAATTGTTGCATAGGGCTTGATTTTGTTCTCTGATTCGTTCTATTGATTGCAGCGTGGCGAAGATTTCATGGAGTAAAACACCCTTTGTTGGCTGATTTCATTCATCATAAGAGCAAGAGCTAATTCGGGTGATGGCGCTACACTGAGAGTATAACGCATTTAATAACTATTTGTCACACTCGTACGTGGATGATGGAATTCACGGTGCATGCTTATCATCCAATACCTATTTGGTCAGCTGGCTGGTGTTGATTGAGCTCATGTAGACCCAGTATACCAAGTGGGACATGGTATTTCCAACAATAGGTTTAGTTAGGACTCTATAGAAGACCAGTGGCAACCTGCATGGAAGAGCGTTGGTATTTGCGTTCAAGTATTCCATTATCCTTGACTTATACGTGAAAGGAAAAAGTCAGACGTATGAATATTCGTTCATGCAAGGAGTGCCATACAAACAGATCATCACTTGCGCAGCGAGACGGCACAAAAAAAAACAAAAAACAAAAAAAAAAACAAAAAAGAAAGAAAGAAAGAAAGGGTACGGAAAGCCATCTCATTGAGCCTCTACGAACAACAAGTGAGAGTAGTCTTCCACCCTTCAACCTCATACTTACCTCCCCTCCCACCGCAGTACCATGTCATCACCGCCACCATCCTACGAACTATCCATCCAAATCTTCGGCCCGGGCGAAGACCCCCACCACCGATCTCATTGGGGCTTTTTGATAGCTAAGCCCTCATCACCAACCGGCGACCTTCTCCACGTCCAAGTCATCCACCTTGACAATCTCTGGTACCAGTTTGAAGCGAGGATAAACACCCCGTTGCGCACCATGGAGACCATGATGCAGGCTGTCGGGAAAGTCAAGCTTGCAACTCTTGGTGGTGAGCAGCAGCGGCAACAGGCTATCGAGGTTATCACGGCTTCGCCTGCGCCGAGGGATGGGAGGAAGAGATTTCAGGATTGGGTGCTTGATACGTTGTTGTCGTTGGAAGTGGAGGAGGTGGTGCCTGCTGGGACGTGTCATTTCTGGGAGGGGTTGGTGGGGAGGTCGGCGGCGGAGGTGAGGGAGAGATCTGGGGTTGAGTGGGTTGGTGTGTAGTAATTACTGTAGGTGTTGGAGAGAGGGTGTGTAATGGGGGATTGGGGTTCCGATCTGTTCTTCATGTTACGAGATAGTGGGTTCTGCTTCTTCTGTTTGCATTGTGTAGGTGTAGTTGGTAAAGTGGCTGCTCAATCTACGAAGATCAGTAAATGATATTATGTTTTGGAATATGTTCTGGAAGAAGTCCAGGCCATCTTCCAAATCCAAGGATGATGGGCGGCTGTAGTGTCATGCCGAAGCGAGCTCTACAGTCCTACTGTTGCAGTGATCGTAGGATTTATCCACGCCGATGTGCTCCGAGCTGTCAGAAACAATATCCGTTCTTGAATCGGTGTGGTTTGTCCACCAACCAGCATGTCTTTATCCGGAATGTAGCGTGGGGGTTCCATACTTCGGTCTATCAACAGCCCGCCCAAGTCGGACTTCGCTCCGAACGCCGACCCCACTGGTTTCAGTTTTACTGCAGATACACACACGCCTCGGAAATCCTTCTATTCACAAGTCATAATCTATATGATACAATGGACTAAGCAATATCCGGCAACGACTTCTCAACCTCCATGGCATCCTTGATCTTCTCAGCCACCGCCTCCGCCTGCTCAGCACTCAAGCGAGCCAACGGGCGACGCGGGAATCCACCATATCCATAGTAGCTCTGAATGGCACTCTTCGTACCGGGGATAGCTGCCTTAGTGAGAACCCAGTCAGCCTTACTCAACAACTCCTGAGCCTCCATAGCCTCCGTGAAGCGACCCGCGCTCCAGAGGTTGAAGATCTGCACACACAGCTTGGGGATGACATTCGCGCCACCCGCCAGGATCGCGGAACCTCCGGACGCCAGCGTCTGCAGGGAGAAATCTGCAATACCTCCGAACGCAACGTATGGGTGGTTTGCCTCCGTCTTTGTGCTGGGGAACTTGCGCTGCGCCGGAGCCAACGGCGAAGGAGGGGTAATGGCGTGCAGGGCGGAAGCAACACGGGTCAACTTGCCGGTGTTGGCGCAAGTGAACTTCGTGCCTACGATGTTGGGGTGCTGAGAGATGCGGATGATGAGGTCGGAGTCCATGTCAATTCCTGCCACGGCACCGGGGTAGTTGTAGAGGATGAGAGGGATGGGGGAACCATCGGCGACGCTGGTGAAGAATTCATAGAGGGTTTGGTCGTTGCCGGTGGCGTAGCGGTAGTAGCTGGGGGGAACGATCAGGGCATATTCAGCTCCGGCTTCGTAGGATTCCTTGCAGAGCTCGATGGTGCCGCGAATGGATTGTTCGCTGGCTCCTGCGATGACGGGGACGTTGGAGAAGCCGGCTTCAACGAGTGCGGAGCGGGTCTCGTTGATCACGGTCTTGCGCTCTGCCCGGGTGAGGTGTACGGCTTCGCCGTTGGAGCCCATGCAGACGAGACCGACGAGACCGGCTTTTGCGAGGCGAACGGCGTGCTTGCGAATGGTAGGGACGTCAAGGTCTTCGGTTGAAGGGTCGAAGAAAGTCATGGTTGGAGCGTAGACTCCGGGGCGGAGCGGGGTAAAAGGCATTCTTTGATCTGCTGTTAGTTTTGGGCTTGGGTTCAGGGGGTGTGGTAGATGTACTTGACTGATCTGTAGAGTATATGTGTCTATAACTTTCAATTAATGGGATATGTGTGTTGCGAAGCTGTAGTTGGCGTTGTGCATCACTCGATGGACTTATATAGTAGACCACCCCTCATGTTTACCCCGCGTGCCCTGCCGTACCGTTTCGGTATCATCCCACGTCTCCACCGTTTCGGACAAATTTATCCACCAATCAGAATGAGCTTGCAGCAAACTTGCCACTTTTGTCCGTATCAAACGCCGACAGCAGCTGTCATACAGTAAGAAAAGTACTAACAGGGCTGCATGTGAACTATGTGAAGAGCGAGTTTTGAGGGGCATTATAGTAGCACCAATTCAAAGCAACTTGTAAGATACTGTTAGACACAATGGACATCGAATGGACTGTATCGCGCCCTGTATATCTTCCACCATTGATGCAATCCCATACCATTTTATAGCTCAACCAGCCATCGGCTAATGACCCCGCAAAACCCGGTCCAGCAGGATTTCTTATATGACCGCCAACCCACTGAGCGACCAGATTATTTCCTTCTTTCTTGTCATATTCTTCCCCTCTTAATATCTCTTCTTAGTTAAATTTACACCACAGCAATCACAATGGCTCCCCCAGCTGTGTTGATGGTACGTCCTCCTTTCCGTTCATCGCATATTCCCCACTAACCAGCAAACCAGGTAGGAACAGGCGAGTACACGACCGGCTACGTCGGTGGTACAGCCTCGACCTCCGACAAGAAAGTGGGTGTCGTGGGCCTAACGCTCTTCGACTTGCGTCGTCGCGGCAAAGTTGGCGATTTGAGCATGGTGGGCGTATCTGGATCCAAATTCCCTGGAATCCGTAAGCCACACCCTCGTTTCCCTTCATACTCAGCAATTCGCCAAAACTGACTGAGAGAAACCAAGGCGCACACTTGCAGAAGAATATCTCCGAAGTCTACAACGGCCTTGATGTCTCCTTCACCTCCTTTCCCGCCGACAACACCTCCGACCCAGAAGCCTACAAAGCTGCCATTGACGCCCTTCCCGCCGGCTCTGCAATCACCATTTTCACACCCGACCCCACCCATTACCCTATCGCTCTGTACGCCATTCAGCGCAAGATCCACGTTCTCATCACTAAGCCCGCGACCAAGCTCCTCTCTGACCACCTCGATTTGCTCGCTGAGTCTCGCAAGCACAATGTCGTTGTGTACATTGAACACCACAAGCGCTTCGACCCGGCCTACAGTGACGCCCGCGCTAAGGCTGCCAAGCTTGGTGACTTCAACTACTTTTACAGCTACATGAGTCAGCCCAAGAGCCAGCTGGAGACGTTCAAGGCCTGGGCTGGTAAGGACTCGGATATCTCTTATTATTTGAACAGCCACCACGTGGATGTTAATGAGAGCATGGTGCCGGACTATGTTCCCGTGAAGGTGACGGCTAGTGCGGCGACGGGAACTGCTGTCGAGCTGGGCTGTGCCCATGAGACGGAGGACACGATTACTCTACTTGTGGAATGGAAGAAGAAGGATGGATCAAGAATGGCTACGGGTGTTTACACATCTAGTTGGACCGCACCACAGAGGGCCGGTGTACACTCTAACCAGTACTTCCATTGTAGGTCGCTTCTCGGGGTTGATGTTGTTGGCTCATAGAGTGAATGATGCTAACAAGTGCAGATATGGGCTCGAAGGGTGAAATCCGTGTCAATCAGGCGAAGCGTGGCTATGATGTTACCGAGGATGAGGCTGGATTGTCTTGGATTAACCCGTACGTTTCTACTTCTCTTGGCGTTGGCTTGGATGTCATGCTTACTAACAGTTGCGCAGGTTCTATATGAAGTACGCACCCGACGAGGAGGGTAACTTCGGTGGTCAGACGGGCTACGGATACATCAGTTTCGAGAAGTTCATTGATGCCGTCACGGCTGTTAATGAGGGGCGGTTGACGCTCGATCAGCTGGATGCCAGGCCGATCCCGACGCTGAAGAACACTATTGCCACGACGGCAATCCTGCATGCAGGACGCATTTCCTTGGATGAGAAGCGGTCGGTGGAGATCGTGACTGAGGATGGAAAGTGGGAGCTGAAGTAGATACCTTAGAGAAGCTTGTATGTAATTACTTTGTCATGTATGGCTGTATGACCGTTTATGATTCTGGTCCATCTGTTGCGGTGAACATGCAGGTTTGCGACAACTGTTCCTCAAAGCTTAATGCTGCAGCTGTGCTGACCCCTTGGCCTTGAGTATTGACAAAGGGGCTTTGAACATGGTCGAATAGCCCTGTTCGAAGGGGTTCATTATCCCCGGTTATAAGATTCTCTCTTTGTTCAGGCGGCAGCGGTTGAGGCTGTGGCCCGGAAAGTCGCACAGACATACGCTACGACTAAGCACTAACTCAATGAGTGCATCACTCAGACAAGTTTCAATCACAAACAGAGTATTAGAACTTCCAGTGTGTCTACTCCGCAACGGCCGATCACACAAGGCATAATTGCATTGTGGTTGACAGCGGATTCCTGCCTGGCCAACTGGCAATGACAAAGTGGGCCAGACCGTGAAGGATTGGCAACCCCACGGGGGCGGGAAGGAGATGGAGATGGGATGGAGTCGATCCCTGAGCCGGAACAACAAGACAAAGGGGTTCGTCTCGATTCTCGGCATGCACAGACGGAGAATGGGTAAACATAGAATTAGACCTTGGACATCTCCTACAGGCATTGATACCCTGATGTAGGAGTGACCCCTCCCCATCCGCTACAGAGAAGGTACTTGTTAATGCCTGAACAGAACTTCTTCGCTGAGACGTGTATGGTATGTAGGAGACCAAACATCATTTCATCAGGCATCCACCTGAATGCCAGACCCCTGAAATCAAGTCCAATCCTATTCTGCCATCCGAGCCATGTGAGCCTTACGGATGCCCTAATTGACAGGGGCGAACAATGGCCATCACAAAGGAAAAATATCCGCGGCACACTTCTTTTAGCGGTTTAAAACTCAGCAGAAATTGAAGCCCGCCACCAGTCAGCCTGGGAGAGCCAATCAAGGGTCTGGACCGGGTCGGGGCTGGTCGGGCTGGGGGGCAAAAGAGGCTCACCGCCCGGGCGGCGGGCCTCCCTTTTCTCTCGCCCGATCCCATGCCTCCAGCTTTTAATTAAGATTTGTTGGCAGTAGTGTTGTTTTTTCTTTTTCATGCAGTCGCTAGGTCTTGGGGTTTAATTCTTCTGGGTTGTTTCTTCTACACTCGATTCTCTGAGACTTTCTTTCCTTTCTACCCTTCTCTCTTTTCGTTGCTCGCACCCATCCTTCTCTCACACCCCTCTTGCACTCTTTTGTTTTTTGGTTAACTATTCTCGATTTATCTATCAGACTCGCCCGGGCGGTTGGTGTTCGTTATCAGGAGTTCTTGTTGATCACATCGGTCTCTTCCTTGGTCACTCGAGCTGCTAGCCTGTCGATTTTTCCCCTTACCTACGCCATTCAGCCTCTCGATACCGCCTTATATCCCCTATTGACGCATCACATTTTCTTCCTTGACCAGCAGCGTTACCCTTGCGTCTGACCCCTGAGGGTGTGTCTCAGCCGCGCTAAGGGAATTAACTCGATTCCTATACTATAACAATCTACCGAGAACGCTCTGTCCTAAGTGTCCCCCGCGTGGCTGGCCTTAATTGAGATTGTCACTGTGACATCGATCGCCGTCATGGCTCCACGAGACTCTAGCACTATTACGTCCCGTCGACGCCCCTCTTTCTCCCTCCGCACTCGGCCTCGAACTGCTACGACCTCAACCGCTCATACAACCGGATTGGAACATGACGTGTGGCACGGGCTGTCTGTGGTGGATTCGGGAGATGATGATGACGGCCAGGTCGTGGAGGATATGAACCATTTTCCAGAGCCTGTCCCTAGGCGCCGTGAAGCAAAGAGCTTCTCTAGCTTACGCCATCCCGTGGACGGTCTGCGAGCTCTGGGTCGTCGCCTCTCGGTGACGCTCCGCAACAAGTCGTCCAGACATTCTGTTCATCCTCAACCAGAAACCATGAGAAATTCCTGGTGCAATGAAACTAGCATTAATCGTCGACCATCCCTGGAAAGCATCTCCGCGCTGCACGGTTTCTACGCCCATGCTGGCGCCCCTGTTCCTGGAAATGGCCTGGAGCCACCTGTTTTCTCGAATGACATTTATGCGGGAGCGGCAGCTCGCGCTGCAGCTGCAGCTCAGAATGAGCTGGCAAGAGCTCTGCGGGACAGTATGAAGCTCTCGGATGCAAGATTGACTCAAGACTCGGAAAGTGGCATTGGAATCGATCTACGCGATCGCTCAGAGCTATCTGACCCAGCCCTGGCTATAGTACGGATTGATCCTGTTGGCTGCCTTCCTCCTGAGGTCATGTCACAAGTGTTCTCCTACCTCGATCCCGAGTCCCTTATGCAGTCTGAGCTGGTTTCTCGTGCTTGGAGTGAGCAGGCATCCTCCCGGCACATCTGGCGGCACGTGTTCCGCCATACTTACGGACAACACCCTAGCGGGCTCCCTTTCAAGAAGAGACAATCTGCTGGTTTGGGTAAGACTCATCCCAAGCAGGATTGGAAGCGGATGTTCCTGGTTCGCCGTGCTTTGGAACATCGGTGGAAGGAAGGAAAGGCCGCTGCTATCTACCTTCATGGCCATAAGGACAGTGTCTACTGTGCGCAATTTGATGAGTAAGTTACTCGTTGGTAAACATCTGCATATAAGCTTTTCTCTAATCATTCCCCAGGGACAAAATCATCACTGGCTCTCGCGATCGAACCATTCGTGTATGGGACGCTCATTACCCTTGGCCATGCCGGAAGATCATTGGCCCTCCCCCGGGCGATGTCTCCGGTATTGGTCCGGTCAACAACCCGGCGCAGCAATCAGCCGGAAAGCCGCCCTTCTTGACCATTTGCCCCCCGCCGACGCGCTCTGCGGGGATCATGGCTCCCATTGAGCACAGCGCAGACTATCACAGTGCTTCCATTCTCTGCCTCCAGTTCGACGAAGAAATCATGGTCACCGGTTCGTCTGATTTTACCTGCATTGTGTGGGATATCAAGAACGACTACAAGCCGATTCGTCGCCTTGTGGGCCATCAGGCAGGAGTGCTGGATGTCTGCTTTGATGACCGGTACATTGTGTCCTGCTCCAAAGACACTACAATTTGTGTGTGGGATCGGCACACAGGGGCCTTGGTGAAGAAACTCCTTGGCCACAGAGGTCCAGTGAACGCTGTTCAGCTGCGCGGAGATCTTGTCGTTTCTGCAAGCGGGGACGGCGTCGCCAAGCTCTGGAACATCACTTCTGGCCTTTGTGTCAAGGAGTTTCCCAGCAAGGACCGTGGACTGGCATGTGTTGAATTCAGCGATGATGCTCGAACCATTCTCACTGGCGGCAACGATCAAGTGATCTATCAGTTTGACGCCAATACCGGCGACATGGTCAATGAGCTCAAGGGCCACGCGGGCTTGGTTCGCTCCTTGCACCTCGACAGTATGAACCAAAGAATCGTCAGTGGTAGCTATGACATGAGTGTCAAAGTATTCGATGCTCAAAGTGGCGAGCTATCCATTGACCTTCCGGGCTGGACAACGAGCTGGATGCTCAGCGTCAAGTCCGATTATCGGCGCATTGTGGCTACCAGCCAAGACTCTCGCGCTGTCATAATGGATTTTGGATACGGACTAGACGGCATAGACTTGCTGAAAGAGTAATTTATCTGGCTAGACATTTGCGTTTCGCTTATTTGCTGGGAAAAAGTCTCGGTTTGGAGTTTTCTGGGATATTCAGGTTCGCTTCTTGGGTTTATTAGCAGGGACATACATTGGCTAGCGATAGATGCTTATACATTTGCTCAATTAATTTATTTGCTCAGAATTTTCATCTAGTCTAGGAGTAGCACAAAATAGGCTGATTTTGCCTGTAAGAGTTCGACTTCCGTCTGGTGCAATGGTTCCGAATTCTAGCCTGAGGCATCCGTAGATCGGGGAGGCTAGGTACCTACCGTTGGTGATTTTCCAAAAGCGGGTTAGCGTGTGCAGTCCCGTGGGTTTTGTCGACAGCAACAAAACATCCCCATCTGCTCAACTTGGCCTTTGTTTTTCTTCGATATTAACAAGAGAGATCCAGCGCTACAGGGTGTTTCCCTTTGTTACTAATTCTTATTTCAACTCCCCTCCAATATTTGCAACCCCCTGCCAAACCCTGCATTCCTTCTAGCCCGGCATTCAGCCTTCCCTTACAACTACTTACCCCACTATGTCGGAATCCAGGTTCGTCGGGCATCTGCCTCTGTTCTAGGACGGCTTGTTATTCCTTTGCACCCATGGCTAACAATCTAGGATAACAGACAAGAGTTGCTGGCATGGATCAACAACCTGCTGCAGTTGAACATGACCAAGGTTGAGCAGTGCGGAACTGGGTAGGAACCTCCCTGACCGTCGTGGAAAGTCGCTTGCAACAGACGCCTTAGTAGCGCTTTCAACAAACAATTAGGCATGTCTTAGGCCTATAGGCTGACGGAGTGATCGTACAGTGCCGCTCTGTGCCAGATCTTCGATTCGATATTCAGTGAGTTGGCGTGATGAGCTCACCCCTTTTTTTCACCCTCGCCTGGACATGTGGCTTACTAGTTGCCTTCTAGTGGATGTCCCGATGTCTCGCGTCAAGTTCAACGTCAACACCGAATACGCCTACCTTCAGAACTTCAAGGTTCTTCAGAGTACGCCTCTTCCGAACGAATTGTGGTTTGGGAACGCTGTTTCCGTTAACACAGGACTGTTTAGACGTCTTTGCCAAACACCAGGTGGACAAGCCGATTCCGGTCGAATCTCTCACGAAATGCCGTATGCAGGACAACCTTGAGTTCCTTCAGTGGACGAAGAAGTACTGGGACCAACACTACCCGGGTGGTGACTACGATGCGGTCGCTCGTCGCAAGGCCTCTGGTGGCCCCCCGGCCGCTGCGGGTGGCTCTCGCGCAGGTGCAAGCTCCGCCGGTGCGGCGCGCCGTGGTACTACGCCTACTATTGGCGCCGCCCGCCCCCGTGTCGCTGGTGCCGCAAGCGCTGCCAACGTATCTGCGCTGCAGCAGGAGATTGCTACGCAAAAGGAGGCTATTGCTGGCTTGGAGAAGGAGAGGGACTTCTACTTTGCCAAGCTGCGTGACATCGAATTGCTTTTGCAGAGCGCCATCGAGGCCGATCCGGAGCTTGAGAAGGATGACGACTCGCTGGTGAAGCACATCCAGGGCATTCTGTACTCGACGGAGGTATGATTCCACACTAGCCGGACCTCTTTTGTTGCATGTCAAGGAGGCTTCTCATTCCCGAATCCGTGGTTAACATGTGTTGCAGGAGGGATTCGAGATTCCCGAAGCGGAGGCTGGGGCGGATGAACTTGAGACCTTCTAAGTTCATACCTAATAATGTTCGTCCCATTATTAATACCCCTTCATGTGTAGCACAAGCGTTCGTCAGTCGTCTTACGGCGTCTCTATGTCTTTAATTAGTTTTCCTTCCGTTTAGACCGTTGGTCAGACATGCGAGTAGGGTGAGGGGTTGAGGAGTGAAAATAGCAAGGAGAGTGGCTGGCGAGATGCAGACCCTTTGTATAGTTGTGACACAGTCTTTTTCTTTCCTCTCTGTCTCGACAGGTAGTTGGAAGCATGTTCCATTCCCATGTTCTTTCTTCCTCTCTCTTCTTTAGCCTGCATTGGTACTGATAGAAAGGCATTTCAAAAGGTGGAAGGAATTAAGTGCGTCGACATATGCCATGCGCCGTCCCCATCGGCAAACTAATCCTTGCGCAGTAAATTGGCAATCAATAAATGGTTTCTTGATTCGGAGCATACTACTCGATAAGCCGCTCTTGTATGGTGGAATATGTGTGTCATTGCTCTTTGTCGGTCTAACTTAGGTCCAAACGATCCTACATTGGTCTCATCACGAATTAATCTACCAACAACAGCTTTCATCACACGATTCTGGCTACTGCCATCCAACTTTCAATATCTTCACACGAGTGAATCAGAATCAATAGCAAGATGATCTCGCACGACTACTAATATGGTAGCCGTTCATTTGCACCAGCGTGGTCTTGTTGATATTCACTGTTTAATATACATGAGGGCCCGACACGGCATGATAGTAGGTACTATTAGTGAGACACGCCCACAATGTTTCAATATGATACAGCATGATCTGCTAGCATTAGAAACATAAGTTTGTCATCGTATGTATGTGTGTGTTTGTAGGGTGTTGGATTTAGAGAGAGAACCTGAAGTTGGGGGCTGAGTGATGTGCCCAATGCAGATTTATATTCTTCTTACCTTTTTTTGTCATCTGCGCTATCTGCCAGGTGATAGATGAGTATGTTAGATGTTTAATGATCTTACGGGGAAGGGGAGGCAGACAAGGGAATCTGAGATGAGAGGGATGGTAAGTGGCTAATTGAGTAGCAACTTACTTTGCTTGAGTCATGTGGAGGTATGTGAGCTTAGTGAGGGGCTCTCTTGCTACTCATTTTAGATGTCGGTAGAGGCTTGTGCATGTCGATGTTTATTGTTTCAGCTACAACGATATGACGATAAAGTCAACCATGATGGTATAGTGGGGTAATGCTTAGGAATGGCTCTTAGGGAGAGCAATCGGTGACCATTCGGAGTTTTTGAACATGGAATTTGTCGGTGACTGTGGATGTTTGAGGAATGTATTCAGGGTCATATTGTCTCTAGTTGATGTGTTTTGATGTAGATATATGCTAGGATCTTGCATGACTAGAATGTCGATCACTTCAATTGCTACTATGCCAAAAAATAATGAGTTTGCATATAGTAGTAAGGAATGCAAATCATACCCTACATGTCATCTGATTAATTTCAAGCACTTACTCCCCGAGATCTTCCAGTGGCAATGATGAACATTCCTCGAAGTTTCCACGATTGTTCTCGATGGCCGGACGGGAGATGGACATGACAGGAGCCGGCCGGGCTATGATATAAATAGCGGGTTCTAAGAGTGGGGTGGGGCTCTGAGACACGGAAAAGAGACATACGTACGTATACGTGTATCGAAACCGCAACCAAATCTGTTTGTCTGCCTAGTTACCAATATTCTCCTTTTTTCTTTTTGTTTGCTTCTTTGGTCTTGGGGAGAGATCATAAGCTGACTCAGGTATCTACGTCTGGGATCTGATACTAGCTAACTGAGTGAGCTTATGGAGTGCATCCTCTTGCATGACTCGACTAGTTCCTGTTCATCTCGATAGCGACGATCCATTGTCGGTTGTGGATGGGAGTGATTCAGATGGGGCGTACCTTGCAGAGTGAGTGGTGAGTGGTGACATCGCAGCGGCTAATGCCTTAGAGAGTCGTTAGGGAGGTGAGTCCCTTGCATCATTGCGTGGGACCTAGGAAGAACTTCGGGACGTTGTGGGTGTCCGTGTCTAGACTCTGGATGGACTTTTCTTTCGTGAAGTGGATAAATGAGTCGTATCCTCGATTAGATGATGGATCCCGTGTGTATGTGTGGATATTGTCTTGTTGTTGTGGTGGCTTCATGGGGTCGAAATCCTGCCTTATCTACCTGCTGTCTGTATGTCCCTGGTCTGTGAAGTGGTATTGGTGATGTCTTGTTTGCTCCCTGCTAGCGCATGCAGCATCAGCAACGGACAGGATTGCTATGTGGACTAACGATAGATTTGGTTGTTGGCCCCCTGTCTGTCTGCGAGGCCAAACTTGGACGCAGGACTGCTCGGTTTGAAAAACTCGACCACCAAGTTGGGTAGTCTACCTGCTGAAGATGGTCCTGGTCAGACGGCACTTGACACGGGACAGAACCGTGGATGATGCGATATGATAGGCACCTGGATGATATTGCAGCCGGGTCTCTAATTAACAGGCGTGGTCTAGTTAGATTGTGTGTCCGGCGTAAACAAACATCTAATGAAACTTAGCGCCCGGCGTTTTATTAAACTCAGGCTTGGCTTCCCCCCTTTCGGACAGCGCCCCGGACCAATGACGAAGAGCAATCGATGATTTCCCCAAATCGGGTCGAGTCTATCGTACTGTATCTGCCGTACGAGATTTCGTGTGTATCGATGGATCCCCAAGCGAGCTGGCTGCGCAAACCAGTGAAAAAGCAATTGTTCCATCCACGGACTCCCAGACATATGTATATGTAGGTAGGGATGGACTATCACGTACCAACGACAAGGATGAGCGCTGCGGCTGCTGCCCACTCTCTCCGGATGGGGTACATGGGAGCTGCAGCTCGGCAAGCCAAATCATGACATTTTTGCGGTCGGGTATAATTCCCGTTTTGCCGCCAGCAGAAGGAATGATCTCACTATTGATATTGTTTCTCTTACTTACGTGATACCAAAATGAGTGAGAAAAAAAAAATATCTGGCTAGAGAGCGCGCGTTCTGGTGTCCTCGGCCGTATTGGAGTGGTACTGAGCCCATAACCGGGATGGGTCGGTAACCGCACCCACCGTGCCTTAGTGACGCTGCAGGTCTAAGACCAGACGGTTGTTATTCTTAGGCCTGGCCTGATCGATGCTTTCCCACGCGGGTCATTTACTACTAGTACTGACTGACGGACTGCCTAACGACTAACTAGTCTAGCTTGTCTCGACCCCGTCGCTCTTTCGCTCGCTTCCCTTCCCTTTCCATTCTGTCTTTCTCTTCCCTTGACTTTGCTACTCTCTTCCCCCCCCCCCTCCTCCTCTTCTCCTCGCTTTCGATCACCGTCTTCTTTACCCTAACCTTTCACCTTTTCCCCCTCTCAACCCTCCTCCTCCCCTCTTTGCCTTCTTCCCACCTTCTTTTCCCCTCCTCCCCTTTTCTGTTCTCCCCAAAGTCTCCCCGGAGGTAGCAAGCAGGCAGCAGACGGGATCTCATCGACGGGGAATCGCCCGCCGACTCACTTCACTCATCTCAGCACCCGCCAACTTGTGAGCAGGCGGTAAATCCCGTTCGGAGAGAATTGATGCCGTAAAGGACCCAATCGAACCACGCCAACATTTCTTGGGTGAACCAAGAAGACGAGGCAAGAGCGGTAGCAATCCCGAGGCCGGAACCTTGGTCTAGACGTGGATCCTTGTCCCGGTTGGAGGGTCAATTGTGGAAACGGCATACACATCCTTCCAGTAATCACCACCTCGTACCTGACGGGCCCTGAGGGAAAGGGAAAGGGTGGTGATATTAATTTCTTCGACCGACGTGCACGTTTCACTCAGTACGCTTGCTTGTGCGGCAATTATGGATTAGGAATCGAGGAGCGCTTGAGATATAACCACCTGCGAAGCTCGAATTCGGATAGTTCGGTTTAAAGAAAAGAAAAGAAAAATAGTCGCCTTGTTTTCTTCCTTTCCTGTCCTTTCGTTTTTGCAGGTATGTAATTTCACTTGCGATCCTGCGGGTTGAATGCGGGATAGTAGAATGACGTTGCTCCGATACTAACGGGTGCTTTGCCCTGGCGAACAGGTCTCTGTTGATGTCTTTCGGTCTTTCTTACTCTTCTAATTATTCGATATTTGTCGGCTGTATATCCCAGCTGACGTCCGCTCATTGGTATTCGCTACAATTCCGAGGCTTCTAATAGACGTGGAAGCTCTCATCCGCTCAACTTCACCGCAGTCGCTCTTTCGACAATTGATTTACTTATTCGCCTTTGCCGCCTTTCTTTTACCGTCACTCAAAAGTTGGCCGTCGTCTCTTTCTTTACGCTCCTTGAGTTCGCTTTCACTACAGTCGCATTCGATCGACCTAATCACCGCGCTCCTTAGCCGTCAGAATTTGTGTCGTGCAGGCAGACACCTTCCCTTCACTTCACATTCATTCGCTTTCATTTCGAGATAACTTCTCTCATATCATTCTTTCGATATTGCGAAGCTGCGGTCAGCAATCGCCGCACTTCAGCACATACTCAGTAAATTTCGGCCCGACGTGGATGTTATCAGGATGGCCCATCATGGCACAGGACATGCTCGCTTCAACAGAGTGATGCGCAAGAAATATCAATTGGATTCAGCATACTTTAGCGAGACTGGGAAGAGCCCGGGGTACCATGCGACTCCGACAATCGTACCGCAGAATACGGTCGCAAATGGGCTGGAAGGTGAACTAACCCTAGACCCAGTCATGCAGGCGCAGGATGTGCATGACAGTCAGGGACTGTCCCTCGAAAAGCGCCAGCAATCAAACACAGCCACGGGGGATCAGGCTACGGTGTCTGCGACTATCGTCAACGTGGTCGACAACAATTCGCAGACTAGCACCGGCACTTCGGCAACTGCACCGACAACGATATCTGAAGAGTCGACCGTGCCCGCGACGTCGATCTCGTCAACAGATACAGACTCATTGCTCTTGTCGCTTTCTGCTACCGTCTCGATTGATCTACCTCTGACTGCTTCGCCTGCGTATTCTTCTCCAACCGCAGATACCCCGGCAGTAACGAGTACGCCTGAACCGTCCTCATCCACCCCACCATCATCTGCGCCCGCTACTTCGAAGACATCCACTCCGCTGTTTGGCTCTACTGCTACCGCTATTCCCTCTTCGGCTCACCCCCAACCATCCAGCGCATTGTCCAGCTCTAGTCCAACTGGGACACAAAGCGGTAGCCAAGTGACCACCTCCGGCTCTGCTTGGGCATTCGGCTCCGGTTCACAGTCTACGACGACATCCTCCGTGACCCAGACGAGCTCCGCGACGACATCCACCTTCTCATCGGACTCTACTTCCACCACTTCGCTCTACGGAGCCTGGGGTACGGCCTCTAATGGAGGGGGTGGAGGATCAGGGGCAACTGCCACCGGACAAGGTGTCTCGCCTTCATCCTCTTCGGGCAGCTCTGGCTCCGGCTCTGGCTCCGGCTCTGGTTCCGGCTCTGGCTCCCTCAGCAGCCAAACTAAAGGCAAGATAGCTGGGGGTGTGGTTGGTGGTGTGGCTGCTGCTATGTTCGTGTTCGTAATTGTTGTCTGGCTGCTTCGCCGACGCAAGAAGAACATCTTGCCGCCATCTGGGGATGCCCTCCCCGAGCCGGACACGACCGGGACAGCCGAAGGCTCTCTCCCGCGCTCCGCAGAGATGACATCGCGGCGGTCAAGCGACGACCCCCTGTTTACTGCGTCATACTTTGCCCCGGCTTTCATGAAGCGATGGCGCCAGTCGCACATGACGACACGCACCGACAGTACTCTGAGCTCCGAGCCCAGCGAACGCGGATTCCAAAAGATCTCCGGCCGGAAGATTCCTTCAGTGCTGCAGTCAGGAGGAGACGGCTACGGCGGTGGATATGAACCGGGATCCCCTACTGCGTCTGAGCCGAGCACGCTTTTTTCTCCAAGCTCACCAGTTCAGCCCCGGTCACCGCCAACACAACCGCCCGTAGCGACACCGTATGGCATGCCGTTGGATACCAGCTATACTCGAGAAGCGGCGGAGGTAGGAGGTGTTGTGGTGTTTCGACCATCGCCAGCCCGCACACCAGTTACTGGGTCCGCCAATGCCAGTCTGTCCAATGAGCCAACCGGGCCGCGGGTCGTTTCGCAAGTCGGGGCGCTCTCTCCGACAATGCCGAAGCGGCCTGATGCGCTCGGACGAAGCCATCCGAGCTTCGATGGCAGTCGGGGCAGTCGGTTCACGGAGAGTATATGAAAGGTTCCCCGGGGAGGTGAGAGTATATATTGGTGCTCTGTACATACGTGGAGGAGTTATACATAGGGTTTCCGGGTGGTGTTCCCGGACTGGCGATGGTGATCATGTCTGGATTCTGTACTACTTGCTAGCCTGTTTCTTATGGATACCCCAATTCATTTTCTTTGCATGTTTGTGTCGTTTGTGAGAGACTTGCGCTCATCTACTGATAATTACAATTGAATAATGTCTACTGTCCAGTCTGAATTAGAACCCTACCTTTCATTGCAACTGTGTCCTGACCCATAGTTACATGTGAGGCTTGCTGTTATCAGCCGATGACATAAGATGCCACCAACCAACCAGCGACGCGGCTTTATCATCCGCACCCGGCGATCCCTTGCATTTGTATTTAGGTCCAATACTATATCCCCTCATTCTCCCCTCATTGCCCCTCTCCTACTTCCACTTCCATTTTCCCAACTCACCATTAAAGAACCTGTCATTCCAGCTTCCTCTCCCCCTCCACCAGCCTCTCCCCGTCCTCTCCGCTTCCTCATAATAGGTGCCGGATCTCGTGGGACCGCCTACGCTCGTGCTGTAGCCACCGCTACTCAAGGCACCATCCACGCCGTCGCCGAACCCCACCCCTCCAAGCGCCGACACCTCGGCCGCTCCTACATCTGGGGCGAACACGGCACTCCCCAAGACGGCCAGGAATTCCCCGACTGGCGCGCCTGGCTACAATGGGAGCAGCAGCGCCGAGAAACCAAGAATGACTCCCAAGTCGGTGTCGACGGGGTCTTCATCTGCACCCTTGACTCCACCCACGTCGAGATCCTCCACGCTATCGCCCCTCTCCAACTCCACATCCTCTGCGAGAAGCCTCTCGCCCTATCCCTAGAGGACTGTCTGTCCGTCTATCACGCCCTCACCCCCAACCTCTCTACCAACATCTTCTCCATCGGCCACGTCCTCCGCTACAGCCCGCACAACATTCTCCTCCGCAAACTCCTCCTTCTCGACCGCGTCATCGGCGACATCGTCTCCCTCGAGCACACCGAACCCGTCGGCTTCTGGCACTTTTCGCACAGCTATGTGCGCGGCAACTGGCGTCGAGAAACCCCCAACGGGGACGGCTCCCTGCTAACTAAATCCTGCCACGACATCGACTTCATCATGTGGTTACTCTCCAGTCCTCCTCCCTCCTCAGACCCAACCTCGCAACAACCCATCCATCCCCGAACCATCACCTCCACCGGCTCCCTAACCCAGTTCCGCAAATCCCAAAAGCCTCCCGCCGCAGGCGCCGCAACAAACTGTCTATCCTGTCCCGCAGAACGAGATTGCATCTACAGCGCCGTCCGAATCTACAACGACATGCACGTCGCAAAAGGCGACATAGACTGGCCCGTGAACATCGTCTGCGAAGACATCGAAGATATCCTCCCTAAAACAACCAGCCCTAGAATTAACAAATCCGACCCCATCCCCACCGAGCACATCCCCCTGGCTCAATCCCACCTCCTTACCCGCCTCCGCGAAGACTACCAAACCTCCAACAACGCCACCGATGAAAAGGAATCCATCCACTCCCGCCCGTGGTACGGCCGCTGTGTCTACGAATCCGACAACAACGTCTGCGACGATCAAACCGTAACGATAACCTTCTCGTCGGACCCACCCAAAACCGCTCTTTTCCACATGATCGCACCGACCGAGAAGCAATGCGAGCGACGCGGCCGCGTGTACGGCACGCTCGGCGAGATTAGCTACGATAGCCGCACAATCACTATCTACTCGTTCCAGACAAGGGAGACTACGACGATCACGGTGCCGAAGAGGCCGGCGGAGGAGGAGAAGGCGCATGGCGGAGGGGATTATGGGCTTGCGAGGAGCTTCGTCGATGCTGTCGATGCGGTGGTCAATAAGGGGTGGGGGGTGGCGGAGGCACAGAGGAGGTTCGTTGGGTGTGATCTGGAGGAGGCGGTTAGGAGTCATGCGGTGGTGTTTGCGGCGGAGGAGGCAAGGAGGGAGGAGGTGGTTGTTAAGTGGGGAGAGTGGTGGGGGGAGAAGGTTAATGGGATGAGTAAGTAGTAGTTTGTCAGGTGGGTTGGTTGGGTTATGGAATCTAGTATGACGTTATGAGAGTATGAATTAGTTTATGTTATTATGGAGTTGGGTTCATGGACAGGGTTCATATATAATGGTTGATTGTCTAAGGATGGAGGATAGGATAAGACAGGTTTATGTGAAGAGAAATATACTCATTATCCTTATTAAGCTACTCAAAAAACCGCTATTAACATAATGCTATCTGCTTAGGTGCGGACATCAGGCTCCTCACGGCCAATGTACTCCTTGAACTTGAGCAGCTCCAGAGCCAGAGCCACGTTGTCCTTCAGGTACTCATCCGTGGCGAGACCGAGCTTGCTGGCGTCGTTCTCGTACTTCTCGATGTACAGACGGATCGTGGCGCCGCTGCTGCCAGTGCCAGACAGACGGACGACGATGCGGCTGCCGTCATCGAACTTGACGTACAGACCCTGGTTCTTGGTCACGCTGCCGTCCAAGTCGGTGTAGGCGAAGTTGCCGACGTCGACGACCTTGCGGCCGGACACGGTCGAGCCAACGAAGGTGTCCTTGTTGTCGACCTTCTCCGACAGCGTGGCGATCACCTTGTTGGCGCCGTCGCTGTCGACGTTCTCGTAGTCGTACCGGGTGAAGAAGGTACGGCCGTAGGTCTGCCAGAACTCGTTCTGGATGGAAGCGATGCTGGGGGTCTCGCTGGGCTTCTGCTTGGCAACGCCAGCGATGACGTTCAGCCAGGCCACGATGGCCCACAGGCCGTCCTTCTCACGGATGTGGTTGCTGCCAGTACCGAAACTCTCCTCACCACAGATGGAGATCTTCTGGTTGTCGAACAAGTTGCAGAAGAACTTCCAGCCCGTGGGGACCTCGTAGCTCTGCAGGCCCTGGGCCTTGGCTACACGGTCGACAGCACCGGAGGTGGGCATGGAGCGCGCCAGGCCGTAGACGCCCTGCTTCTGGAAGTAGGGGATGAGCTTGGCGTGGTGGGCAATGATAGCCAGACTGTCACCGGGGGAGACGAAGGTGTTGGCGCCGTAGATCATGTTACGGTCACCGTCACCATCACTGGCAGCACCGAAGTGGATGCCATTCTTGTCAACGCTCTCAACGAGCTCGTGGGCGTAAACCAGGTTGGGGTCGGGGTGGCCACCGCCGAAGTCGGGCTTGGGCTCGCAGTTCATGGTGCTGCTAGCGGGCAGACCCAGCTCGTTGACGAAGATGTCAACACCGTAGGGGCCAGTAACACCGTGCATACCATCGAACAGCACCTTGAAGTCCTTGTGAGTCTTGAGGAAATCGCGGATGAGGTCGAAGTCGAAGATCTCCTTCATCATGGTGACGTAGTCGGTGGTGGAGTGGACGACCTCAACCTCGATGGGGCCGTAGGTCTTGGAGCCGATGGTGGTGGTGTCAACATCGGGGATGTCAATGTACTTGTAGGAGGTGAGGGACTTGGAGGTTTCGAAGATCTTGTTGGTGACAGATTCGGGGGCAGGAGCGCCATTGGCAAGGTTGTACTTGATACCGAAGTCGTTCTCAGGGCCTGAGTAACAGAATAATGTCAGCGTGGGGTCGGTGAATCTAAACGCAAAATTACGTACCACCAGGGTTGTGACTGGCCGTCAGGAGGATACCACCCGTGGCCTTGCGCTTGCGGATGAGGTTGCTGGCAGCGGGGGTGGAGAGGATGCCATTCTGGCCGACCAGCAGCTTCTTGACACCATAAGCGGCACCGATTTTGGCAATCTTCTGGATGACCTCGGTGTTGTAGTAGCGGCCATCGCCACCGATGACGAGGAAAGCGCCCTCAGCGCCCTCGGGGATGGAGAGGATGATGCTAGTAACGAAGGATTCGGAGTAGTTGGCCTGCTGGAAGACCTTGACCTTCTTACGAAGACCGGAGCTGGTGTTGTCAGAGTTAAGGGCAATTCATAGCCGGAGAAGATTAAAGCAAGTGGAGACAACAAGGTACTTACGTTCCCGGCTTCTGGTCGGTGAAGGGAGTAATGGAGACGGTCTGGACAGACATGGTGGGAGGGGATATAGAAACGGTACGGATAGAAAGAGAGAGGGAGGGGAAGCTGGAGGGGTATGGACGGGAAGATATAGAACAGTCGGGAGAGAAGCTCACCGACAATTGAAGCGAGAAACAGGGGCAGAAAAGGAGCAGGAGAAGGGAGGGGCAAAGAATGGAAGGGAAGCCGGCGAGACACGAGCGGGGAGGAAGTAAATATAGACTGGCAATTAGCTTCGACTTTCGAGTCTTCGCCCAACGCCAGGACCCCACCAGGAGGGGCCCATGTCAGCATGACTTCAGGCCAGAGCTTCATTCGATTCCATCGCGATACACTACGGCACTCGAGCTGCAGATACCTGGGAAAAACCGGCCATTCTTGCTGCAATCCCGGATCCATTGGGCATCCATCCAGCTGTCTACATTGTAATTGGGGTCTACCCCTCTCTATGCTTCGTGTACGTTGGGATTCTGGGAAGAGCTTCCCGGTCCGTTCCCTCGCTCAGACATTCGGCTAGAATCCGAACAATCGCCCCCGGTAGAATCGCATCTCCTCGATGCTTTCCAGAATATCGTCCCGCGCAAGATGAACCTCCTTCTTCCCTGGCACGGATTCTAGTAGCTCTTCTGAGCCCCACCGTCGTACCATCTCCTTGAGTGCGCTCACGTCCACGATCCGATAGTGTAGCCAGTCTAGCACCGCTTGGTATGGTCCCTTAGCCAGAAACGCCTTGTCGGCGTGTACACTGTTCCCCGCCAGCAACCCTCGCCGGGGTTGTGGCACGTATTTCTGGATATAGGCCAAAAGAGCCGTCGCAGCCTCCTCCGCGGTGGTGGTCGAGGCCTGCACGGCCGCCGTTAGCCCTGTGCGACCGTGGGTCTCGATGCACCATGCGTTCATGTTGTCTAGGACTGAGGTCGGATGGTGGATGACGGTTTCGAAGCCCTGGGGCTCGAGGAGGTTGAGATTGGCGTCGGTGATGAAGCAACAGATTTGGAGGATTTGGTCGGTGTCCGCGTCAAGGCCGGTCATCTACACGCCGATCGAAATGTTGGAGGGGTTCGTCAGTCGCGGCTGGTAGAGGGGTAAAAAGCAGAGGAATGCCGCACCTCGCAGTCGATCCACACCAGGGGATCGGAGGAACGTGTCAATGGCATGGCTCTTGGGATCAGTGAGTAAATTATCCCTTTCGACTCCTTCAAGTGATTAGCAAGAATTGAATGCAGGTGTGGGCATGAGGTGGGACTCAAACATGAGGGAGAGAGAGATTTTTGGTCGGCGGGGAGCGGCTCTCCACTCGAAACGAGACCACGGTAGGGAGCCACCGCAGCAGCGTAATCAACGGCTATGGCAGCCATCGAAGGTGACTACAGCCTACGACTATTTCCAGTTGCTTTACAGGTACGGGCTGCATTCAAGGACGTAGAATAAATCGCTAAATGCAACTTGCGTGACTCATTGCGTCTATATCAATTACCTTCGCCTGCCCCCCGTTCTAGCTAGAGAATCAATCGCCCAGCCGCCCACGGAACTGAGAGAGTTGGATATGAAAATGAAGAAGGGTAAAGCTACTTAGTCATGATGATTTCGTCAGAAATGGGCCATATCCAAATCGTAGATGTCAGCTGTAGTTAGAAGGGTAAATAAAAATTGATGAAAAGATGAAATCAGAGTGTAGATGGTGCTGCGGCCTGACACAGCTGTCTGGCGCGCCTTCACACACCAGTCCATCGTGGCGTCTGAGGTGAAGAAGAAAAGAAGAGGGGGATTGAAAAAGATGTGGGTAGACATCTGTATCGCTAAAGATGGGCATGGATGATAGGAGTTTGGAGCAACCGGCTATAGTTCCTCATCTTCGGTCTCCTGCGGTTTTTGCGGGTGTGTCTCAGGAGGGTTGGCTGCCTTTGTACTGTCGCCTGGGCCAACATTCGTGATCTCCTGGGAAAGCCCCGACTCCATTCGTCGACGCATGGCGTCTTCATCTGAATGCGAGACGCTCGCCCGCTGCTTCTTCAACGGACTGCCAATGAAACCTCCGTTCAGCGTGTTAGTGGCCGGCTTGGGGGTCTCAGCGGCCGTAGCTGCAGCAACAGCGGGCGGAGTAGTGGACGGATTGTTGGTTGCAGGCGTGTCCCCGGCTGTATTGGGACTCGCACTCTCAGCTGGGGGTGTATTCGTAGCTAACGAGGCAGACGAATGCTGACGTTTAAGCTGTGTACAACAATCAGTCGGTGGTAGAGACTTGGGAATCAGTTCCTGACGAACCTTGATTTTGCGTATGCTTTCCGCGAGCTCCCCTTGCCGTCGGATATCGTCCGGAGACAAATGGAGATCATCTTCTTTGCCCTCTTCTTCATCTGCTTTACCGAGAATTGAATTGTCCTCATCGTCTTCACTGTCCATCTCGTCATCCTCACCAGACTTCTTGCCTTTCTTTCTTTCTGTGTTGTCGCGGAAGTTCACAAATCCGACCGTGCCGCCGGGTTTCAGGGGACCGAGATTGGCGAAGTCTGGCTGCAAAGACCGACGCTTTGCGGACCCGGGAGTTTCTTGCGCCTTGGGGTCCCTCAGGATTCCCATCTTTTGCAATTGACCTGTAACCTAATCAGTCGATGAATCTACAGAAAACCAAAGGGGATGAACTCACGCTCGCCACGGTACATGAATGTGAAAATGGCGTAAGGCTTGTCGGACGGATCGATGCCTGTCACGGTCTGCGTGCTAATCGTCTTAGGGTCGAGTGTTTTTGGCTTCGCAAAGCTCGTTGTGTGATCAATGTCCGCATCAGCTGCCCCTTTATGTCCATTCTCGCCCTGGGTTTCGTCATCATCATCGTGAGCATCGAACTGTGGTGAGTACTCCCCGCGCTTGATTTCCCCAGACGCCAGGACGCGAAACAAAGCCACCTTAATCTGACCTGCGGATTCGGGGATCGGGTCATCGTCCGGATCGGAGAACGACATGTCGTCGTCCGACACATCCTCTAGCGGAGACTTTGCATCGTTGCCGTAGCGCATGACTCCTTTGCCCGACTTTGCTTCCATATCCAGATCGCCAGCTGCTTCACGCTTAATTCGGCGCTTCTCCATCTTTTGTCGTCGGCGCTCAATCTTGGCGGCAGCGTCTTTCCCTTCCAAATCCAAGCCGTTCAGCCATCTTTCTAGCCCGACTTCACGGAAGAGAAACTCCCGTTCGGCGAGACCCCCGCCCTCTGGTGCCGGTACACTGACCCATCGAGAATTAACCCATGTTTCTTCACCTCTCCGCAGCAGTGTGGCCACCTCCTCCTTGGCCCGGCCATCAAAGTAGATGTAGGCGGCGACCGTTTCATTTGCCGAATTGGTCAATGCTTGGTACGGAGCAACCGTGCTGCTGTACTGGCCACGCTCCCCGGTAGACCCGGGTAGCCCACCAACTACCTTCGGTTTGGGTGCGGGGTTGTCCGGGGTCGGTTTCGGGGCGGAGTATGGGACGTCTTGGCCGGGGTTTAGAAGGGTGATGGAGATAGCGAACGTCGATTGCTCAGGGCGCCCGGATCCGGATTCGGGGATCTTGGGTGGTGGTACGGGGATGTAGCAAGCTATGCGAGATGCCCGGGACTGGCGCTGAATGGAGTATTCGGAGATAGGTCCGTCCGGAGTGTGTATACTCACGGCGAGACCCTTGAAACAGGGCATGGCGGGGCAAAGATGCGGTTCGCGGCGTCGAGAGGTGTGTCGTGAGTAATTTTGAAGCTAGCGTTTCACCCAGCTGGAAGTGAAAGAACGGAGGGGCAAGAGAGGGAGGGCGAGAGTGTGTGGAATCGTCCCTAGGAGAGCTAGTTGTGGGTGGTGGAGGCGGTCAGGGTTCGTAGTGTGTTTGGCCTGCTACCGACAGCCCTCGTCGGGGGTGGGATGGCCGGTTCACGGCGAAGGACGAGGCCTAGGGGCTTGTCAATTCCAAGAAAGCGATGTGTTCGCCAGAGTGAGTCAATCGAGGGGTCCCTTCGTCTGCGCGAAACCCAGGCAGGCCCGGCCAGTTGCGCGGAGTAAGAGGGAGGGGGAGCGTTGCTAGAGGGCGCCAACAATGAGCTAACAAACATGAAACCTACCAGGCTTGGTCCACCAAAGAGAAATTTAAGGCAACAAAAACTTCAGGGTTGATTGCTGCAGTAAGAGCAATCAGGACGAGCTCTCAAGCTGATCACGATACGAGGAGCAAGACTGGACTGATTCCGGGATGGAAGAAAGGGAGGGAAAGTCCGGAGTGATGTGGGAGGGCGAGGGAGAAGTGGAGGTGACGATCGACGCCGGCTGGAACTCCGCCTGCTTCCCTGGGTCGCTTCCGCTGTTCTGGTGTCGGGCGCCTTGTCCTCTTCTTTCCAGGGGCCTCACTCACGCAGCCCAGAATTCAATGTTTCTGCAGGTCATTGATAAACTTTGATTATTTGCTGAAGATCTCTTGTTACAGGGGTACTTCTTGGTGTTTCTCAAGGTAGTATCAGGGTTTTATACATCCTACCTCTCACCTGCAAATCCTAGCCTACAACTACTGACTTCCTTGTTTAATCCTGGGTTAGTGGGCCAGTGTTTATCGGCTTCGCTCTTCACGAACAATTGTATAAGCTAGATCCCGATTTACAGTCCTCGTCTTCGCGCTTCCTCTCTCGCAACCGTGGCAAGTTCTGGGAAATCCCGATCGAGGCTGTCGAACAGTGCCTCCGCTTTCCGTCGCTTGCGCTCTTCGATCTGACCCTGCAACTGACCGATCTTCTCCAGAACCTTCGCATGTGAGTCCACTAGGGAAAGATCCAGAAGTTCATCGGCATATCGACGAAGCTCCTCCAATTTTCTTTCGAGAAAGGAGATGCTGGCTTCATCTGTAGTGGCTGGAACACTCGGCTCATTGGTCGGCCGTCGGAATGCGCCATCTCCTGGCGTCAGGGAAAGTAGAGGGGAAGCGTGCCTAAAGGGAGCCTGAAAGGGAGGTTCAGCTTCAGCAGGGCTATGTTTCTCAACGAGGTCACTGATACGGAGCTGCCCTTTCGGGCCTATACTCCGTGAGGACATCACATAGGGACGAGGGCTTGAGTGAATAGTATCCTCAGTACTTTGCGACTGTATTATACCACGATTCGTAAAAGTACTAGAGTCTTCCTGCTGTCGTGGCAGTTCCGCCTCTTCATCGCTAACCTGGTTTCTCGGTCGTTTATGTGCCCGGGAAGGCACTTCAGGCGGGAGGGATGCGCTATGAGCAGCCATGCTAGCTCTTTTGCCTCGTTTTTGATCAAACACGTTGTCGGTGAACCCCATGATGCGTCCGCGAGGATCAATCGACTTGATCCGAGCCCGCACAGGCTTGTCTTTACTAGAGTAAGGGAGAGGAAAGTGACAGCACCGGCAATTGCAGAAATGGGAGCACTTTGGACATACCCATGGATCTGTGTTCCTCAGAAAGGGTATCAAATCCACGTCAAAGTGTCGATGGAGGCCCCGGAAGCAGAAAAATGCGGAGCATTGGGTACATGCCACCCCTTTCCAGGCGGGATGACTATCGCGACACAAGTGACAAAGTCGCTCCTGGTCCATTTAGTTTGCGCTCCTTCAAAGCCAAGCCAAAAAGAAATACTGGGATGATTTCGTACCATCATCGGTTGTTTCCGTGCATCTGCCGCAGCAGCAGCCAAGGCGCCCAGAGATTTTTGCCTGGAAATAGAATTAGAGACATACTCGTGGTCACATAGATATTTAAGATTCTTGACGTCGAAACAAGGCACACAATTTGAGGCTAATTAAGCCTGAATGCTTGAAGGGAAGGTCATACTTTGGACGTTTGAATCGGGAGAGTAATCGATCACGAAGTCTGTTCCGTGTCGACTGGATAACCTCCATGCAGTAGGCACGCGGAATTAGTTCGGCCCATGTATAGTCAGCGACGTGTTTGCAGCTGCGTCCAGTAATAAAGCATGTCAGACATAAGTCAAAGTCGCCGCACTGCTCGCAGTGCAAATGCCGATTCCATATTGTCAAGCCGCAGAAATTACATTCTACCACGGCCCCCTGGGTATCCACGATCTTCATTGGAGGGTCCGAATCAGTCTCAATAGCTTCGTCATCGAGCAATTTTAGGAAGACATCCAGAAGAAGTGCTTCGTCCTCCGTCCCTAGCGACCCTCGGATTAATGCATGTAACGGGATTAAAGGGACTCGGCCAGTGTCTGCATGGCAATATCGCTGGTAGAATGGCTGGATGTAGTCGAAGAAAGAGACAAGCGAAGAGCTATGCATGACATTCCAAACTACCTTTGTAACCATCGAACTGATGTTCCAAATCTGATGGGCGGTGGCTGAAGGAAATATTACCAAGTCTCCAGGGTGCTGGTGGGTAACGTATATGGGGAAATCGGCAGACTTGAGCTGGGTAGTAGAAACGTCGGTCCAATCGGTATGGGGAGACTTCCCCAGTCTCTCCATATATGTGTCGTACGCGGCTTGTGAAATTTTATCAGTCCCAAAGCAGAGAGACCCAGGGCCAGCGCCTAGCCGAACTATCAGAACGTTTGTCGTGAATGTCAGATATGTCTCGTCAAGTATTCACCTTCTGATTCAACTAATAGATTTAAAGCAACTGTTCCGCTAAAGCATCTGTGAAATCCTGAGCTACCCCATTACAGAAAGTTAGTGGATATCACCGCATGGAAGGCAGCAGAGACTCACGAAGATTTCCGAGTCCCAACATACGCCATCAGAACCTCCGGAGCCGTCTCCTTTGGCAACATCCGGAATAAATCAAGAGATCCAAGATGCCGCATAGCTGAAGGAAGAAATGCCTCTAGTGCTTTGATCCACGCTTGTGGGCACTGAAGGTCTTTTGCGTACAAACTGGCTTGCCTATCAGTCAAGGAGGCCAACGCTCGGAATCGTATTGTCTAACGTACAACTCTCGGACATTGCCGGCACGAGCACATTCTGTCTGCGAAAGGAGATCTTGAAGCCGCATTTTCGCATCTCTCCCTGTGTGGCAGTTTCTTACCGGTATCGCTATTCACGAGTGAAAATGTCAACGGCTACACTTTTCAAGCTCTAAGGTCGTGGACATACCTCCTGAGGAAGAGAGGCTGCCAAGTCTCTCATTGTTCAGGATCGACCTATCCCATTCTTTCAAATGAGAAAAGCCACGTATAACAAATGGCTTTCCATCACGGAGTTTGGTCTCCACCCATCCTGTGGTTTCATCTTCTGATAGATGGATGATGTCCTGGACAGAATACTCGGAAAACGGGACGAACGGCTCTCCGGTGCGCAAGAGGTCCTGCGCAGACGGTGGGGACTGCTGTAGAAAGTCCATATCATATCAATCTTAATAAGAACATTGTCACACCGTTAAGACATAAACAATGACATTCCCAAGGCATTGGCCTTCGAAGGAAGATTGATATCACGCATCGATCGGCCATCTCGGAACCGGGCCTTTGGTTGTTACTCGCACGTGACTTTAGATCCCCCGCATATGTGTTCTAACCATTTACGGTAATCTGTGGAGTGTATTCCATAGCAAGTCCATGGAGTTGACCGGAAAGGTATCCTTAATCTTGTCTAACAGAAAAGAAGTAGAAAGCCTGAAGTCAAACCTCCCCATTAATATGGCCATCAATAGTGGGTAGTCAGCGTAACTTGGTGTAAAGGAAAGCATGTATTGTCCTGCACATACTTGATCACTGTCACAGCAGTCTTAGTTCCGAGGCCCAGACTTGATGCTGCGCCTTCAACTGGTGCTTACATGCTGATGAGGTTACATTATGTTTCGACTCCGTAGTGCAATGTAAAAGAAGGTCCGATATGAGGAGAACCAGCGGGGCTCATTGTGGTACCAACATGTCATGGCAGACCGCTACTACTGGGGTCCACAGCCGCCCGCAAGTCTGTCACCTCGATTTGCAATGATATATTTACATAGCCTTCAGAGCCCTGAAAGAGGACTTAGATAGCGTAACGACGGGTATATTGGTTGAAATCGGTAGGCAGCCCTACCTCCGCTAGTACAGTTTGGGGTCGTAAAGTCGGAACTTGTAGGAAGTGTCGTCGCATGGTCCCTTCCGAGGGAGACTGCTCAGACCCTGGTCAAGGCTACAGCAGCTTAGTTCGGAAAATGACTAGTCGGGTTGTCTGAAGTGCGTCTTTTGGGCTCAGATCCCAGCTGAGACTTTTGCTGTGCGCTACCCATGACTTGTCTTGACCCTTTAAGATCATGGTATAATACTAATCCCCAGATAACCAGACAAGCTCGAACCTCTTTTCAAGTACCCGGTACATACGCTATCAGAAGTTCACCTCCTCCATCAATTATAACTCGACCTACATCAGGACTATCGAAATCCGGGTAAGGCTTAGGACGGAAGCAACCTGGAATGCCCAGACACCAGCCCCCGACTTACAGGCTGTTGCCCAGGCCGTGTCGTATCGAGCGGGTCATCCAAGGCAGGTGGCCAGGACAGGCGGCTGGGAACACAGGAAAAGTCTGGATCCAGCATGGTAAAAGGATGCGCGGGCAAGCTTATTGGAGGGCCGTCGGGTGCCGTCCTGAAGCCTAACTAAGCCTAATCCAGGTTTTGTCCAGTCAAACCTCCGGCCGAGACCCCTTTATCCCTTTCATCCCCACATGGTGCTGTAACCCCAGATCGAACCTCGACCCGCCTTGTCAACGAGCGGGTTTTGTCACCTGTTGAGAACAACACTCTAGCTTCGACTTGGAAGGCGGGGTATGACTTGGCAATAATATTTACCCTTTCAGGTAACGGCCAAGTTAACCATAATCATTGGAATCTTTGCATTATGGCCGTTAGCATTCGGATCCGTAGTGGCAAAAGAAACTCGTCGACTGGGCACGAATCCTTTCAAGAAGACCCTCGCTCCGCCCCTGACCCAAAAATACTCCGTCCGGTTACACCTCCTGATCGAATCGGCTAGTTGCGTGGCTTACCGTCTTTGTAAATCAACCAAGGGCCAGGGTAGTTTTGAGAAGAACGAGTTATGCACTATGGTGAGAGCTGTCTGCTGTTGCTGTCCTCAATTCTTCTCCGATAAACTCTCAACTCCACGTGAGCATGACGCAAGGGCGAATATAGTGGGGACATGAATTTTCCGTGGATATGAAATAGGAATATAGACAGTACTTCCACAGAATTGGCAGGCTTACTTTGTGAGAACAGAGACTGGTTAGGGCCGCGACTAAATTACTCATGTTACCTCTTGTCGAGTCCTCTGAAACCAAGAACGCCAATGTCCAATCGCTTCTGCATTAACTCTAAATTTCAGCATATTATTGAGCAGCAGTGGTACGGCTGCAGGTGACCAATACATCCGCCTACCAATCTACATTTGGCTTAACATTGCCAGCCGGCGTCGCTCCAAATGTCAACACTTGGCAAACAAAATCCACGGTGGCGTTGATGGCGTTACAATCGACGCAGACACTAGCTAAGTGGAACCATAGGATTCAAACGAGAAGAGACTAGAAAAAAGCAAAAGGCAGGCCTAATTTCGGGGGTCAAATTTGCCACGTATGTGTTGCGTCTGGTCTAAGCCAGGCTTAATAGAGACCATCTAAATTCCGTTCACACGATAAGCTTTGTAGGGAAGTTGAAAGAATTTGTTAGGGTCAGGGATAATGGAAGGCCCGAAGAATATCATCTGATGCAACTAGCATTGCATTAGCTTTCTTTGAGGCTTTGCATGCGGATAATGTTCTCTGCGATTATATGTAAACATGCTACCTTTCCCCCACAGGTCAGTGCTTACAAGGTGACAATGGAGACCAGAGTACCTATGCTGAAGTCAGCAGACTTAAACTAGCCCACCTCCACCACCATGCATTCCCTGCTAAAACGAAGGCGTTTAAACCCGAACCCGTGTAAACTTTCACTTTCAGTCTATCTGGCCAGCTGTCAGCTGCTTGTACCATGGTTGCCTCAATTTCTTGGAATGTCCGCTTTGGCAAATGCTTACCATCGCCCGGAACGAATGTCCGGAGTAGACAAGCTGTGGTAGTTCCATATGTTAGACGGACAAGAGCATGTTAAGTCTGACTACGATGAGAATACTTGCGTCCACAGCATCGTGTTACCGTACACCAGGTAATTGTGCCCGGAATTGAGGCAAAATCAACATTATCAAGGACAGGTTATTCCAGTTAGCTCTAGATAGAATGGCCATGTGCCGCTTCCAATGTGTTTGTTGAAAGAAAGAGGTTAATGGTCTCAGATAATACATATTCTATCAATCACATCTGTTCACACGTCTGATTGGATTGCCACTAAATCTTCTACCCCGGGTTCAGAATCCCCGCGGGGAAGAAGGGAGGCATCACAGTACCGCACAATACCTCCATCTTGGTAAGAGCCTCCTGCAGCCGGAGGGTGAAGTGAATGCAACCGGACCTCGCCTCTTTGTTCAGGGCTCAACCCGACGATTCCCAACAGTGCGTTCTTAATTCCCTTCCCCTCGCACCTGCTCACTTCAATTCTTTTAATCCCCCTCCGCCTTCCCAACTTCGTTTCCATCTCACCCCGCATCTGTTGTGCATTCTTTCTCATCCCCGTACTTCCCCACGCCCCCGGCTTCGACGCGCCCCGTTCTTCTTATCACTGACATCGTCGCGGCTGGTGATTCTCCGTACTCCATCTTGTGCAAGCACTCGAGCCAGACGCGTTTTCTGTCGTCCTAAGCCTGGCAAACACCATGGCAAAGGAGGAGGTGGCCCCGATTCAGGCCGTGTCCCCAATTCAGGCAGTTGACTCTGCTGTCGACCCCTAGTATGTGTCTTTCATGTTTAGTTTCCCGTTACCTTTCACATATACTCACATCGGTTGTGTTAGTGGCAGTCACAATGAGCCTGACGTTACTGAGAAGGGCACTACGGAGCACATCAATCTGAACAATAATACTTCTGCCAAGTAAGTCACTTATACTGGTTTTGGTGATTCGGTCGTGTTTCATTAACCATTTTCGTTGTAGAATCAAGAATCCCTTGGCGGACCTGAGCCCGGCTCAAGTGGTGCAAGATGTCGAAGACTTTGCCAATGAATATCAGTTGACTGATATCTTCCCCTTGCTTAAGAAAGGAGCCCTTGTGGCACGCGATCCCGAAGACTTTCACTCGGTTCCAGATTTGACTAGTGATGAGATTACTGCCATTCGTGATGAGAAAGATCACAAGTGGCGTCAGCCTAAAGCTCTCTATTTCACTATCATTCTCTGCTCCATTGGAGCTGCTGTCCAGTAAGTATTACACTCAAGACTCTAGCCTCTTCTCATCATACCTTGGATGATGATTTAGTGAAATCTTGCTGACCTCTGCACCAGGGGTTGGGATCAAACCGGAAGTAATGGTAAGTACAGCCTGAAACTCTGATATAGAAGCTCTCGCTAATATCAATCTATCATCTAGGCGCCAACCTCTCTTTCCCTGTTGCGCTTGGAATTCCTGAAACTGGTCCCCACGCGTCAAGAAACCAGTGGCTTGTCGGTACCGTTAATGCGTGCGTAACCCTTGTCCCCCGTATGTTGTTAAGATAACCTTGCGACTAACATTCTTGGATAGGGCTCCATACATGTCTAGCGCTGTCATCGGATGCTGGCTGTCCGACCCACTGAACAAGTATCTGGGCCGCCGTGGTGCTATTTTCATGTCTGCCATCTTCTGCCTTCTTGCTCCTATTGGATCTGCCGTCAGTCAGACCTGGCCTCAGCTGTTCGTGACTCGTCTGTTGCTGGGCTTGGGAATGGGTTTGAAGGCGTCTACAATCCCAATGTTCTGTGCAGAGAACACCCCGGCTTCTATTCGTGGAGGACTCGTTATGTGCTGGCAGTTGTGGACGGCCTTTGGTATCTTCCTTGGGACTTCCGCGAACCTTGCTGTCAAAGACACTGGGAAGATCTCCTGGAGACTCCAGCTCGGTTCCGCCTTTATTCCAGCGCTTCCTTTGCTGATTGGTGTCTTCATGTGTCCAGAGTCGCCTCGCTGGTACATCAAGAAGGAAAAGATGCGTAACGCCTACCGGTCTTTGCGCCGCTTGCGCAACACTGAGCTGCAGGCCGCACGTGATCTCTACTACATCTACGCACAGATCAAGATTGAGCAGGATATTGCTGGAGAAAGCAATTATGCCACCCGATTTGTCGAGTTGTTTACTATTCCTCGTATCCGCCGTGCAACTCTTGCTTCCTTCGTTGTGATGATTGCGCAGCAGATGTGCGGAATCAATATCGTTGCCTTTTATTCCTCGACTGTCTTTCAGCAGGCAGGAGCCAACGTCACCGAAGCACTGTTTGCCTCCTGGGGCTTTGGACTTGTAAACTTCATCTTTGCATTCCCGGCGGTGTTCACCATTGACACATATGGCCGGCGAGCTCTGCTTTTGTTTACGTTCCCCCAGATGGCCTGGACTCTGCTGGCCGCAGGCTTCTGTTTCTACATTCCCAAGGAGCAGACGGCGCATCTGGCATGCATCGCTCTCTTTGTCTTCATGTTCGCAGCTTTCTACTCTCCTGGCGAGGGACCAGTCCCGTTCACTTACTCTGCCGAAGTCTTCCCTCTATCCCATCGTGGTAAGTGTGAATGTTTTGGTACTCAGATCACAACCAGACTAACGAAAGCAGAGGTCGGAATGGCTTGGGCTGTGGCAGTTTGTCTCGGCTGGGCTGCGGTACTTTCCATTACCTTTCCCCGTATGCTGGCCGTTATGACTCCAACTGGTGCATTTGGCTTCTACGCGTAAGTCACATACCCTGATTACTTCCACTCAGATTTCCTTTGCAGTCATCCTAATCTCTGGCAGGGCGCTGAACGTGACTGCCTTTGTAATGATCTTCTTGTGGGTCCCTGAGACCAAGCAGCGGACTCTGGAAGAACTTGACTACATTTTCGGGGTCCCGACTCGGATCCATATGCGTTACCAGATGTTCCACGTGCTTCCCTGGTGGATCAACCGCTACATCTTCCGGCGCAACGTTCACTTGGAGCCCTTGTACAAGCTTGACCACCTTGCCTCCAGTGGCTAAGCGGGATGCATCTGTCTATGAGCACTTCAAGTTTCTCGTGTGCGTACGATGAAACCGTTGCTTTCGACACGGAGTACTGGTGGCTATGTTGCTTCGCGAAGTTTTCGGCGTTTAGTGCGATTTTCCGCGCTTTAATTACAGGGTAGAATCTGAGTGCAGGACACAGTGAAATTGAGAGTGCTTGCAAAGATCTTCACTGAGTGAAAGATCATGTATTACTCTAATAAATGATAATCTATGATTAGTGCTTCGGTGTTCGCTAAACACGTAGAACTGCTTCCTCCACGGAGATTATGCAGGCGATATGACAGAAAAGGATTCTTGTAATGCCCTGCACTGTTTGAAGTTTTGTGAACTAGAACTCAGACGAGTTGATGAGAAAAGAAGAGGGGAAGAGGGGGGGGGTTTATACTCGAGCACTGGCGGCCTCAGGACCATCATGACACCTACCCCTCCCCTCTCTGCCTCTCGTCTCACAGCAAAATCGCCACCCACCCCCAAATAAGCTGCATCTAGACACAAGAAATAGCGCCGGTATGGACTGCGACCAGCCATGCAGGTGCACCTCGGCAGCGGGTCCAGTATCTAAGTTGCTACATCGGGCAAGAGACCCTGTCCGTTTCTGCATCCGCGGCCCGTACATTGCATTCGAATACATGCAGCAAGCAACACGTTGGTTCTCTCTCTATCAATCACAATTTCACCCCAAAATCTTCTCTACACGTATCTAGCAAAAGACCCAAAAGGGTATACTTCAATAGCTCCTCTTCACCGGCGGCACACTCTTACAATCCCCCTCATCCAACGTCTTCATAATCACCCCCCGATACCCCACCCGAACCCCCTCCTCTTTTTCGTCCTTCTGCCACGTCCAACTATGCTTCAACCACCCCTCATCGTTCCTCTCCGGGAAATCCTCCCTCGCATGACTCCCCCGACTCTCCGTCCTACACAACGCCGCCATAGCCGTCTGCGCCGCGCACGTCAGCAGATTCCTCAACTCCAGTGTCTCTACTAGGTCCGAATTCCAGATTAGACTTCTATCGCTTGTTCTTAGTCGCGTGGAGAAATCATTCTGCACTTGGATTACTTTACTCAGTCCTGTGGTAAGGGATTCGTGCGTGCGAAACACAGCGAGGTCCGTTTGCATGGCTCGTTGGAGGTTGTGCCGTAGTGAAGAAGACGGGAGGTCGCCTGTTGCGTGGAGGTTCGTGGATAGGCTTGATAGAGAGTCTTGGCCTAGACTTGACGAAGGAGTATCATCGTGTGGGATATTGTGAAGCGGCATGTTGGGTTCGTTGGTCTCGGCGATGTGGAGTGCACACGCCCGGCCGAAGACAACTATGTCCAGGAGCGAGTTTGCGCCGAGTCGGTTGGCGCCGTGCACGCTGACACTGGCGCATTCGCCGGCTGCGTAGAGGCCTGGGACGGGTTCTACCTCTGCATCTGGGATGTTTGTCCCCGTCGAAGTGCGGATACGAGTAGTAAGCACCTGGCCTTTATAGTTCGTCGGGATCCCGCCCATGCAGTAGTGAACCGTAGGAACAACAGGGATAGGATCCCGAGTGATATCAATCCCCGCGAAAATTGATGCCGTCTCAAGAATCCCAGGGAGCCGTGAACGGATGAGCTCAGCAGGTAAATGAGACAGCTGGAGATGGATATGATCCTTATCCGGGCCACAGCCCCGGCCCTCGCGAATCTCAAGATTCATAGCTCTTGCTACTACATCCCGACTAGCCAGGTCTTTAGCTGTCGGGGCATACCGCTCCATGAAGCGTTCGCCGTGCGCATTGAGGAGATATCCGCCCTCCCCGCGAGCACCTTCCGTGATGAGCACCCCGGCGCCATGGATCCCAGAGGGGTGGAACTGCACGAACTCCATATCCTGGTTAGGAAGACCCGCGCGGGCAACCATGGCATTACCATCTCCGGTGGAAGTATGTGCAGACGTGCAGGAGAAGTAAGCCCGGCCGTAACCGCCCGTCGCAAGGACAGTGTTTCGCGCAAAAAAGCGATGCAGCGTGCCGTCTTCAAGAGAGAGGCAGATGACCCCCACGCAGGCACCGTCGACCATGAGAAGATCAAGGGCGAAGAATTCAACGAAGAATTGGGTATCGTGCTGGAGTTTAAACACATCCGTCAGTCAGTCAGTCTCTGCCAGAGTACTATATTGAACCATGGTTCATCATTTCTACAGTATATTATGATGGCGTGATATACCTTCAACGCCTCCCCATACAGAGCATGCAACATGGCATGACCCGTCCGATCCGCCGCACAAGCAGTCCGATACGCCTGCCCTCCTTTCCCATAATCCAGACTCTGTCCCCCAAGAGCCCGCTGGTATATGCGACCATCTTCTGTTCTGGAAAACGCCATGCCGTAATTCTCTAGCTCGTATATAGCCTTCGGCGCTTCTCTTGTCATATAGTGAATTGCATCTTGGTCTCCTAGCCAGTCTGAGCCCTTGACTGTGTCGTACATGTGCCAGCGGTAATCGTCTTTCGTCATGTTACCCAGCGCGGCGTTGATGCCGCCTTGGGCTGCGACGGTGTGGGAGCGTGTGGGGAACTATCATGTTCTAACTTAATTTCATTGTCACTTCTCTCTTTTGTGAGGTTTTTCGGGGGTTATGTATGTGAAGGGAATGGGTATAGGGTATGCTACCAATTTCGTGATGCATGCGGTGCGGAACCCTGACTCGGTCAGACCGACTGCGGCGCGGAGGCCGGCGCCGCCGGCTCCTATCACGATGGCACTTTATGGAATTAACCTGTCAGTCAATGTACTTCTGGGATGAGGTGTGCGGGCTGGTTACTCACTCGTAGTAGTGGTCGAATAGCGGGGCTTCAGATACAGATGGTCCCGGAGATGAGTGCCGGGGAAGAGTGGAGAATGGGCGGTGTCGTTTGAGAAAAGGTCGCGTATGGAAGGGATTTGGTAGGGTGTTTCTTTGATGGAAGGCTCGGCTTAGGCGATACATGATTGAATGTCAAATCCTTTTAGTTGGAATGGTGTTATTTGGTCATTTGAGTGTAGATGGTCGTCTCGGAACACTGCCATTGTGCCTTTCGAGATGCCCGAGGCGGGGAACCTTACCCGAGGTTCTCTCGGAAGGGGAACTCCGAGATGCAGGCCTCGGCCAGTCAACATGCGGGGAATGTCAGCGTGAATGCGGTCCAATAATAGTAGCTATATGCATCCTAGTGATGGCTTCCTGTGGAAATAATGTCGTAAAACTACATTTGAAGAGTTGCCCGTCGATATTCGCGCCAGACTTTGAAGCCGAGCTGCTCGTAGAACCCTTCCAGCACCACCCAGTCGACAAATACTCCCTCCGCGCCTCTCCGCCTCAGATCCTCCATTGCGTGGCTGAGTAGTGCCAGCCCAAGTCCCTTCTTCCTATGATCCGCATCCACACCTACACATCCAATGAGGCCGGTTTTGGACCCACAAACAGGTGGAAGCGCCCAGTTTCTCTGTAGAGCGGGCGAGTCAGAATCAAGCATCAGTGTCCAAGCGGCCTGTTTTCCTTGGGAGTCGAAGGCTGCCATCACACTGAATGGATATTTGGTAGGGTGAAGCTCTTCATATTGGCGCACCCAGGCCTGTTTACACTAGTCAGACCAGAAAAGGAAGACACGTTGAATGCTGCGGTGCATAGAAAATTGGGAGTATGCTTACCGCATTTGCAGAGAAATTTTTCCTCTGTCCAGCCAGGCATTCTTCATAATGCTCGGGCTGAAGTGGACCAAACGTATATCCCTGATCCGCAGCCCGTGTGATATATGCGTCAGGGGCCTTGAAGTCACCTATATCTTGGTACAAGTCAACGTTCCGCGGGTTCGTATCCCATAGTGAGAAGCCACGCTTCTGGAAGAACTCCTGTACCGATGACGGTAAATCGTTGGGTATCCCAGGAAAGAACCTTGGGAATGAGCTGCTTAATTCGAGACGTGACAGATTCAGATTGGCCCGATACCATGCAGTGATTTTCGAGATCAGTGCTGTTCCAAGTCCCTGGCCTTGCTTTGCAGGATCCACTGCAAGCACGGCAATGTTGCCAGCAACACCTGCGGGTGTAGTGCTGGTATATGTCAAGCCAAATCCTACAATATCAGCACCCAAGCGAGCAACGAAATGATGCCCATGTTCTTGATTGATAAGTAGTTGCAACTTCTGAGCGGAAAGTGGGTAGGAAGGCAAAGCAGCATTCCAAACAGCTGTTATTTGCAAGATATCCTTAGTGTTAGCCAATTCTGATTCCTCAACAGACATTTGACTGGTAGGATTTTTGACCGGCAAGGTGCCTTTAGGTTCCGATCTTCCAAATATGACCTCAGCAGCTGCCGCAAATGCTTCGGGTGTTGGCTCATAGGTGGCGATATATGTTCCAACCGACGCATCTTCCAGGAAGTCGTAGGGGTTACAGGCGGCGATGCTGACCAGTTTACGAGCCCGGCTAGGCAGCTCCAAGCCTAAAGTCCGCTGAAACGGGGACTCTCGCGCATTAATAGAAGTGAAAATAACGACATCGGCAGCTTCAATGGTACTCGTCAGCTCGGCCGATAAGCCTGCACTCCCATATCGGATTTCAACCACCGTTTGGTTGTATTGCCTCAGTATGTTGAGATAAACGGAGGCGTTATAAGAGCCCTTCCTTCCCAGTCCCTCTCCATCCACTGCACCTCCAGCTGGAGTCTGGTCCCCAGGAAAGAGGAATACGACGTTAGCAGAGCTGGACACAGGAAGAATCTGGAGGGAATCCCGAACAAGCGTCACAGACTGGGCATAGGCTTGTTTAGCCAGCGCAGAATGTTTCACTAGGTCTGTTCCCAGAGCAGGCCAGTTTTCTCTCGATTCCAGAGGTCGCAGCGCCGTCTCCCAGCTTAGAAATCTGCTCTTCAGCTCACTCACACGACGGATGGCCTCATTCAATCGCGCGGAAGGAATCTTTTCAGACTCGGCGGCCTGACAGACCTGCAGAATAGAAGCTACTTGGACGGAATACGTGTGGCATATCATAATGCTGTCGCAGCCAGCCGCCAGGGCAAGGACAGCGCCTTGCTCTGTTCCGTACGTAGCACGAATTCCATCCATCTCGAGACAGTCCGTAATGACCATACCACCGTACCCCATATCTTCGCGAAGAATCCTCATCACATCAGGCGATAAGGTGGCAGGCAATCTGCCATCTCCTATGCCAGGTAGGGAGATATGGGCTGTCATAATTGCCTCGATACCTTCATTTGCTGCTTGACGGAAGGGAACCAGCTCGCAGCTTTCTAGTTGTTCACGTGTCTTTGGAATGACAGGTAGGCCATAGTGTGAGTCAACTGCGGTATCACCATGCCCTGGAAAATGTTTTACAGTAGGTACGACCTTGTGCTCCCGAAGACCTTGGGCGCTGGCACTGGCGAATCGAGCCACGAACTCGGGATTATCTCCGAAGCTACGAACCCCGATTACCGGGTTGAGTGGCTCGGAATTAATGTCACATACGGGCGCATAGTTCATGTTAATTCCCGAGGCGCTCAGAATCTCACCGGTTGCCGCCCCGACCTGGTATGCGAGCTCGGGGGAATTGGCGGCACCTAGAGCCATAGGGCCCGGCAGTTGTGGAGCAACCGGAGGCGACACCCTGGTGACAAGACCATTCTCCTGATCAATTCCTATAAGCAATGGATGTTCGTGTCCTGCCAATCGTGCTTCTTCTTGAAGCGCATGCGTCAAGGCCTTTAATCGGAGACTTGATATCAGTTACTGGGTCTCGGCGCTGGCGTACTGCTAATAGCAGTGGGTGGTCATTGGGAAGTCCCCTACCTGAAGTTGAGCTGCATCGCTAACATTTCGTTTGAAAAAAACGATCGCACCAATACCATAGTCGTGAATCAGAGTCTTGATTTCTGGGCTCGGAGTGAGGCCGTGGAATCCGACCGCGAAGAGCTAAACTCCGCTATAGTTCAGTCGGATGTTTCTTAAAGGGCAATCCAAGGCTGAGTGACATCATACCTGACCAATTTGCTTCTGCAGTCCAGTCGCAGGCATTGTAATGAACCTCTTCTTCGGTAGAATGGAAGACCAGAACAGAATGTAACGAAGCTGTGGTGCCGTAGGAGGGGCAGAGCCGATGGGGTACACGCGTTTGGTTTATCGATAAGAACCAGTGGAGTCAACTAATTTTAGATCTCGGCACAACGAAGGTGGACCATTAAGCTAGAATGGAGTGAAAGGCCACAATACAACGACAAGACAAGAAGCAAGACAATTTCATACAATCGGGATTGGGGTTGAAGAGAGAGAATTATAGTTGGGAGAAGAGGGGCACAAGACGATCAGTGGCGGGCGGAGTAGAGACAGTGTCCGGGTGTCCAGCCTCGCGATCTATTTCCGTAATCCCCGCAAGCCGTCCCCTTACTACTCGTGACCAAGTCTTCATTAGGGCCAAAGTCGATACATGGAGTACTTTCGAATACAGCTTCTCTTGAAGCATTTTGAGAGAGTGGGTAATCCTAGCCGGAAAAAAAGAAAGAAACCTGTTATATGAGGTAGCCAAGCCAATAACTTAATGTGCTAAATCTCTGATATGTACATTAGAATAAGAAAAATCCACCATGGAATGTCATTCCGGTCGCGACACGGCCGAGATCAATCATTAATGCAGTTGGGTATTATGCTTATGACGTGACGACCCAATGGGTCGCAAAAAATTAAACATGTTCTGAGGCGTGTTCTCTCCCCTTTTCTTCCCCTTTAGCCTGAAGCTTTGCATCAACAGCCTCCCTCCATCGAGGGCCATATTCCGCGGTCAGATATAATCCACCACCAACAGCTATCAGAAACAGCGCCGAGATGGTACTGAACCACCCCACGCCCATTGCCTTAAGAGCAGGTAGGACAACACCCGTCCCGAGAGCAGCAAACATATACCGGCAAACAAAGTTTGCTGCGACGACCTCCTCGCTTCTACCACTCTCTTGCATCACATCCAATCCGTAAGTGTTCAGACTGGGGAAGCAGAACATTGTGGCTACTCCCTGCAGGAACATAGCGACGACGGGAACTGGGATTCCCCCGACTTCTTTGTCAACTGTCCAGCCATAAACAAGGATGCATGCTGGGATAGCAATTAAGATGAAGGATACACAAGAGCGGAGACGGTCTTCAGGTATACGTCGTCCGTTGCGGATACGAGTGTATTTCCGAGCCACAAGATCGGCCCAACGGCCACCAAAGAAGGTGCCGGCTATATAGCCACCACCGGGGCCGAGGTAGAAGAGGCCGGCTTCAATGGGGCTTTCAAGGTGAAAGCGAGGGTTAAGAACGTAGCGAATTGGTGTGAGAAGGGCGTATTGATTCCATACTAAGGCGCCGGCAGTGAGGCTAGTGAGAAAGATGTTCGGGTAAGAGAAGACCAAGCGGGCAATGCGAAGGGGTGAGATGTGGTTCCAGAGTTGCTTGGTCTGCTGAGGCAGGCTCTTCCCTCTGAAATGGGTGTTTGATTTGTGGCTGATGGTCTCCGGAAAGAATATCATAAAAAGGACTGCTGCGAAGCCGTTTAATGCAGCAAGTAGCCAGAATATATATCTCCATGGGCGGAAGGTAGCCATGATGCCCTATATATGAAAGTGTCAGTTCAGAACAGCCAGGTGAATGGTACGTTTTGGATGAGACATACTCCTAGAACGGGACCAAGGGCAGGCCCGGTCACACTACCTGACAATACCCATCCCAGTGGTAAGGCTCGAGACATTGGCTCATAAATATCGCCCACGGTGGCACTCCCGAGCACTAAAAATGCGGTTCCCTGAAACGCGGCACATATGCGGAAGATAAAGTAGGCTTCAAGGTTGGGGGCTAGCGCTGTGGCCACAGTAAAAAGAAAGAAGAGAATGGAACTCGCAATGAGGATCTAAGGGACTACCTGTTAGGGGTAAGAGGGAAAATATGAATGCACAGATGCCACTCACCGGACGGCGGCCC